AGAGGCAACAAGGGAATCAACCATTTTGGATGTTATCCTAACCAACACTGAGAACCTGGTCAGTAGTGTGGAAGTGGTGGCATTCATAGGTGGGAGTGGCCATGTGCTCCTGGAGTTTGTGAAACAAAAGAAGGAGGAAAATAAGGGCCCTTCCACACAGCCATATAACCCAGAATATCAAAGCAGAAAATGTTGTATCCCAGAGCAGGAACACCTCTGTCCTTAAACACCACACCAGTATAATAAAAATCAGCAAGCAGTTTATTGAAGGATATATGAAAGCAAAGCAATAAAAATGATGGAAACAATATAGTCCAAAACAGTATATTCCAAAGGTAACAAATAGTCCATGAATTTCAAGGTACAAAGGTAAAAACACAAGATCCAAGGATGCAAAATCCAAAAGAACAAGACATCATAGAGCAGTGGTTCTCAAACTGGGGTCCCCAGATGTTTTTGGCCTACCACTCCCAGAAATCCCAGCCAGTTTACCAGCTGTTAGGGTTTCTGGGAGTTGAAGGCCAAAAACATCTGGGGACCCCAGGTTGAGAACCACTGGCATAGAGATTCAATACCCAGAACAGGAACCTGGCAAAACTTGAAACATGAAGCTAGAAATCCACTTGGAAACAAGACGGTCATGAAAATTCAACGTTGACCAGACTGAGCTAAAATCCTTTCCCTGTCTCATATAAAGCCTTTCCTGTCTCATGAAACGAAAGAAAAACATTCTGTTTGCCTTTACAACTAGATAAGGATTTCTTATCTCTCTTTTCCAGCAGATGGACTGACCTTCAGTGAGCTTGAGAACTTTCCCTTAGTTTACAAAAGTCATGTCTTCTGTCTTCAATCTCATTACCTTCTACACCCGCTTATCCCCCTACCAACCCCAGAGATTACTCCGGTCTGAAGACCAAAATTTGTTTGACGTCCCTACCATCCAGACTTATCATTTGTCATCTACTAGGCAGAGAGCCTTCTCGATTGTAGCCCCTTATTTATGGAATGCCTTGCCGGTTGAAACTCGAACCATCCGAGACCTACTTGCTTTTCGGAAAGCCTGTAAAACTTTTCTTTTCCGACAAGCTTTTGATGGGTGAACAACTCGGGGCTATGTCCGTCCTTGCTAATTGTATTGTTTTAATCTGCTTTTGTAAACCGCTCCAAGCCAAATAAATAAATAAATAAATAAATAAATAAATAAATAAATAAATAAATTACACCTGACAAATCATCCTCAGAAGACAGTTTCTCAGAGAAAGGCTGCCGTGGGCCCCTTTCAGGACTGTGATCTTGAGGATCTACAGGAGAAGCACTCTGTTCATGAGAGACCTCAGGTCTTGACAACTCAGGCCCTGGAAAACCATTATCCCCACTGACATCACATGAAGGTCCAAGAAAACCATCATCCCCATTGACACGATCACAGGCCAAACTACAACAGAAAATCCCACAATACCTGCTTTGAACTGGGTTATCTGAGTCCACACTGCCATATAACCCAGTTCAAAGCAGATTGTGTAGGGCTTTATATAGCTGTGTGGAAGGAAGGGGCTTATGAGAAGTCCAACATGCATTCTAGACTTTAGGAGAGCTGACTTCAGGAGATTTAAGGAAATACTGAGTGCGATTTCGTGGATAGCAATGCTAAAAGAGAAGGGAGGCCACTTCCACAGAACTGAATAAAATCCCACATTTACTACTTGGAACAGGGTTATATGGCAGTGTGTACTCAAGACAACCCAGTTCAAAGCAGATATTGTGGGATTTTCTGCCTAGATATTCTGAGTTAAATGGCAGTGTGGAAGGGCCTGAGTTAATGATGGATAGCAGTTACTTAAAAGCGAGATACTGAATACACACTTGCAAAGTGCCAGCAAGGAGGAAAAAATAAGAGAAGTCTAAAGAAACCAGAATTGATGTCCAAAGAACTTTCAACTGAGATAGAATTTAAAAGGCTCATGTACAAGAAATGGAAAAGGGGGGAAATCACCAAATAGGCATTCAAATGAATAGCCAACATATGTAGGAAAAAGGTCCAAAAAGCTAAAGCACAAAATGAGCTCAAACTTGCCAGAGATATTAAAAACAATAAAAAGAGGTTCTTTGGTTATGTCAATAGAAAAAGGAAGAAAAAGGAAACAGTAGGGCCTCTGCGAGAAGATAGTGAAATGCTAACAGGGGATGGGGAAAAGGTGGGGCTCCTCAACACCTTCTTTGCCTCAGTCTTCTCCCAAAAGGAGATTGGGATTCAACCTGAGCAGTCTGGAGTGGACAAGATAATGGGGAAAAGCAACCCAAAAAAGGTGAAGAAGCAGTCAAGGAATACCTGGCTACTCTAAACGTATACAGGTATCCAGGGCCAGATGAACTACATGCAAAGGTATTGAAGAAACTGGCAGAAGTATTTTCAGAAGCACAAGCAATAATCTTTGAGAATTCTTGTAGAACAGAAGAAGTCCCAGCAGAACACCGGGGGGAGGGGGGCAATATTCAAATCTTCAAGTGAAAAAAGAGGACCCAAACAATTACCGTATAGTCAGCCTGACATCAATACCAGGGAAGATTCTGGAGCAGATCATTAAGGAGGCAGTCTGCAATGACTTAGAAAAGAATGCTGTGATCACTACGAATCAACATGGATTTATCAAAAACAAGTCATGCCAGACTGATTTTATTTCTTTTTTTTTCAATAGAGTTACAAGCTTGGTAGATGGAGGGAATGCTGTGGGTGTAGCATATCTTGATCTTAGTAAGGCCTTTGACAAAGATTCTCCACGACCTCCATGGGTCATGCTTAATCAAGTTTGCAGATTACACCAAATTGGGAGGGATAGGTGATACTCCAGAAGACAAGATCAGAATTCAAAGCTAACAAAATGAATTTCAATAAGGAGAAGTGTAAGATACTACACTGAAACAGAAAACTTGAAATGCAGAAATATAAGATGGGTGACACCTGGCTCAACAACAGAGTTACATGTGAAAGAGATCTCGGAGTCTTAGAAGACAACTAGTTGGATGTGAGCCAACAATATAATGCAGCAGCTTAAAAAGACAATGGGATTTTGAGCTGCATCTAAAGGAGTCTAGTATGTAGATCAGTGGTTCCCAACCTTTTTTTGGCCACTTGACTAGGGACCACTCTCCAACATTCGTACCAAAAGCATTATGAATCCATTTTGGTCAACTTTAGATTCGGTTTGGTTATTTGGGATGGTGATTCAGCAAATTGCATTGGATAAACCACATCAGCTCTAGTTTCTGATACAGAACATATGACATCCAGTAGTTGCCAGCTGCTCACCCACAGAAAACCACATTTAATAATCTAGAGCTGATGTGGTCTATCCAATGCTATTTTGTGAATCAGCACCCCAAATAACTCCAGGAACAGGCCTAAAAATGAAGACAACGTGCATTCTAGACTTTCACCATATAGAATGGCTCCACTCAGGAGGAGGGACGAGGAGGAGAAGGATGCTTAGTGGCTGTGACAGTCTGGATGAGAGCAAACAAAGTGAAACTGAATCCAGACAAGACGGAGGTACTTCTGGTCAGTCGAAAGGGTATACAGTTACAGCTTGTACTGGACGGGGTTACACTCCCCATGAAGACACAGGTTTGTGACTTGGGCGTTCTCCTGGACTCATCGCAGAGCCTGGGACCCCAGGTTTCGGTGGTGGCCAGGGGAGCATTTGCACAATTAAAACTTGTGCGCCAGCTGCACATGTACCTTGGGAAACCAGACTCAGCCACAGTGGTCCACGCCTTTGTTACATCTCAAATAGACTACTGCAATGTGATCTATGTGGAGCTGCCTTTGAAGACTGTCCGGAAGCTCCAAGTAATCCAACGGGTGGCAGCCAGCATAGAGGGAGCATACAACCCCCATTACGTCAGCTCCACCACCTGCCAGTTTGCTACCAGGTCCAATTCAAAGTGCTAGCTTTGGTCTATAAAGCCCTAAACAGTTCTAGACCAACTTACCTATCCAAATGTATCTTCCCCTATGAGCCAGTTAGAGTGTTAAGATCTGCTGGGGAGTCCCTGTTCTTGGTCCCACGCACTTCACAGGTGCAACTGGTGGAGATGAGAGACAGGACCTTCTCAGTGGTGGCCCCTTAGTTATGGAACTCCCTCCCCAGTGACATCAGGCTGGACTTATCCCTCCTGGTCTTCAGGAAACTTGGCGCTGCACACAGACATTCGGGGAGTAGTATAATATTAAATCCAACAGGAATTGAAGCAGCTTGAATAATGACTACGGGACTCAGCACAATGTTTTATTATATTTATATTTTAACTATTATTAAACTGATACATTATATTTATTATTGCATGTGTAATGCAGTATTGAATTTTGCCATGGCCTGTAAGCCGCTCCGAGTCCCCCTCGGGGTGAGAAGAGCGGAGTATAAATATAGTAAATGAATAAATAAATAAATGTTCTGAAAGTGGCTTTGTATATCATCTAGTCTAGTGCCTTAAACATATCTGCCATAGTGGGCTGTTTCCGGAATTTGCCATTGCTTGGTGGAAGGTTTCAGTACCCAAATTAAAGGAATTAGTCCTCAAACCACAGCTCATCCCATGCAGGAGAGCCTATTGATCCATGGGATATTTTCTGGAGTCTGGAGATGACATCATGGCAGGACAGAGGCTGTGGAAACAATCTTCTCGCACATGCTGAATTCTGCATCCCACCCAATTTGTTCCCATGTGTCCCTATGGTTAAAAAAGGGTTTCCTCATCTCCATTTCTAAGCCTAAGAGCACCGTTACCTTCCTGCCGGAATGGTACCTATAGATCTACTCACATTTGCATGTTTTCGAACTACTAGGTTGGCAGAAGCTGGGGCTAGTAGCAGGAGCTCACGCCGCTCCCCAGATTTGAACCTGCAACCTTTCGGTCAGCAAGTTCAGCAGCTCAGTGCTTTAACTTCCTGCGCTATTGGGGTCTCCAATGGAGAGAGTTGCAAATAAAACAACATAGACAAGTTTTCTACAAAATATCAAATTTATTTATATAAAATATTTTACACGAACAACTGTACACATGCACACGCCCACACAATAGTTTACCACAAATTTAGGCCAGTATTTTTTTCATTAATTTCATAAATCTAGCACACTAGATTACTTTACAGGAATTTACATTGTATTTGTTTGAAGACACAATGGGGATAAGCTTTGCTCATTCATATTATAAACCTTCCATCAATTACAAAAGAAAGGCAGTCTGAAAAGTATGTATAAACAGTAAAAAGAATTTACAAATGGACAGGTTACAAAAGAGTAACAGCCAAATATGTCTGCCAGCAACTACATATGTCTTTTTTTAAAGGTGTTTTTTTTCTTCCAAATTACAGTGCCAATAACAGAACATAGTATGTGGCAAACTTAGCACTCTTTATCTATTTTAGTGACTTCTGCTGGCAATGGCCAGTGAATAACACAACTTTCTCATTGTAGTACTTCCTTAAATTTGTCTTTAGCATACTTTTGAAAACAATACCAAAACAAATGGCCCCGTTTTAATCTGCATTTTAGGGTACATTTTCTTTTTCTCTCAGTAGTTTTGTGCAAGAATCTGGCTTTACGTATACTGGAGAGGTTGACTAGCAGAACTCAGACAGATGTTTCAAAATGCACCTTTGCACGACACTTTCAGACTCCCAGAAATTACATCAGACATCGAAATAGAGCCAGCAACACCAATTACTTGATCTTTTAAATTATCAATTTTCCCAGTGAGGATGGAAGGACAGTTGATTACACAGTACATACAAAGTATACGCTGTATAGTTTTGACAGTACAAATCATTGTGCATTAATAAGGCAAACATCAAGGCGGAATAAACTAGGAGTTTCAAGACCATTTCTGTGTAAAGTTGTGGATCAATGGTTGAAAAGGGATCAAAGAACCTTTTTTTCTCCTCTTTTAAGGGAGGGAAAGATACAAAATGGATCTAAAGATGCGAACAGAGTTGCCTTTCACAAATGGTCGATTCTTGTGATGCTCCTTAATCCCTTCCATCGTCGTTTTTTAAAAAAGAATTTAGACATGTACACTGGCAGTGGCAACACTGTGTTTTTGAGTCGCAATGCCGTGACGATTCCCTCCCCTCTTTGCCATCTGATTGAACACCAAAACCAGTCAGAGACACTTTGTTTTCCCCCCCTGTTGATGTTAGAATTTATTTGTAGTTTTAAAGGTTGGGTTCTATGTAGAAAGATGTTTGGAATAGCCATGAAAGCCCTAGTTTGAAAGTTGATTTTATTTTTTTATTTTAAATGTAAAAAAACAAAAACAAAACAAAAGACACAGATCTGAAGCTTTACATGTTGTCCAGAAGAATACGGAAATCATTTCACTGCACCAAGCCTTTTCAGAAGTTTCTTCCCTTTGGAAAGCAGCCCCTTTTTCTTTTTCGAGGACAACTCCCTGCCTCTCCCGGGACTACCAGAACCCACAGATGACGTAGGTGACCCCGAATGGAGATGGACTGTGGGAGATGGTGCTCGCCTTGGTGATGTACCTGTATTCTCAGGAGGAACCTAGTAGGTATATTGTTACAATTTACTGAATGTTTGGAAGCCATCGACAACAAGAAAGTTGGTAACATTTTTTTTCTTTGCTTCACTACAAACTCCTTTGGGTAGGGAGGGCAAAGTATGCCAAGTAACAGAGGAGTCTAGTTTACCAAATTAGTTAAAACAGCATATACAGCTGACAAGTCGAGGTGTTGTGTTCTATTATTATTAATATTATTATTAATATAGCCTCTTAAAAACTGCTCATTTTCAACTGAGATCCCAAACTGAATTTCGCTAAAGTCAAATTTGCACGTTTCAGCACTCTAGTACTGACATACCGGTTGTGGGAAGTTGAGCTAAGTACTACAAATATCAAGTTCTATACACACTAGCCAGTTCCAGAAGGAATCCCCAATTGGGACGATAATAAAATCAAAGTGTTTCAATTCTTGAAATCCGTTAATTTTTTTAAAAAAAATTCTTTTAGCATACTGTATATACATATTTTGAGAAGATGGCACACTGGTTGAAAGAAAAAAAAAAGCTAAAATGAACCTTCATTGGAATCAAAGAAAGCTTCGAGACCTTTGATGATCAGTGCGGTGTTATGTTTCGCTATGCGCATGAGAACACGTCGTGATTACGACTTGCGCGACAAATGGTACAAGCAGCATTTCACTCTGGAAAATGCCCAATGCGTGGAAGCTGTTTGAAGACGGGAAAAGGTGGTCAACTCATAATGCTTCCCTAATACTGCAAAGTGGCTGATGTTTTCTTTCTGGCAGCCCTGAAATTTAAACAATCCGGACAGTGTCCAAATCAATTAAGTCAATGAACGTGAAACTAAGCAAAGGGGTGACAAGCTTCCTTTGATTTCATATCAAGGTCTTTGCCTAATGAAGAAAACAAAACAAAACAAAACCAAAAAAAAGAACCACTTTGTAAAAGCACCCCCCAACGTACACCTGAAGATACCATATTGAGTTCTAATGCATTCATTCATGGGTCTTGAGCTGCATGTTTTGATGTCAACGCATTGCATTGGTAAACCAAATAGATACTGAGTGCTCTGCAAACACAGGTGATTCGGGAGAGTTTCTTGTTTTGGAATGAGGACGACAAAGTTGGAGGAACTACAGCAGGCAGTTTCTCAAACCACCAGCAGATACATTTTTAAGGCAAACAGTTGAGGTTCATGTGTTTTTGCAATGAACATACCCCTTTGTCTTGACTGCCATGCTTAAATCTGATCACAATGTCCTGCTCCTTTTATGCAAGGGTGGGAATATTTTTTGTGCTTTTCTCCCTCTTTGAGGCGGGACTCTCCTCCCATATTGGCTAACAATGCAATATGCAGCTTTCCCTTTGGAGTTGTACATTAGGACCACTTTTTGAAATGCAAACAAACATTAAGTCCAGTAAGAAATATGTTCCAAATGTTAAAACTTTTGTTTTTTTTGGAATAAATAAATAAATAAATAAATAAACACAAGCCCTGAATACAAGGAGGAATCAAACCATCAGAAGAGAGTCAGTTATCGTCACGTCTAGAAGCTGAGATGTCGTATTTTTATTTTTATTTTTAAATAAATAAATAAAAGTAAACCAACATGGAATGTCCGCAACCAAGCAGGGCTAATGGTTTTGGAGACATATTTCTCTCTCTTTGCACGTTTAGGTGCCAAGATGGCTTGCATTAGACAATGCCAGCTAGCTTGAATTGATATCTCTATTGGTATCTTCAGTTGCTCACTTACGTGTGAAGGCTACATTGCCTTTTTTAAGGTGTGAAATGAACACTCTTCTTCTGTTCCCAAGCAGATGAGCAAAGAAATAAAAATATACATAAAATATAATATAGGAAAACTGCCTTGATGAAAGAAGACAAGTGAGATACTTTACATGAATCATTTTCCTTTTCTTAAAAAAAACGGGGCATCTTCACTGGGGACTCAATGAAAGCAAAAAAAGAAAGAAAAGAAAAAGGGGAGGGGCCAAAGGAAAGCTTGGAAAGATTTGATGACTTATATAAAATGCCTCGAGCACTTCCCCTTCCCCATTTGTGTCATATCAATAGTATATTTATATTCTGCTGATGGGAATTGTTGTGCAAGGAAATGTGTGTGAGGCCAAGTTGAGGTTGCAATGAACCAAAAAAAACTAAAGGTTCATATGGCTAATGGGTCATGGCAATTTTATATTCTAGTAGATCTACTAGATGAGCATGTTATTGCTGTGTTTATTAATCTCCCCACTCTATGTCCTCAAAACAAACAGAAATGGATTTTACAAAATGTAAAATAATAATACTCAAACAAAACCGGATGTATGGTGTATGGGGGGACGGGGACGGGACAAAAACCAAACAGAACAATGCCTCTCTCTCTCTTTCAAGCTCTCTCAATGCTTGCTTACCCTTTTAGCTTTTGTACGTATTGGTGTATCTTGAGCATATCGTGCTGGGGCATCAGATAAATAGACTTCTACGTCGTCAGGCACTTCTTCAAGAAAGTTTGAAGGAACCAGACCTTTCTGGCCATTTAATTCACCCTATAATGCAGGGGGATAGGGGAAACAGCAGAAAGGGACAATAGTGAGACAGCAAGGGATTGTTAGAAGGAATTTTTGTTTTTGTTTTTCATAGAGGAGCAAATTATTATTATTATTGTTAATTTATTATTATTATTATTAACTAATTATTACTAATAATAAATAAACTTTATTTATACACCGCCCTCTCTCCCCAAGGGGACTCAGGGTAGTTTACATACAAAAAGGCAAACATTTAATACCAATCAAATCAAATAATCAGAACACAACAAATAATACAAAACAATACATAATAATAATAATAATAATAATAATAACAATAATTCACTTTATTTATATTGCGCTCTCCTCCCCTAGGGGACTCAGAGCAGATTACAGCATTTCCATACACACCTTCAATACCTTTGCAATCATATACAATGAAACACACAAACACAAACAAAAGCAGAAGCTTCTCCTTTCATTTCCGGCTTCTGGAGGCGGTTCTCATCTCTGTCTGCTTTCTCCATTTTCAAGCCAAGGAGCCTACATTGTCACCTCCTGGTTGTGTGGCTGGCAAAATTGCTTGGAGCGTCTCTTTGCCTTTTTCTGCCAAAGGGGTACCTATTTATCTACTCACACTTGCATGTTTTTGAACTGCTAGGTTGACAGGAACTGGAGCTGGAGCTGACAGACGGGTGCTCACCTCATCTTGCAGATTCGAACTGCCAACCTTCAGGTCAGCAGTTCAGCAGAACAAGAGTTTAACCCATTGTGCCACCGCAGCCCCAACACTAACACTGGACAACACATATTTTGGTGCCTCAAATGTTAGCCCTGTTTTCGTGTATATGTGACTTGCTGATTCCAAAAATAGCACCAGTTTTCCCCTACCAGAACTAGCTTTGGGGATACCGAACATATGCCATGTACCAGTTGCCCTCTACTCACCCACAGAAAACCATGATAACCATATTTAAGAAACTAGAGCTGAAGTGGTCTATCCAATGCCATTTTCTGAATCTGCACCCCAAAGAACCCCAGGAACAGACCTAAAAACCAAGACACCATGAAAAATAATGGGCTCTGGCGGGTTGAAGTTGGAGGCAGCCAAGTAGTGGATAGAAGGAGAAAATTCTGTTGGTATGGTGTTGAATTTAGGCCTTAGTTTCAAGCACAAGATCCTTTGGATGAAACTGCTAAGAAGTCAAGATGATTGTATCTCTTTAATTGTAATGTGCTATCAGTTGTATGAGGCACTCTAACTTCAGTGCCACCATCACCAGAAAAAAATGTATTAGATACATATTTATTTATTTATTTATTTACTATATTGGTATACTGCCCTTCTCACCCCTTAGGCAACTCAGGACAGTTTACAAAGGCAAAGATTCGATGCCCCAAAACACCATAAAACATCTACTGTGCTCCCTGACTTTCCTTCTACGCTGCAGAGACACAGATACCATCCCACAATTTCTCGCAGCCAAAATGACTTTCAAAACACCACAAGCTCACCGGATCGATGACCGCCTGGAACGCAACCTCTTACGACAGAGAATTCACACCATCCGCAAAGAACTCGCAAACACAGACAAGGAACTGCTGCACCTCCATATCAACATCAGTTTGAAGATGAATTCCCAGGATTGGGACAAAATAGACAACCTCACTTGCAGGAAAATGGAGAAAAACATGGCTGTCCACACCAACAGACAAAAACAAAAATTCCACAAACGCCAAAAGCAACAGCTGAAACCAGAACTGGATACATCGTGGACCATCATCAACCTAACAGACAAACAACTCTCTGAAGACCAAGTATCCATACTAGCGAAAGGAGGAAATTTTGCTGTAACCGCCACCAGGTCCCCAGTAGAAAACATCATTGCCAACGTCCAATCAGCAATTTATCGCCTCCCCGAGTAAGAAGCGGAAGAAGTAAGAGGGGAAGCAGCAAGGATCCTGAAAAAGGCAAAACTTCCCTCCAGTAACATTACAAGGAAGGAAAGACAAGCCATCAGAGACCTCAACGCAGACCCTGATATCATCATTCTGCCAGCAGACAAGGGGACTGCCACAGTAATCATGGATACAGAACAATACAAGGAGAAGATCAGAAAACTCCTGGACCCTACTATATACTAAAAACTCAAGCAAGACCCAACCTCCAAAATAACCAGGAAAACCAACACTCTGATTAAGAACTTCTCAATCAACTTTGACATACGACAACAGCTATGTAAATCGGAAGCCCTTCCACCCAGGCTTTATGGACTCCCAAAAATCCATAAGGAATCCACCCCACTCAGACCCATCGTGAGTGCCATTGGATCCCCCACGTATGACTTAGCAAAATTTCTTGCTGCACAGTTACAAAGCCATATTGGGCTCACTACACACTACATCAAGGACTCAGCCCACTTCATAGAAAAAATCAGCAATCTCAAGCTAAATAACAATGACAAACTGATCAGCTTCGATGTGGTGTCTCTATTTACCATGGTCCTGGTAGCAGACACCATGGCACTCATCAACCAGAGGTTCCCAGAAGACATCACAGCTCTGTTTCACCATTGCCTCACCACCAGCTACCTTCAGTGGGACAATGAATTCTACGAACAGAAAGTTGGAGTAGCTATGGGGAGCCCTCTCAGCTCGGTCATAGCTAATTTCTACATGGAACACTTTGAAAAACAAGTCCTGGAAACAGCAACAAAAAAGCCCACTATATGGTTCAGATATGTGGATGACACTTTCACCATTTGGAGCCATGGAGAAGAAGAACTCAACAGGTTCCTGGATCATCTTAACAGCATCCACCCAAAAATCCAGTTCACCATGGAAAACGAAAATGAAGGAAGACTGCCTTTTCTAGATGTCCTAGTCATCCGCAAACCAGATCAACAATTGGGTCACACCGTTTACAGAAAACCCACACACACAGATAGATATCTACATAAAAACTCCAACCATCACCCAAGTCAAAAAAGAAGCACCATTAAAGCTTCGGCAGACCGTGCAAAAAGAATCTGCGAACCCCACCTCCTCCAAGATGAACTGAACCACCTAAGCTGGGCTCTACAGGCCAATGGCGACTCCACCTCAGACATCAGAAGAGCTGCAAAACCGAGAACAAGCCACGAGAATAAAGACCAAGATCCACCCAGAGGAAAAATGTTCTTGCCATACATCAAGAAAACCACTGACCGCATAGGGAAGCTGATGAGGAAACACAACATACAAACCACTTACAGACCCACCAAGAAAATCCAACAAATGCTACGTTCAGCAAAGGACAAGAGGGATCTTCTCACTTCTGCAGGAGTCTACCGTGTACCATACAGCTGTGGACAAGTGTACATAGGGACCACCAAATGTAGCATTGCCCAAACACGAGTCAAGGAACATGAAAGGCACTGCAGACTACTTCAACCAGAGAAATCAGCCATAGCAGAGCACCTGATGAACCAACCTGGACACAGCATATTATTTGAGAACACAGAAATGCTGGACCACTCTCACAACCACCATGTCAGACTACACAGAGAAGCCATTGAAATCCACAAGCATGTGGACAATTTGAACAGAAAGGAGGAAACCATGAAAATGAACAAAATCTGGCTACCAGTATTAAAAAAACTCTAAATTACAACAGCACAACAACAGAGAGGAAACAAACAAGGACATCTAATCACCTCTCAACAAAAGTTTGATCTAGGCACTGTCAGGCCATTATATGATTATATAATCAAGGTGGTCAGTTGAAACATTCACACCTAGCTCCAGCAGACAAGAGTCCTTTGTCTCACCCTGGTCATTCCACAGATATATAAACCCTTTTTCCTAGTTCCAACAGACCTCACTACCTCTGAGGATGCTTGCCATAGATGCAGGCGAAACATCAGGAGAGAATGCCTCTAGAACATGGCCATTTAGCCTGAAAAAACCTACAATAACCCACACCATAAAACATTTAAAAACATTAACACATAATATAAAACCATAACAAGAATACTAAAAGCATACATACACATGCAATTCTCGGATGCCCCCCACCATTTTTAGAGATATAGGAGAAAATGTGCATCTCAAAATGGAAGAAATACAGTATGTCCACTTTAATAAGCTGAAAAAAGCTCTTTCTGATTAAATCACTCTGTACACCACAACCAGAATTGGAATGATAAAGGATAGAAACCACTTACATAATAAAAACCATCTTCATCAATGTCTCCAATGACGGTAATAATGTCTCCTGTACAAAATGTTAGCTCAGCCTGTAGGAAGAGAACAAAGGACAAAGTCATCACCTTCTTTGGAATCTGCAAAGAGGTTTAAGCAACCTAGGGCTCATTTACACTGACCATATAATGCACTTTGAAGTTTGCTGCTCAAAAATACCTCATGGGCATGGCTGAACAGCAGGTGGTAAATTGACCTCATGCGGCATGACTTCCACTGCTAGATGTTACTTTCCCTTCTTTTCTTCACCTTGTATGCCTCCATAGCACTCACCCACATCTCACCTAGAAATGAGGTAAAAGCCGCATTCTCCGTGCCTGTCAACCCGCATTCTCAGTAGTGGCCCCTCGGCTGTGGAACTCTCTTCCCAGGGATGTTAGATCACCTCCTCTCTCCTGACCTTTCGAAAATGAGTGAAAACCTGGCTCTTTGAGCAAGGGTTTGGAGTTACAGCGTGACCAGTTAACAGAAATAGTAATACGAACATGGAATGGCTAAAACTATGAAAACAGATGAGGAATTTGGATTGGTAGACATTGGTTTTGTATTGATGTTTATAGTTCTATAGTTTTTTATGGATTTAATATGTATTTGTGATGTGTTTTAATTATTTTTATTGATATATGTATTTCTATATGGCATCTAATTGTTGCTGATCTGTACGCCACCCTGAGTCACCTTCGGGCTGAAATGGGCAGGATAAAAATGTTGTAAATAAATAAATTATAAATAAATAAATAAATAAATAAATAAATAAGGCGCAGTTACTACAGATGCAAGAACCGATTTGAGGCCATCTTCCATGGTTAATGTGATCACCATCTTGACCTCGAAGCTGTTCCTGAAATGGCACTCTAATCAACCACATAGCAAAACCCATTCCAAACTAAACCGGTTCCAAATCAACCTACCATATATAGCCCTTTTTTTGAGCTGATAAATGGGATCAAGGCCAGATAGAGGAGTGTGGAGGCAAACGCTTGCAATATATGATATATTTCTCTCTCCTCTTCACCTCCCTTGACAACATGTTTTCTTTTCCAGTCAAAAGGCAAGGAAGGAGGGAGATATATTTCATGCCCTCCTTGTTTGTATGGCTCTCTTTCAAACCCATCCAAATTCATGGGTTTCTTTTTTGTGTATCTAAATGTATTAACTTTATATGTGGATTTTTGTTCCCTTGGAAGTTTTCCCCTCATATGTTTCCAGGTCTTTGCAAATCCTATATACATATAGATATCTAGAGATTTCTATGTACCTATATATCTGTGTCTATACATATACATTATTTTTATATGAATTTTCCCCTCACATGTTTGCAAGTCTCTGCAAATCCTATGTAGATATAATTATCTACATATAGAGAGATTTCTAGATAGAAATATATGAATATAGATATGTAGGGCTTGCAAGTATTGCAGGAGGGAAATGCACATATATAGAGGGAGGATTTGCAAACATTTTTGGGTTTTTCCCCCCATTTCCTGCAGAGATGTGTATCAGTACACCAGAGGCCTATGGGGCAAAAAAAGGGAAGGTGACAGCAGTGGAGGTAATTAATTACTCCTTCCAGGGGATCTATCATCATCATCATCATCATCATCATCATCATCATCATCATCATCATCAGAACACAAGATGAGTCCACAGCAAACAAGATCACTCTGCTAGCTGTTGTATTGGATCACACGTCGGATAATTCCCAAGTGTCTAGGACTGTGTGATGTATCGGCGAATAAGGCATGCAGATCCCAATAAGGTGGCCTTCTGCAGCTGGCAGATGGTAATTTTATTAGCACTGATTGTGTTTAAATGCAAAGGTATTTAGGCACTGCACCCAGTGTGCCGATCACCACTGGGACCACCTTGACTGGCTTGTGCCAGAGTCTTTGCAGTTCGATCTTTAAATCCTCATATCGTGTCAGCTTTTCCAGTTGTTTCTCTTCAATCCTGTTGTCACCTGGGATTGCAACATCAACAATCCATACTTTGTTTTTACCATGATCGTGAGGTCAGGAGTATTGTGCTCCAAAACTCTGTCTGAATTTGGAAGTCCCAGAGGAGTTTGACGTGTTCATTTTCTGTAACTTTTTCTAGCTTGTGATCCCACCAGCTCTTAGTTGAAGGCAGATGGTATTTGTGACACAGGTTTCAGTTAATCATCTGAGCAATGGTGTTATGCCTCTGCTTGTAGTCTGTCTGAGCGATCTTCTTGCAGCAGTTGAGGATGTGATCTATTGTTTCATCTGCTTCCTTGCAGAGTCTACATTTGGGATTATTATTATTATTATTATTATTATTTGAAACATAACAAGATTAGTACACAGCAAACAAGATCACTATGCTGGCTGTTGTACTGGATCACACGTCGGACACTTCCCAAGTGTCTAGGACTGTGTGATGTATCGGCGAATAATGCGTGCAGATCTGAGTAGGGTGGCCTTTTGCAGCTGACAGAGGATAATTTTGTCAGCGCCGATTGTGTTTAAGTGTAGGCCAAGGTCTATTATTATTATTATTATGTTTATTATATTTAATGTATTGTCGAAGGCTTTCATGGCTGAAATCGCTGGGTTGTTGTAGGTTTTTTTGGGCTGTATGGCCATATTCTAGAAGCATTCTCTTCTAACGTATTGCCTGCAACTATGGCAGGCACCCTCTGAGGTTATGAGACATGTGGACAATTTCAACAAAAAGGAAGAAACCATGAAAATGAACAAAATCTGGCTACCGATATTAAAAAGCTCTAAAATTATAAGAGTAACTAAAGAACAAAACTCAAACACAGGGGAACTCCAGAGAAGAAACAATCAGGAACAGCTAATCAACTCTCAACAAAAATTCCCCCAGGCAGTAACAGGGCACACTTACAAACTGTCAGACCATCAAATGCTAATCAAGGTGGCCAACTGAAACATTTACACTAGCTCCAACAGATAAGACTTCTTTCTCCTACCCTGGACTTTCCACAAATATATAAACCCAATTTTCCTAGTTTCCAACAGACCTCACAACCTCTGAGGATGCCTGTCATAGATGCAGACGAAACGTCAGGAGAGAATGCTTCTAGAACAGGGCCATACAGCTCAAAAAACCTACAACAACCCATATATTATGTTTATTTATACCCCACTTTTTCTCTCCACAAGGAGACTCCTGCTGACCAGCCATACCTTGGGGCACTTTTCAGCAGCCTCTGTTCTAGAGTCAATAATGCACTTCAGTTGGGAAAGGTGGCTACGATGCGCTCCATATTTTGCAGAACTGATTTTGCCCTGAATTTGAGAGACATTGGCATCTGCTGCATCACATTACTTTCCACTGAACGTGGACTTTCTTGAAACTTTGTTAACGTGTTGTGTTCTCTTATATGCTTGCTGCAGTGCACACTGCCAGTGTGCACTTTGTGGCCACTGGGGCCTTGAATTTGCTTTGAACTGCATTATATGGTCAGCGAAAAAGTATCCCCAAAAGAATATTTGCCCCACAGTTGGCTCAGAAGGAACAAAGAAGTCTTGATCTATGTTTAAAGCAATAGTATCACTGCCATAATTCTTTTCTCAGAAAGAAAAGGTAAGGAGGGTAGAACGACCCATGTTATTTTAATACACATGCCAATTCCAAGCAAGGAGACATTTTTCTCTATTGAACTTACATCCACTCAAAAGGCATAATGTTTTACTTATTTAGTTTTTGGCAAAGCATTAAAAGTGAGTCTCATGATGTGGCTTGAGTATGAAGGTGAATTTAGGATGAATTTTGTGCCCCTGATCTTGTGATATGGGTGGGAAATTATTTTGAGAGACAAATAAGAACAGTTTCCTTCACATATTTAATGTGGATTTAATATGATATGTGGGTATGAATGGAAGAATGTATGGATGGAGTTAATAATTTTGGAGACACCAGTATAATACTAAGGTCTGCAATGACTAACTACCTGCTTGCTGGACTGTAATTAAAAGTTGCTAATAAGAATTGAAAAGTAAACTCTGATAAGAACTGGGACAGTGATAACATAAATGTTTACAATGTTAAGAAGGAAGTCAACAAAAGATCAACAACAATCAAGAAGAGTCAACATCTAGACAGGAAACTGAGATGGAACCAGTATGGAAGAAGTATATCGTTATTTCACAACTTCGGGACTACATCAGCAGAATATTCCTATAAAAGACTCAATCTAATAATGCTCAAATTGTGACAGACCTGAGGAATCTGGTTCACTCGCCTCTGCTCCATGGCAAGGACAGAAATAGTGCATTCGGAGAGATATGCTATGGGAAAAGCATGATTCTGTACACTTTGGGGTTTTTTCTCAAGGGAAAAGGAAGAAGTGTGTTTTTGGAGTCTTAGATATTGTGCAGGGAGACAGATTCTGCTGTATGGAAACAGAGATCTGGTCCTTGGCATTGTTCTTAGGGAAAGAAGTTTGGCATTTCAGTGTTTTGAAGTTTTGATGTTATGGAAGTTTTGGAACTATGCATTGGCAGGTTGCAGGAAAGCAGGGTCTGGCCTAACAGGTGCTTCTCCAAGGAGGGAGAAAAGGATATGGTAATATTTGGGTGCATGATGATGAATGCATGTACATGTGTGTTAATTGTGACTGAAAATGTAATTCTCCATTGTTTGTTTGTTAGCCATGTAATTGTAACTCCAATGTAGTTGCATAGAATCTGTATGTCTGTATGTCCAATGTCATTCTTTGTCTAAATGTTTTTAAGTAATCTGATCTACCCTCTCACACTGGAAATTGCAATAAAAAGAACCTATGCTTTAAAGTTATTGAAAAGTTATTCATGACACATTTGATGGACAACCTTGGAGGAACCAGGGTAGGACTGGAGCAATGCAATCCCATTTGGGCTGAGTTCCGCCTTGACTTGGCTGAAGAGCCTCAGACCCAGAAAAGATCCCCATGTGTCTGGTTTGTGCCAAACTTCAGAGCCAAACCAGATATACCAAAGGTATCTTGCAAGCTGTCAATTTAAAGGCCATTGAATCAACTAATGAACATGGAGTCAACATGTAGGCCAATTCCATTTCTTCATTGGCTCAACTTTAACTGACACTAAGAATAGGATTTAAGCCCAGGTTTTGTGGGCCCAGTAGGCATGTGCAAAAAAATGGGAAGTGTTGGAAATCGTAAGAAAATCAGAATTTTTGTAAGTTGGAAGCCATATCCAAAGCGCTTCCATGGCCCAAACCAAATATTTATGAATCGAAACTTACCTCATACTTTTTCATTTTAGTTTTGTAAATCTCAGAAGGCTCCCAAAGTCAGTTTCATATTCAGTGCAAGGAAGCAAAGCCATTAAGCCAAAAAGGCTACCTGCCTGCTTTGCCATTCCTCTTCCTGGAATTAATGGCCTCTCACCATTAGAAGAGGCAGGTAAAGGAGGAGAAGTCCATTTTGGGAACAGCACAGAACTCTGGGAAATGTAGTTTGGGAAGGGTAGGAGATCAATCCCAAATAATTTAAAAGGCTCTGCCCTAAACTACATTTCCCAGTATGCATTAGCATCAGAAAGCACCACTCGGGAGAGGAGATCGGTTTGTAGCCACTCCCAGCCAGAGTTCCTATACATTTGTTAATATTCTACAATTTAGCAAAGTTTCTGGAGTAGAGCAACTACTACTTTCAAAGTAAGGACTACACAATTAAACAGGAAATATCATTTTGAAACTAGAAACAGATTGTTTTTATTATTAAAAAATGTTGTTTACAAACTTTGAAAATTTGCCAAAATTTCACGAATAAGTAAGATATTCTGAAATTTGGTGGGATAACAGTGGTAAATGTATTCTACCTTTGTAGAATGTTTCACCCCAATAGCTTTAAAAAAGAGGGAGTTAGGAGCCCCTGAAGTTTCCCCAATATAGTAATTATGTGCATGCGCAATTACTGTAACAAAATAGTAACAAAATTTCATTACTCTCATTATAATAATGACATTTTCACTAAGTATACTTAAGAAACACTTTAGAAATGAAGCACCAGCCCCCCCCCCCCCTCAGTTTTGTAATCATTTTTGAACCATTTTTTATGGATCGCACATCCCTAGTAGCCAGAAGTGCCTTTGCACAGTAAATGCTAATGCACCAACTTTGCCTGCTGCTGGATGCCTGATATATTTCTTACTTTATAATAGACTGTAAATTGCTTCTAATTTTATTGATAATTTAATTTTGATCTTTTAACTGATGAGTGCATTTATCTGTATCTCTTTCACTTTTCCAAGCCTCTTTCGAAGTATATATTGAGGGGAAAGGCAGACTATTAAGAAGAAGGGGAAAGGGATTTCAGACAGTAGCTACAAAACATTACTCATTACACCCAAGAAATTATTTTTGTGATTCACTGCAGAATCACTTTCAAAAGTCCCCAGTCATGGCCATAGTGATATTACACTCCCTCTACAGAAGATGCAATCTTTCAGTATAATTGTGGATCCAGCAATTTTTAGTATACTGTGATGACTTCTAATGGCAGTAGTGGCTTTGGAAGCCACACCATCCTCTCCCCTAAATAGATGCAATTTCCCCATTGTTTATCATTGCTGTCATAAAGAAATTTTTGATTTGCTTCACTGAATACCTCCACATCAACGTTGGGAGAGCTTTCCCTTGGGTCGTAGTCATATAATGCCACCATTCTCCTTGTAGGTGCCGCTGAGGTATGGTTAATCCTTCGGTTCCTTTCTGTTCCAACCCAAAAAGGAAAAAGAAAGAAAAACTTTTGCAATTGCTTTTAGATAAACATTAAAAAGACATGTCTCACTTGAAAGTCTGGATAGCAGGTCAGCTATAATAGCCACTGGATTCTAGTACTAGCACAGGAGGTCAACAAACCCCTCAAACTATCCATTTTTCAGCCATGTTCAATTCACATATATTCAAGTCTGTTCCTAAATGCCTACCATGGGCATGATCTTTGAGCGGCATACTCTTCCTCCTCCCTGTCTGAATATTTTAAGAATTCTAGATTATGACAGATATCCTGCAATTGCACTGTCAGAGCATAGAGTTCCAACAGTCATAGCTTCTCACCTCCCACCTGGTATCCATCCCTTGGCTATCTAAAACCAGTCTAAACCTTGGAGAGCCACTGCCCGTCAGTATGGAGAAGTCACATGGCCCAAGAATCTGACACCTTTCTGGGTTCTCCTCACTAGATGTTTGAGGAGCCACCAGCTTCCACAAATAAAAGTTCTAACAATACCATGCCCCCTGCTTTCTTTTCCAGGGGCAGGATAGTAATTATAGTTTTTTACAGTCAGGAGAGAAAATCATGACCACCAGTAGGTCATCATGTTTTGGAGAAAACAGATAACATTCAGCACTATCTCCAACACTTCGCAATATTTGACATAATGAAACTCCCTAATGTGGGCTCACACACTTAAAAGAACAAGGTGCTTAGACCATCCAAGCCAGATAAAATTATAAGTATGCCAAATGGTAGAAGAGGAACTAAGGGCCCTTCCACACAACCCTATATCATAGGGCGGATACAGGCCTTTATGCCAGGAGAAGCCGTGTTTTAAAAATGTGGATTTTCCTAGCGGCCTGTTCACACATACCCCAGAAAGCATGCGCTTTCTGGGGTGGGTGTCCACATGCTCTCACGGGACTGGCCTGCGAGAACATCTGGAGGCCCTACCCCCGTCCCCTGAAGCCCCCAGGCCCCTTTGAAAAGTAAAGAAAACTTACCCAGCCTCCAGTACACTCTTGGAGCAGCTCTCCCAGTGCATAGAAATGATGCACCAGGAGAGCAGGGAGGGGGGCAATTTTCTTCCCCCCCCCTCCCCCCACTCTCCTGGTGCATCATTTCTGTGTACTGGGAGAGCTGCTTCAACACTGTACTGGAGGCTGGGCAAGTTTTCTTTACTTTTCAAAGAGGATTGTGGTCTTTAGGGGAAGAGGGTAGGTATTCTCACAGTTTTCTGGACTAATTTAGTCCGGAAAACTATGAGATTCGTGTTTGGACTGCAGTCCAGACGCCGAAAATATTGGGTTTATCCTGCACCTTCCAAGAAAGCGTGGAATAAACCCACTATCTAATTAACTTGCTACAAACCAGAGTTTTCCTGGTTTGTAGCAAATTAATTCGGGACTGTCCAGAATGTTGTCTGGACAGCTCCTTCTTTATTGCAGGAGCTACTGCAATAAAAGTACTGTCTGGATGGGCACCCGGATTATCAAGGTAGAAAATCCCACATTATCTGCTTTGAACTGGGTTATCTGAGTCCACACTCAGATAATGTGGGATTTTCTGCCTTGATAGTCTGGGATATAGGGCTGTGTGGAAGGGCCCTAAGTTCCAACAATGCTATACTTTTTTCACTCAAATCTGTCTAGATTGAAAGTACAACTAAATGGTTCTGTTGCACTTTCATCTCCTAGAAAAAGAAGATTCTTTCAAAACCCTTCTGTTGTTTTCGATGGTTATACCCAAAAATCAAATAAATAAGGTTTAAGCAGCATCAAAAACATGTGCGATACCAAAACAAAGCTTACACATCAGCCTTAAACATTTCTAAATGAAAAGTCTGTGATAGTGTTTGATCACCAAGGACAGACACATGGTTTTTACTGCTGGGCAATTAGACAAGAAAAAAACCATGCCTGTTAGTATTATCATGGATGCTGGGAGCAGAATTGATGAAACTCATGGACACTGATGAAGAAAACGTATGTTAGAAAGACTTAGGAACATCCAGAAGTGAAGGAATGGCTAGCATCACACTTTCTGGGTGCTGCCATCTTCTTAAAGAGGACCTCCAGTTTTGGCAAAGCAGTGAAAATCTTGGTTGGGTTAGGGCTCAAGCTTAACTAGAGTGCCTCTCTACAAGGACCCTTTATCTTGGGGATGATCCAGAGTGGTGAATAGTTACGGTCATTATCCATAAAGTGATTGCTGGTCACTGCAACAACAATGACAGGAGGAGAACGCTGGGTGCCACCCTTTGTCCCCAGGCCTCTCAAGCTTGGGAAATACAGAATGTCTTTGTAAACAGTTGTGGCTGGTTACATCTCAGAACTGGACCAACCATTCATAGAATGGAGTTGGAAGAGACCACATGGGTCATCTCATCCAACCCTCTGCCATGCAGGAAATGCACCATCAAAGCACCCCTGGCAGATGACCAGATGTTACATGGACCCAATGTCACTCTTTGCTCTGGATTTCTTCGGCGTGAATTTGGAGCAACCTGTGACTTTTGTTAATGTGGTCCAAGGTCATGTTAACCCAAATCAGCTCTGTTTGTGGAGGGAATGTGCCCCTCTTTTGGGATAACGGGTCAGTGTAGATGTGCCCCTAGAGATTAAATGTTGGTTTCAAAGAAGCACCGAGCACATTTGAACAGTTATGTTTAAAGACTGTTGTCATCCTGGAGATCTGTCCAACAGAAACAAGACAACACATCATAATGTATGTTACAATTGCTTTGTTAATGTACAGTTCGGGGTCCCCAAAAGGATACTTAGAAGTACTGATGAGCCCAAGAATACCTCCCTTGATGGCTGCCAAGGTCCATCACCTCTCTCATTTTTAAAAACAACAACAATGTTTTACACCAGACAGTAACAAAATAAAGCACCAAGGTTGCAGCTACTCATAAATTTGGTGTCACGGTGTCACTGGACTGAAAATTGAAAGATGAAGATTTTAGTCCCACATCACCCCATGAAGCTAAGTGTGTGACCTTGTGCTAGTAGTCACTTTCTCTCAGGATGACCCATCTCACAGGGTGTTATAAGGATGAAGTGCAGAAAAGGAGAACCAAGTGTGTGGGGTTGCCACATGAACCAGTGGGAGATGGTTTACCTGGATTTTGGCAAGGGTTAGCTACCACTAGATTGGGAGAGGCTTTGCTCCAGGGCTTCTAGCTACCACCTCCTGCCACAACCTGCCCTGTCCCACTCCCTGCCCTGACAGACAAAATTATGGCAAAATTATGGGCTCACTTATCTTTCTTGTTCCTAGGCCCAGGGGCACTAAGATATGTTCTTGGATATTCAAGGCATGCACATGGTGTTCACACAAACCACCAACTGCTCCAGATTTCAAGCAAGTCTCTAGTTCAGGATGGACGGGAGGCGAATACAGTCAGACGTTGGTCAAGATCTTGTTGATGAACTACAATACTGATTGTATCTTTGTCCAAGGTTATGTAGAGGTGTCAAACAATGGCACACATTCTGTAATGGGATGCTAATTGTTTATGGTGCTTTCTGAAAAGGTGTGATCCAATACAACTGGGTGCAGCAGCATCTCCTCAACCCCGATGAGCCTCAGAGGAGCTTGGTTCATTCCTAATACTGGTTTGGCACCAGGAGAACAGCCATCCAACTTGGATCAGCTGTAGGAGGTGTGGTGATAAATTAAGAGCAGATTTGTCAGCCTCGCAGCTAATGGTGAGCTTCCTAAATGGCAGCGGTGGTGGAAAGTGCTAGCGCTGCTGTGATGTAAGGAGCCAGAGAAGAAGCTCCAGATCAGACAAGGCAGAGGCAGCAATGAAAACAGGAAGGAGGCATTGTGGGGCGAGTGGAAGGCAGGAGTAAAGGAGAAAGCTACCTTTGTGCGTACTGCTCCACTCGGAAATACTTTGCAATTTTTTCTTGGCTAAACCATTTCCCCTGTTATTCCTTACATTAATGGAATCTCCCTTCCCAAGAAACTAAATATCTATTCCTTATGCAGGCATTAATGGACAAGAGCTCTCTGCGAAGAAAAGGTGGAAAAATAAGACATTTGCGGGGAAGCACAAAGTAGCTTAGGTAGGTAGGTGACAGTGGGAAATGGGTCACATATTATCAACCCCTGCAAGAACAATCCACATTCTGTCTCCTCAATACAAAACATAAAGGAAGGGGGTGGTTCTGAGTGGGAAATTAGGTAAGATACAGTCCTCCTCATGATCTGGATCATGAAGAAACAATTTGCATAATACTCAAATGAGTTTGCACAGATTCAGGGAACCAGGACATGGTTGTACTGTATGTCGCTAGATGTACTGTATGTCACTACTAATAGTTTACTATAGGATTTTCCTAAGTAATAACAAGAATGAGAATCGGTTTGTTACTGCAGTAGAGCAACTGTTATGGGTTAGTTGGGTGTGTTATCAGCATACTTTATTAAACAAAGCACTGAATTTGCAAAGGTTGCTTCTAGCAGGAGGTGGCTGCTGGTAGCTGGTGTGTGGTGGTTGGTAGTTGGAAGCTGAAGCTGAAAATCAAGGCCGGGAGTTAATGCTTATCTGCACTACCAGTCAAGGGCATTCTGATTCCATGAAGAAGACAGGAACTGAACTGTTCAGTACTTTCGTTTCCTGTAGACTCACTGAAGAAAGTGTGTTTTCATCCTGTGGTGAGGTTAACTACAGGGAATTGTTTTGTAATATTGTTATACTAAGTGAATGAACTATTTTCTTTTCTACTTTAAAGGCACAACTGGCTCAAGTGTATTTTTTGAGTTCAGGGTCACACTGCATTAACGGGGCTGGCATATCTTTAAAAGGATATGTTTTTACAAATTTCTTACTCTGCTAGTCAGACAATATTGCTTTAGTTCTGACACTGGTCTGACACTGTAGGTGGAAAAAATAGAAGCGACAAATGTTACCAATAAACAAAATAAAATTACCTACCTAACTGTGCCTGTGAAGATGAAAATAAAAATTTTTTAAAATGCAATATTTGGGCCATATTTTAATGAACTGAACCAAAAGTGAAACAGTATTTCACCTTATCCACATGATCATATTACATAGAAAAAAATCACCAGTCTCTAGTGTACATGAATACATCAGACAGATTGAGCAGGTTCACAAGGAAGAAGGGGAAATTGCCCAGAGAAAAGTGTGCATGTCCTGATCTTTCAAAAGATGGTTTTTCTTCTTCTTCTTTTTAAGAGCAGGTCATTGGGTCTTAAAGGGCCGCGGCTAGTACAGCAGGTTAAACCGCCAGCTACAGAAAATCTTGCCAACTGGAAGGTTGGCAATTCAAGCCGTGGGTCGAGGTGAGATCCCTCTGTCAACTCTAGCTTCCACTAACCTAGTGGTTCAAAAACAGCAATGTGAGTAGATATATAGGTACCACTTCAGTGGGGAGGTAAAAGCCACCCCATAAAACATGCAGGCAATTAGATCAGGAAGGCAACAGGTGCCTCAGCATGGAAAATGGAACAACAGCACCTCCCCATGGCTGAGTCGAGCACAACCTCCAGATGCCGGAAATGAAAAAGAGGGAAGCCTTGCCTCTGTCTATGTTTGTCTGTCTTTGTTGTTAATTGTATACCGGCATTGAATGTTCGCCATATATGTATTTTGTAATCTGCTCTGAGTCCGCTCGGGGAGATAGAGTGGAATATAAATAAAGTATATTATTATGTTATTGTTATCTGGGTATAGTAGCAGCAGCATCAGAGGGGCAAGGAACTATGTCTGCCTCTAAACTGGCAACAGCTTCCACCATTCCCCAATCATCATGGCCACCCCTACTGGTGGGAAAATTCTGGAGCTGTAGTCCAATTTTTTTTCAAGCTCTGTTTAAAACAGGCTTTATATTCCCCTGTAATTCTGGAGGAAAGATACGATCGGTATCAGCAAGCATGCTATCTTGCAAGGAACCTTGGATACTGTCAATGACCTTCTGTCAAATGAGTTCCCAAATAAGATCCTGAAGGTCTGCAGAGTTTCACACAGCATGGTCTAAAAACGATGGTCCTATGCAAATTGAGCAAGCATTGACATGATGTATGCAAATCATATGATTTGCATTCATTGGTGCAATATTTGGATTGTTTTGGTGCAGCAAACACAACCACAACAATACAATTGGACCAGGTAATGCTTAAATCTCACGATGGAGGGATTCTGTTGGAGAAGTGTCTGCTGACAGTATCTGATCTGATGGACAAAAGGAGTATCACACAAGAGGGCTCAAAGCACTTCACTTTGTCAACAGGTCATTTATTCCAGTTGTGTAGGAATCAGGTTGATTTTAAAAAAATCACAGACCTCTTTTAGACTTTCTGGATCTGCGGTGTACAGAGTGTGTGCTCTCCTTGAAATGGTTGCGGTTGACTTCAAGAAAAGAACACATACAAACAGAAGAAAAGGGAAAAATAGAAAGCAGTTCAATGAGTTGTGTCTTCTTTTACGTGGTGGTGTTTTCAAGGTTAAAGCAAAAGAGCTGTAGAGTTGGAATGCGTTATTTTGAATAATCCTGGTTTGATTGTAGACACAGTGGAGACACCTGCCCTTGCGCTTTGCTACTCTGCTGCTGAATACACATGCCCAGTGTGGAATACATGTAAAAACAGTGGGCATGGCCCTTAATGAGACATACTGCATTATCACAGGATGTCTACACCCCACATCACTGGAGAAATTATACTGTTTAGCCGGTATTGCACCACCTGATATTCATCAGGAAGGAGCAGCCAGTAATGAAAGGACCAAGGCAGTGACATCTCCGGCCCATCCTCTGCTCGGATATCAGCCAGAATGCCAATGCCTTAAATCAAGAAATAGCTTTCTAAGATCTACAGAGATACTCGCAGGAACACCTCAGCAAGCGAGAGCCTGAAAGTGGCAGGTTAAAACCTGGAATGTCAATCAGTGGCTGAGACTGGATGAGAAACTCCCTCCTGGCCACACAGAAGACTGGGTAACTTGGAAGGCACTGAACAGACTGTGCTCTGGCACCATGAAATGCAGAACTAACCTTTAAAAATGAGGCCACAAAGTGGAGTCCACAGCATGCGAGTGTGGAGAAGAGCAAACCACAGACTACTTACTACAGTGCAGTCTGAGCCCTGCCACATGCACAATGGAGGACCTTCTTATAGCAACACCAGAGGCACTCCAAGTGGCCAGCTTCTGGTCAAAGGAAATTTAGTACAATGCCAAGCTTGTAACTTTGTTTGTGGCTTTTGTATGCATTATTACTGTATTCACAATTCGCTTCTACACAATATATAAATAAATTGTAGAAAAGTCCTAACAAACATTAGTTCACAAATTTTTGTGATGTATTTCAAGGAAAGGCTTCCCTTTCCCTTGAAATGGAAACAGCAACTTTAGGACAGCAACTTTTGGCAAGAGCCTAGTAAGGAGAGAAAGTCTTATATTCCCACGTAATAGAACCCACTGTCTCAAGGCTACTTAACTGAAATGTGCACCAGCATTTCACCATTGTAACAGCACTCATGAAACTAATGACATGTTGAATTCAAATCTGACTCTCCCGTATCTTGTCCTCGACTCATCCATGCCTTAAGCTAGTTTGGGAGTAAAATTTATTCATCTACACAAATAGACACTAATCACTTCCTAAAACTCCTGTAATAGTGAACATACATTAAAACACAAATAAGACTTGATAAAGTTAAAAGTTAAAAATAATTAAAAATATCATCATTAAAGTGCCAAGGTAAAACTTCATACCACAGAAGTTAAGGACGAAGGTTAAAACAAAGTTTAAAATAGACCAGCTATTATACAATCCCAATCCAGTTCAGATATCTGCGTTACCCCTACAGTTTACCCCAATCGCCTCCAAATACACAGTTCTCAGTTGCGTTGCTTTATGTAGAAAAAGGGCCATTTAGTCTGTTATCTTAGCATTCTGGCTATCCATTAAAAATGTAGTTTTGATATAAGGATCCCAGTCAGTCTTCTGTGTAATGAATGGTCTGTGGTATTGATTTCTCTCTTTCTTGTACAAAATACTACTAAACAGTACATGTGTAATGTCCTCTACCTCTGTCACCCAACAGATACAGAAACATTCGTTATATGGAACCTGGTTAAACCTTCCATGTTTAACCATTGTATCTGTCTGTTCAAATCTGGTTCTAGTGAATACCCTCCTGAGATGTTTAGACATTTCTGTCTTTAGGTATTCGGCTGTTTGAAAAGTGTGTTTGAAGAGACTTAGTCATTTCAGTGAGCCAGCTTTACTGAGGGTAGCAATGTTTTTCTGAGCCTCTATATCCTGTATTCGTTGTGCCACTATTTTTGGATCTGGTTCTTTTAGGAGATTTGGATATATAATTGGAAGTCCACAACTCCCAATGTATTTTGTCAGTTGAGCTAGCCAAGAGGACTGATTTTGATTTTTGGTCTGCTCTAACAGGCACAGTCTACCATTTGCCATGGCATTTAGCTTTAACCAATATTTATATGCCCTAATTTTGGATAAACCATCAACTGTGTATACTCCCATTTTTGTTCTCACTGCTGCAGCTTGCGTCCTTTCATCCACTCCCAGAAAGTTACGCAAGTACTGTGGCCTTAAGCTAGTTTTGTTTCCTGTGATGCTACAGTCTGCCAGGTACAAAGGACTGTGACCAAGAGTTCCACAGGGCACTTACATCAACATTGGTGACATGAAATGCACCATATGATTTCAGAACATCAACATCTTTCTTAAAGAAACCAAACAAAACAGGCTTTTGAATGTATCCAAGGCGCTGAAGCCTATGCCTCTCACAGAAGTTCAGCACCTTGGACAAGTTCCTTGAAGCTCCAACTAAGTCGGTAACTGCACTGAGCAGGTTATTTTTGCCCTTTGAAAAGAGACCCAAAGCAGTTCTGTTACTATAGCAGAGAGCCAAATACATGCAAACCAACAGCAGTTGCACCCACTGCAAGGGGCTGCTACGGTTGGGTGTCCTTACCTAGTTTTTCTATAGGGGTGTTTAGAGGGAGAAACCCTTGCTTCAGAAGCTGCTCCATCATGTCTTCATCGTCAGCTTGGATTTCAGAGACCATATTGCAAGGAATAAGGCCTAGTCTTGTGCAGGTTTCTCCTCGGTAAAACCCGTCAGCATCCTTATCACCATAAACCTGACATTGAGAAGGAACGAAAATCAGGTAAAGAAGCAATGACAAAATCTGACCAAGCTGCTGATTGTGATCCTGATCCTGTTGGCTGTTATAATAATGCAAACATACATGTATAGTGGAATTGTAGCACCAGGGGTTAAAAGGCTGTGAGTATTGCCACAGAGGAGGTGGCAATGGCAGGAAAAGTGGTTTCGGTCAACAGAGAAAGTTGCCCTGCTATCTCCTGGGCTTCTCAGGAGCCAGTGGGCATTCTCTCTTGACAGGGGTTGCTTACCTTTCTGTCCCCTCACCATTGCTACTCACCATTATGCTAGCATAACCATAAACCACCAAGAAAATCAAAAGCCCTCAACCAACATGATTTGGAGAAGACTAATTTATATACAATCGGTGAGCACACATGCCACCTTTCATAACGTGCACAGCTTTTTGTAAGAACTTGTATGCATTTTTATTTCACAAGACTACTTTGGCTAGTTGCAACTCAAGGTGTCCATAGACACCTCTTGGTTGCGTTGCCGGCATGGCTGCACGGGCATCTCCAAAAGAAATGGAATTCTTGGGTGTGCTCACTGGAACATGACATTTTTCAGAAAGGATGCAGACTGCTTAAAAATTGCAAGAGAGAAACAATACTACTGTGGTTGCAGCAATGGGTTAAACCCTTGCGCTGTTGAACTGCTGACTTGAAGGTTGGCAATTCAAAGCCGCAGGCTGGGGTGAGCTCCCGCTGTTAGCCCAAGTTTCTGGCAACTAGCAGTTCAAAAACATGGAAATGTGAGTATATCAGTAGGTACCATTTCGGCAGGAAGGTAATAAAGGCGCCCATGCAGCACGACCAGGAGGTGTCTATGGACAACAGACTCCTCGGCTTGGAAATGGAAAAAGAACACCTCCCCATAGCCAGAGTTGAGCACCAACTCCAGTAATCAGAGATGAAAGGGGAAGCCTTTACCTTTGTTCTAGAATCATAGAGTTGGAAGAGACCTTGTGGGCCATCCAGTCCAACCATCTGCCAAGAAGCAGGAAAATTGCATTCAAAGCACCCCTGACAGATGGCCATCCAGTCTCTGCTTAAAAGCCTCCAAAAAAGGAGCCTCCACCACACTCAGGGGCAGAGAGTTCCACTGCTGAACAGCTCTCACAGTCAGGAAGTTCTTCCTAATGTTTACTTATTTATTTATTTACTTCATTTATATACCGCTTTTCTCAGCCCTCGGGCAACTCAAAGCAGTTAACAACAGCAAAATTCAATGCAAACATCACAAAACAAATATGGGAGAGTTAAAACAGTAGTATCATCAACAATTAAACATCAATATAACAATCATTAGCATCTCATCAGTAAAATCAGAATCCAATCTCATCATCCATTATTCTGTATTCCTGTATTCATTACACTGCTTAATCGAATGCTTGTTCGAACAGCCAGGTCTTCACTTTCCTCCGAAACACCAACAGGGAGGGGGCCGATCTGATATCTGTAGGAAGGGTGTTCCACAGCCGAGGGGCCACCACTGAGAAGGCACTGTCTCTTGTCCCCGCCAGGCGTGCCTGTGATGCAGGCGGGACCGAGAGCAGGACCTCCCCAGATGATCTTAATGTCCTAGTTGGTTCATAGGAGGAGATACGTTCAGAGAGGTAAGCAGGGCCAGAACCGTTTAGGTGGGATCTCCTTTCCTGTAGTTTGAAGCCATTGTTCCGTGTCCTAGTCTCCAGGGCAGCAGAAAACAAACTTGCTCCCTCCTCCCTATGACTTTCCCTCACATATGTATACATGACATCAAGTCTCCTTTCCGCCTTCTCTTCTGCAGGCTAAACAGGCCCAGTTATTTAAGCCACTTCTCATAGGGCTTGTTCTCCAGACCCTTGATCATTTTGGTCGCCCTCCTCTGGACACATTCCAGCTTGTCAGCATCTCCCTTCAGTTGTGGTGCCCAGAATTGGACACAATATTCCAGATGTGGTCTGACCAAGGCAGAATAGAGGGGTAGCATGACTTTCCTGGATCTAGACACTGTACTTCTGTGTATTTGTGTGTCATTGTTATTTCACTGTATTAAAGGCATTGAATGTTTGGGTTGTAGATTTTCGGGCTACATGGCCATGTTCTAGAAGCATTCTCTCCTGACATTTTTCCTGCATCTATGGCAGGCATCCTCAGAGGAGGCGTTCGATAATATAAGTTGGGACTTCCTGATTGTACTTATACATGAATTGGACATGGGACACCGTTTCACCAACGCAATACAATCAACTTACAACAAACAAGAAGCTAAAATCATTGTGAACGGCCAAACAACTAAAAGCATTCAAATACAAAGAGGAACAAGACAAGGACGTCCTCTCTCGCCCTTACTATTCATCATGTCATTAGAAATCCTACTCAATAATATAAGAAATGATAAGAATCTAATCGTTGCAGGAATAGGACATCAGTCATATAAACTCTGGGCCTATGCAGATGATATGATATGTTTTATAGAAGACCCTCTTGACAATATAAATGAATGGCTAAAGAAGATAGAAGAATTCAGGAGCGCAGCAGGCTTTAAATTGAACAAGAATAAGACAAAGATCCTGACCAAAAATATTACAAAAGAAAAACAAAATATACTAGAAGACTCCATGGGAATAAAAGTGGTTACCAAATTAAAATATTTGGGCATATACATAACTGCAAAAAATTCTGAACTCCTTAAAAATAATTACGAACAAAAATCGTTAGAAATAAAGAAGGAATTAGAAAGATGGCAACACCTGAATCTCTCACTTTTAGGCAGGATTTCTACAATAAAAATTAATGTCTTGCCGAAACTAATATTTATATTCCAGGCCATCCCTATCGCCAGAAACATCCAAATCTTTAAAAATTGGAACAAAGATATAATAAAATTTATTTGGGCGGGCAAAAAGCTAAGAATAAAATAAATAAATTTGGTGGATGATAGAAGAAGGGGAGGTCTGGGGTTCCCAGGCCTAAGATTATACCACGAAGAGTGTGGTCTTCAGTGGATAAGAGACTGGAGTAATCGCAATGAAGTAAAAGATCTGACACTAGGAGACCACGATTTATGCAGTGGTTGGCACTTGTACAAATGGTACGGGAAAAATTTCGGCAACCACTTCATACGAGCGTCCCTGATAAAAATTTGGGAAAGACACAAGAATAAATTCTATCAAAAAACCCCATTATGGGTATCCCCATTAGAAGCAGTACAAAGAAGGGAATTAGGGTGGAGAACCTTGCCGAGATATATGGAGATCTTAAAGAAGCAAAACAACAAATATGAATTAAAATCCCAAAAGGAAATAAAACAACTTTATAATGACATTTCATGGTTCCAGTACAGACAGATAAGGGAAGCATTTAATAAAGACAAAAAAAATGGATTCAATGAGGGAAATAAAGCATGGGACAAAATAATGGCATCTGAACACAAAGTAATCTCCAAAATTTATAAAATACTACTGATTTGGTCAACAGAGAAAGAAAAAATAAAAGATCCCATGAAAAAATGGGCAAAAAACATTGGCCATAACATACAAATATCAGACTGGGAAGATATATGGAATTCTAAACTAAAATATACTGACTCGTACGACATCTGTGAAAACTGGTACAAGATGATGTACCAGTGGTGCATCACTCCAAGCATCTTAGCGAAATACTATAAGAATACATCGGATAAATGTTGGAAGTGTGGATCCCACACAGGGACATTCTTCCACTCATGGTGACTTGTAAGAAAGCAAACAAATTTTGGAAGTTAGTTATTGACTCAATACAAAAGATTATGGGGCTAAATATGGAAATGAGACCTGAGTACCTTCTTCTAGGAATAGTCGATTTCAACATGGAAAAAATTATGGAAATATTATTTAATTATCTGATTACGGCGGCCAGAATGGTATTCGCAAAAAATTGGAAAAGGCAAGACCAACCCAGAATAGAGGACTGGCTACTGAAAATTATGGGCATTAAGAATATGGACAGCCTGACTCAACGAAAAAGATCTATACAACAGAAAATCCAAGAAAAGATTGATTGGATCACAGTCGAAAATTTTATAAAAGAAAAGCTACAGGAAGAACCAGAACAGGGCAGAGAGCCAGATGAAAGAAGACTGCTCTAAGGAAAAGAACACAGAATTGTAAAATTGGAATGAGGAGGTCACAATATCTTTTTTTCCTTCTCTCTCTTTTTTCTTTTTTTTATTAGCACTCTGTCCTTTCACTTGTTATCTTATCTTATTTACCCACTCTTTCACTATAGAAGATATGTTTTGTTTTATTTCATTTTATTATATACTGGAAAAACCACCTTAGACGCACAACTCTGTAACCCCCCCTTACCTCCCCACCCCTCATTCTCAATAAAATATTATGGGGGGAAAAAATAGAACATGGCCATATAGCCCAAAAAACCTACAATAACCCAGTGATTCCGGCCATGAAAGCCTTCAACAATACATTGAATGTTTGCCTTTCTGTGTATGTTATAATCCACTCTGAGTCTCTTCAGGGAGATAGAGCGGAATATTAGTAGTAGTAGTAGTATTTATTTATTATTTATTTTATTTACAACATTTATATGCCGCCCTTCTCACCCCGAAGGGGACTCAGAGCAGCTTACAAAATATATATACATACAATATATTGTATTATTAGCATAGTACAATATCAGTATTATATATTACTATATTGTATTATACCATTCTATTGTAATATTATTCGTAATAGTAGCAGTTATTATTATTTTACTGACACAAAACACAGTATGTCACAGCAAACGAGATATATATGCTGGATTTCATATCACAAGATCACAAGTCGAACACTTCCCAAGCGTCTAGGACTGTGTGATGTATTTTCAAATGATGCATGCAGATCCAAATAAGTTGGCCTTTTGCAGTTGACAGATCATGATTTTGTCAATGTTTATTGTTTCCAAATGCTGGCTGAGGTCTTTTGGCATGGCACCCAGTGTGCCAATGACCACTGGGACCACCTGTATTGGTTTGTGCCAGAGCCTTTGCAGTTCGATTTTGAGGTCCTTATTTATCATCATCATCATCATCTTGAGCATGAATTCTAAGCACAAGCTTGCAAACACAGCCCTGTTCCATATAGGTATAATATACCTTGATAATCTGCCCTTCTTTGAATGGGAGTTCCTCTTCTGCAGCATCAGGATTAGGAGACATGGTCAGTGGATCATAGTCAAAAAGGGCAACAAAGATCCGTGTGGACACCTCTTCTGCACCAGGATCGGTTTCTGATTCTTCATACATTTCTGGAGAGAGACGATCTCGGCTACAGTATCCCTCTGTAACAGCAACAGCAAAACTTCAGTTACATGGAAGTTACTAGTACTGTGACCGGGTTTAAATTTTCAAATATCCTCTTGGGTGTTCCTCTGAATCTCTGGTGGGTTCTACACACACTATAATTCCATTTGGAAGTGGATCCAAACAAACATGTTTCGCTGGACAGCTGATTGTGGATCGGAACCGTAAAATTGTTTTGCGTTTGTTTGTTTTTTGGGGGTTATGCTTCCCCAAATGTTCCAGCCACCTTTTCCAATATCTACTATCATAGCTAATGGCTGCAGATAGCTTCACCATAACAGTAATTGATGCCCAACAACTAGTATTAAGGGGGTATTCTCATACCTCCTCGGAGCATGGAAGTGTCATTTGGCAACCTTCGCTTATAGGGAGGACGAAATGAAATTATTCTTTGTGACTTTGCTAGTCTCTTTTAAAGTTGTACACACAACCACCTCTTGTGAGTCAACTAAAAGCGTTTTCTTTTGCCGATACTGAGTCGTAGAAAAGATTGGAAACCCCCTTTATTTAAAATGGCCATGCCGGCTCAAGGATTCTGGCTGTTGTAATCCATAAAGTAACTCTGCAAACTCTCCAACAATGTTTTTTAGAAGACTCACCATTATATATTGAATGTATCTGATTTTGGAAGCTAAGCAAGGTCAGGCCTGGTTCACACTTAAATGCAAGACCACCGGGAAGGACTAGGAAAGAATCCTACTGAACACTTGGGACAATAGTGAGCAAGATAAACCAGTGGTATAGCTCAGTAGAAGGCTGAGTATAATAGGAATTAAACATCCCTATTAGCCCCATGTTCTAGCAACAGAAGAAAGACATTTTCTATCCACCAATGTTGCATCCTATCGGTGATATGTTGGAGCAAATGTGGCAGACTGGTTGGCAGTTGGACTGGAACCTAGGAAATTTAGGTTCTAGTTCTGAAACTCAGTGGGTAAAATTGGGTCAATTTTTCTCTCCATCACACTCAGTCTGATCTACCTCACAGACAGAATGAAGAGCTCTATACACCACCTTGAGCTCATGGAAGGAAATATGAGGTGTCAATACATATTAAGGTAAAAGAGAGAGGGGTGGCATTTGCCATAACTCCAAAATTCTGAAATCCAGTGCCCAGGAGTGTGCCATACACCCTGATTCCCTCCTCCAAGTGTATTCATCAAAGGGTTAGGCTTCTTCTTTCAAATGATTTAAATTACAATCTCTCTAGCTTGCATTTTCACAAACTGACAAGGGAACACTGGGTCAGTGGGCCACTAGGTAGCAGACACTGGACTATGCAGGAGGAAGAGGTAACATCAGACTTTGGCCAAAATACTTCCATTTGAAGATATGGAGGACCAAGTTATAAGACATCTTCTCTTCTCCTTCCACTGTTGGAACAAAGCTGGTTTCACTCTGATTCTACCTTACTTGCCAGGGCTGCATCCTAAGGAATTTCAGTTATAGTTCAAATCTTTTGAAATCTCAAAGAGATCCTTTACCGCCTCTCCAGATTACAAACAGCAGGATTCCAGAGGATGCAGCCATGGCAGTTAAAACAGTGAGCTGTGTGGAGAGGCATCAGGTGGGTAGGGATATAAATTCACTCAATAGGAGAAGAAAATGTATAATGATAAAAAGAGGGCCATGGTGGTACAACAGGTTAAACTGTTGAATAGTTGAATCTGCTGACCTAAAGGTTGGCAGTTTGAAGCCACTGGATGGTGTGAGCTCCCACTGTTAGCCCTAGCTCCTGCCAACCTAGCAGTTCGAAAACATGCAAATGTGAGTAGATCAATAGGTACTGCTTTGATAATAAAGGTGCCCATGCAGCCATGTCAACAACACAAACAGTTGTCGTCTACAGACAACAGCCTCCTTGGCTTGGAAATGGAACAAGAGTGCCTCTCCATGGTCAGAGTTGAGAACTACCTCAAGGAGCCAGAGATGAAAGGGGAAGCCTGTACCTTTGTTCTGTGTATTTGTGTGTCATTGTTCTTCCACTGTATCAAAGGAGGCATTGAATGTTTGCCTTTCTGTGTATGTTGTAATCCAATCGAGTCCCCCTTGGGGAGATAGAGTGGAATATAAATAAAGTGTTATTATTATTTGTAGCTGCTCAAGAACCCTAAACCCACCCCCAATATTTATCTGGATGATTTTCTGTCTCAAACACACCAAAATCTCATAAAGTTAGGCTTTCTCCCTCCCCACCATAACCCATTTTTGTGGCTGATGACCGGTTCCAAAGAGTGCCTATGTATAACATCATTTCCAGTGTGCTATGATGCACCGATGCGGCTTGGAGGAAGGTGTGTAGGAGTGAAAATTGCCCTCTACCCTCCTGCTGCAGTGTGTGTATAAATCCCATAAGGAAATTTAAGCGCCACAAGTGAACACAATAGGTGCAAAGGTCAAGAAATGGTCCCTAGGTATGTAGAACAGCAGGTGATCTCCTTTGTTCCAGAACCTGAGGAACACTACAGAGAATTTGAAAAAGTATGCATGCTACAGCATGATCATGATGGGGCACTGGGGGACAGACATCAGAGAAACTCAGTACACACAATTATGCTTGCTGATGTGATAATCATGCACAAATCATCACAGTGCAGCCAAGATACTATTTGATGCAGTCAAAGTAGAAAGCTTTGCCAGTATACTCACATGGGTCTGAAAAATCAAAGTGTGCTCCTTTTTCCTGAGCTGCACAAAAGAAGCTGGATGGCTTCTGAGCATCCCTGCAGTCAGTCAGCGGCCATTTGGTTCAGGGGGAAACAGTGCCTGAGCACTATCTGGGTGCTGTTGTACAGCCAAAGAAAAAGCGTGGCATGCAGAGGCCGTGGATAAATTCCATGGGCAAGATCGAATCAAGGGTTTATCCTGTCACTGATGCCCTCATTCGACCAAGAGGATTCCAGTCACTGTCTACATGCCATGAACTCACCAGGTGGCTTAAGGCAAGTTGTTATTGCTCTAGCATCCCTGCCTTGTCTTATAAGGCTGTGTAAGGATCATGGATACATGATACAACAAACAAATATAGGTCTGTCCATTGGCAATCCTTCAACATGAGTACCCCAGGAAGTTATCACACAAGACCATCCTATCACCACAAGGTGGATCATACAGAAGAGTATAATATAGTTATTCATTCATTTATTACATTAAGCTTTTAGGATGTACAACAATAAACAACAGGGTCCTACCACTCATAATTATGTGTGTGATGCTTCATTCAAGGCCTGTCTAGTCTCTATATTTGGAAGGGAAGGTCCTAAAACCTAGACGAGGTGCTCAACAGCCAGAATTGTCTGCAAATGGGCTGAAGGAGGAGCCCCTCCTCCTGACAATCCTATCCCCATGAAGAGACTTGAAGTGTATTACCTCCTGACACATGTAGAATGGGTTGTTGTAGAAGTTCTGGGCTATATGGCCATGTTCTAGAAGCATTCTCTCCTGACGTTTCACCTGCATCTATGGCAGGCATCCTCAGAGGTTGTGAGGTCACAAAACGTCAGGAGAGAATGCTTCTAGAACATGGCCATATAGCCCCAAAAAACCTACAACAACCCAGTGATTCTGACCATAAAAGCCTTCGACAGTACAAACACAGAATGCACTCATGCACTCCAGTACTATGCCTGCAACCCATGGTAATAATTTCATGTCTTTATGTCCATGAAGGCTTATGCCAGTGGTTCTCAACCTGTGGGTCTCCAGATGTTTTAGCCTTCAACTCTCAGAAATCCCAACAGCTGGTAAACTGGCTGGGATTTCTGGGAGTTGTAGGCCAAAACACCTGGGGACCCACAGGTTGAGAACCACTGGCTTATGCCATAACCCACTGAGTCACTTTCAGATGGAGGACTGTAAAAGGAGCTAGTAATCCAAAGATCATGTACAACCATTTCATTTTTTCTCTCCTTAAAAGCCACTTTTGAGAAAGGAGGAAAAATAAAGCTATGGGAAAATGTGACAAGACAGCGGTGGGAGATCATCTGTCTGGACAGCCTTTGTCCTAACTTCTGTTAATAGCGATTGCTTAATCAATCTCTGGAATCAACGGCTTCAATCCTGTTGTAAACTTTAGTCAATCCTTAAAATGAGTCCAGTTTACGTGCGCATTGACTCATTACTCAAGAATTGATCTCACAGGTCGATTATCATTATAGTTGTTGTTACGGTTTTAATTTCTATCCTGCCATTTTCCCGGAATGGGATTCGAAATAACTAAGTTAGAATATTGAAGAAGTCATGGTTAAAAATCCACAAGATACAGAAGTTAAAACACAACTGAACAATCAAAAAAACATTAAAATCAGTTTAAAACATAGATAACTGACACACATACAGAGACAACAGCACAATTGACAAGTGTCCAATGCATTGTGTAAGTCCTTTTAAAATCATTCATCAAATGCATATCAGAACAGAACAGTCTTTACTTGCTGGCAAAAAAGGAGGAGGAGGAGGGATGATGCCAGACTTATTTCTCTGGGCAGGACGTTCCAGATCCTTGGGGCAGCCACTGAGAAGACCCTTAAAGTTGCTTTGCGTCAGAAATGACTTTAAAGCACACAACAGTGAAACACTATACTTTGGACTGTCTCTCAGAAATGTTCAGTAGTACATTCAGTGCAAAACACAGTAGTCTGTTGTCTAGTTTGTGTTTTGAAAACTACATACTTCTGGTCTTTAGCCAATTGCACTGGCTTTCCAGTTTGGGGAAGACATGTTGATCTTCACCTCATGGATGCAATTCATGACATACTCTGCCTGCTTCATCCTTCTTGGAATCTATCAGACTTGCATCTGACGGGCAGGCTGAGATCAGAGCTTGGAAAAGTTATATTTACACAACACCTCTCAGAACCCCTAAGTTAGTTTTCAAAGTTCTGGCAACATTCCTATTTATTACATGTATTGGTGTGTCTGCATAAACAACTTGTCATAAGAGCTTGGAAGACTCAAGGACAGAATGTTAGATGTGACATCTCAGTTCAAATTTCATCCCAGCCATTGGACCAGTGGCCAGTTCTCAGCCTGTTTTCCACTTTTAAAATGGCTATCATGCACACTTGGTGTCAGAGGGAATGTTTTCATTTTGTCTGCCAAATTAATAAGATAAAGGAGCTGCAGTGGCACAATGGGTTAATCCCTCATGCTGCTGAAATGCTGACCTGAAGGTTGGCAGTTTTGACTCCGTTAGACGGGGTGAGCTCCCATCTGTCAGCTATAGCTCCTATCAATGTAGCAGTTCGAAAACAAATGTGAGTAGATAAATAGGTACCGCTTTGGCAGGAAAAGGCAGAGACACTCCAAGCAATCTTGCCAGCCACACAACCAGGAGCTGACAACACAGGATCCTCAGCTTGAAAATGGAGAAAAGCGCCTCCCCAGAGCCAGAGATGAGCACCGCCTCCAGAAGCCGGAAATGAAAGGAAAAGCCTCTGCCTTTGTTTGTATGTCTCATTGTATATGATTGTAAAGGCACTGAATGTTTGCCTATGCATGTAAATGCTGTAATCTGCTCTGAGTCCCCTGGGGAGAAGGGCAGAATATAAATAAAGTGTATTATTATTATTATTATTATTATTATTATTATTATTATTATTATTATGGTAAAGTAGAATGCATGTGAAAAGTGGTGCTGCTGTTGCTGCTGCTGCTACTATAACAACAGCAAGAACAATGAGAAAGAGAGAAAGACAGGAAGGAAGGAAGGAAGGAAGGAAGGAAGGAAGGAAGGAAGGAAGGAAGGAAGGAAGGAAGGAAGGAAGGAAGGAAGGGGGGAGAGAGAGAGAGAAGCAGCAGTTCTGCTTTAACATATAGGAAAATTCCTGTTGACATGCTATACTTTGCAAGAGAACAGTCACTCTTCAAACCATGTAAGCTACTAGTAAATATTTTCTATGACCATAACAAACTAATGCATTTGGGGTTAAATTCAACCAAGCATTTAGAACACATGCTTCAGGATCTAAATGTGGGGCATTGTAACAGTCTTATTTACTGTTACTACAAAGTCAGTCTTCGTGCTCACATTCTGTATAACAGACATACGAATGACATAGCAGCTCTGAAGCATGATGAAGACTATAATATTCTTTTAACTTATCCAGAGATTGCACCTTAACTTATTTCCAGTCCCACCCTATGATAAGCGAGTCAAATAAATCCTCTTTCAACCAGTTCTACGAGATAATATACAAACCAAACAAAAAGTAACTCCCATTTAATTTTGTTGGACTGTTGCATACAGGATCTTAGGGTGATGGTTAGTCACGTGCATTTAAGTTGCAGGATTTTGTTTAAACACACCTCCTCCTTGGATAAGAAGAGCATAGTGAACACATATGCTTGCTCTCTCTCCTTTCAGTTAGGGATATAATGCCACAGTTTGGCCACTAAGTGTCACTATTAGATTGCTCTATTCAGTCTTTTGCTGAATAGTAAAAAATGACTCTGGCACTATAGTGCAACTTGATTCAATATTAATTTCAGTATATCCAATGAAATAACAAGCTGCACTACATAGGGTTCAAAAAGCTTAGTTCAAAAGCTTTCAGGGTTTACAGACCATCAAGAGGACACCCTTCAGGGGAAGATAAGGAGTGTGAGTTCAAATTGTGGAAAGACATTTTCACAGATTAGGAATTTCCTTATAGGTTCAAGGGCTAAACGATGTGGTTGGAAGACTGTTAGCAATGTCCAAACATATTTATATTTGCATGGATTGAAAGTCAAATGATTAATCAACCAAATACAGAAAAACTGAAATCGTAAAGATAATTTTGGACACTCTGTATTCTAGATTTAACAGCTCTAGTACAAATGTCAACAAAGATCCTGCCAAATAGAATGAGAATAAGCCATTCCAAGGAGTGCTGACTCCCATGTGGCTATGGCCACCTACTGAACTGGCCATCATAGACTGTACTCTGCACCCAACCTTCTTTGGAACCAGAACGGATTAGGGAACTGAGGTGACCTCTCCTGTCATGGTGCCTAAACATTTGGTCTCATTTTTGAACAACAGCAACAACAACAACAACAACAACAACAACAAAACAGCACAAGGACATCTGGAAAGCAATGATGGACCAGACTAAAGGCCTCTTTCTTCCAGTCTTGTTCCCACTGCAGCCTATATGGAAAGCCAACCAGGAGGACATAGCTAGAGCTATCTCTTCTCAGTTCTGCAGAGCTATAGACATTGACTAAAGTTTAAAGGAAGACAATTTTGAGTGAACAGAGACTTTGGGTCATAAAACTTTAGTTCAGAAATGCATATCCTCCAACTGTCATGATTTACCGGGACACTTGCAATTAACCCCACCCCGCCCTTTCAAATGTGTTTCAGCAGTTCCATTTCCTCTGTCTTCCTCCTTTTTCTCTTTATTTCTCACTTATTTTAACTGTGACAGACTGAGTTCAGAGTACCAGCAGGAGGAAAAGAGGAGGTAGAGTTTTGCCCTCCCCTGAAGTCCCTGGCAAAAGCAAACTGTGGCTGCTTCTGACTTAGGTTTCCTTCATTAATGCCATTTGCCATTTTGACCACACTCTGATGTTACTTGGCCACAGATGTCTTTCATCTGTTTGGAAGTTAGGTCACCAGACATAATACCATTGACAAAATTCCCAACGGAATCAGTGTAATGGTATGAATTATTATATCAAAAATGGGGAGATTATTTGATTATCAAAAAGTAGAAAAATACACAAAGGGAAAGTAAGAACAGGCATTACACACGCAAATACAACACACACTGAATATAGAATCTTCCGGTATTCTGGATTAGGTCACAACAACATAATAATGATATATAGTCAAAGCAGATTTTGCCAGTGTGTCCGTTGCAGGTGCTTAATATTTATGGGATATATGTGAAGTATTGTCTATATATTAATGGGATTTAATGGTTTGTCAATCCTCATTTTCGCTCTGGTGGGGCAGGGCGGGGGGGAGGGGTGAACAGAGACCAGGAGTGGAAGCACCCAATGCTGAAACAAGATTTGAATATAGGAATATTTTTTGGAAAAATGAGGATTACCAGCGGATTTGTTCTCCACTTGGGACACCAAATATCTATGAGGAAATGCAAGATGAGACACTTTCAATTGCATTCTGACCAATTTCATTATAGTGGGTTCTTTGTATCCACTGGGGTTGGGATCTTCATCACACTAGAGAATGAATCCACTTGAAATCCGGTTTCTGTAGCTTAGTGAGGCTGTTAAAGGCTCCTCCCTAACCTACAAACCCAGAATTCTTCAGGCGGCAGCAACTGGATTTAAAGTGGTGTGATGAGGTCCCAGGACACAGAAACAACACTTATGGATACCAAAATCTGCAGATACTGAAGTCCCACTATATACAATGGCATGGTAAAAGGGTGTCCTTTATACAGAATAGAAATCAACAAGGAATGTGTCCAGAGAAGGACGACTAAAATAGTGAAAGGTCTGGAGACCATGAATCCCTCTGAGGATTGTCTTAAAGAGCTGGGTCTGTTTAGCTGCAGAAGAGAAGGGTGAGAGGAGACATGAGAGCCAGGTTTAAATATTGAAAAGGCTGTCATAAGCAAGAGGAAACAGGCTTCCTTTCTGCTACCCTGGAGACCAGGACTCAATGGAGCCATAGGTTCAAAAGACAGGGAAGAAGATTCCACCTGAATATTAAGAAGAACCTCCTGATCATAACAACTGTGCCAACAATGGGACCCACGGACTCAAAGTCTGGTGGAGGCTTTTAATCAGAGGCTGGATGGCCATCTGTCAGGGGAGCTTTGAATATGCTTTTCCGGCATGGCAGAAGGGGTTGGACTGGATGGCCCATGGGATCTTTTCCAACCCATTTACTATGATGAAAGAAAACCTATCATCACTGTCTTGGGAGTAGAGCTGGGTGAACAAAGATCCACCTGCTCCCTGACAATCAGCTGTATTGCTGGAGGATTGTGAATTTATAGTACCTCCCTGAAAGTAGTGGGACAGTGGAGAAGAACCAAAGGGAAGGGAATCAACTCATTTGAGATGTGTTAATAGAGAAGAGTTCTATGCCAAAAAATCTTCTAAATGGCAACATGACTAAACTGAGTCTATAATACTTTGGGGATAAGACAATAGTATGTGGCACGTCAGGAAGCAGCAGAAAAAGAATGAGACTACATTACAGATGGAAATCCTCAACCAACAGATGGTCTCTGTACCATCTATTACTGACGAACACATCAGGAAAACGGAAAAGTTTTCTGCACAGTTTGTGTCACAATGGTACAGTTTTAGCAAAGGAATGACCCAACTTTGATTTTTGCTACTGGTTATCACCGATTTCCTCTTCGGGACCCTGTATTGATGAGCCAACTTGCAATGGAAGCATTTTGGATGAGGGCAATAAAGCGGTACTGTGATCAACGTTTGCTGGTTACTGGGACAGCCAAATGGGAAGAAAACAGGGGCAGAAGGTTCATGCAATGGCAGTTCAGTGCACTGACTCATTTCAGAATGGAAAGCTTGATGGCATGGCAGGAGATGTGGATGGATGACCAAACGCTTTCTTCTCCCTTCGTGGTTGATCCTAAGCAAGACTTACCTGTTCGTGTTTCTTTTTAAGAGGGGAGGGGAAGAAGGCAAGCAGGAGAAGACTTGCCTCATGTAGGCAGCCGCCTTAGCATTCGGTGGCATGCAGCGTAGACATATAGTAATGGCGCTCAATTAACACTCAGCTCTTTTAAAAAGCAGCTTCTTTTTGTTTTCGGTACAAAGGACAAAGAAGGGTTTTGGCATACCGTATCTATAGTCAGAGGCCATGGTACGTTGCTGGCACCATTTCCTGTGTCCGTCAATCCTGCGATAATAAGCTTCTTCTTTTATGGGGGAAATATTTCCCTCACTACCTGACCGAGACCAAGCGCCTTCACTGTTACTGTCCATTGTAATTTCTATGGAGAAAAACGGAATGGTCTATTAAGCATGACTTACACATTTGTTTTTGTTTTTTTGTGGAGGCTTCCACATGGCAGGGATGCAAAGCTTGAAAATGTTTGTCTGGGATGAGCTCTCCTAGAATTTCCCAGCCAACATGGTCGCTGATAACATAAACTAAGGGCCCTTCCACACAGCCATATAACCCAGAATATCAAGGCAGATCATCCACAATACAGCAGAATCTCACTTATCAAAAATAATTGGGCCGGCAGAACGTTGGATAAGCAAAAATGTTGGATAATAAGGAGTGATTAAAGAAAAGCCTATGAAACGTCAAATTACATTATGATTTTACAAATTAAACGCCAAAGCATCATGTTTTACAACAAATCGACAGAAAAAGCAGTTCAATACACGGTAATGTTATGTTGTAATTACTGTATTTACTAATTTAGCACCAAAACATCACAATGTATTGAAACAGGGGTGGATCCGGACGGGAGGTAGACTGCGTTGGATCATACAGAACATTGGATGAGCGTAGGGTAGGATAAGTGAGACTCTACTGTATCTGCTTAAAACTGGGTTATCTGAGTCCACACTGCCATATAATCCAGTTCAATGTGGATTTTATACATCTGTGCGAAAGGGGCCTAAGACAGTCTAGGTGTTGTATAGTCTAAAAAAGTAACATTTACAAGCTCTGGGCCACAGGCACAGCTCAATGTTGTTGATAGTTTGTTTGTTTGTTTGCATCAGATGTTTCTGACATGCATCTCCAGTGTTTGGCATCTGAAACAGCAATGTCACATTTTGTCCAAGATCTTGACACATGGACGGGATGGTTGGGTGGGTAGTTTAAGAGTCACGCATAGGGATGAATGAATTTTGCAATCTGCCACATTGCTTTTTCCACCCTGTTTATTAAATGTTTATCCATTCCATGTATAAAGCATCAAACAATTTCCTCACCTATCTGCACTAGCCAAACTTCAACAGGCATTTCCAGCAGGAAAAGAATGAGATTGGACCTATCTGCCATACAGTTTCTCAGGGCTATTTACACTTCACAATTACAGTGTTACGACTGCACTTTCTGCAGCAGTGTTTCCATCCTCTGGAATCTTACTTCACGGGGTGGCATCTGGAATTCCCAGGCAGAGAGCTCTGGTGCCTCCTCAAACTACCAATCCCACAATTCTCTTGGAGGCATCCATGCGATTAAAGTGGAATCATATTGCTAACGTTGTATGGTGTGAAAGGGCCCTGAGAAAAAGGGAAAGGAAGCAATCCGAATTCAGCATCATAAATCTGGTTGAATATGCAAGCATTCAAAGAGGGGTTTTGAAAAGTCAAAGACTCCAAACTCTCTGCCTGAACGGGGCAAAGCTGACAATTTTGCTTTCAGCCATATACTAGTGGATTTTTTTAAATCCCCAAGTTCTTTCCATCCTTTTTAATGATGAAATTAGGGGGAAATCAGTTCTTATTAAAGAAGAAGAAAAAAACCAAAATTATCTCCAGTGCCTTGTCTTGCACTCATGACAATCTGCAAAGCCATTAAGGAGAGACAAGAAAAGAAATATTAGATGTCTCGCACATGAAGGAACACTTGAACGGTATGATTAACAGAATACTATCGGCTTTTTGACACATTTTACTAGCCACTTCATGGACATATCAAAATTCAAGAAGGAACTAGCAGATACAAAAACAGCTAAGGTGAGCTCATCCTATGGCTTGAAAGAAGACTCAGAATAAGAACTATACCTTTATACAGAATAGATCTATACAAACCCTGAAGTTAGTTCACTCCCAAACATGGGAGCTAATCTAACAGAAGTCATCACCTTACCTGCTTTGAAAGTGCTGATTTGCAAAACCTTTTTGGGGTGGTGGAGGCAGAAGGATCATACAATAAACCAACTCCTTTTTTTTTTTGCCTCGGTTTAGTGTAATGACGTAATCTTGTGAAAAATAATATCCAAATGCAAAAAAGCCATAACAGTCTAGGGCAGTGGTTGTCAACCTGTGGGTCCCTAGATGTTTTGGCCTTCAACTCCCAGAAATCCTAACAGCTGGTAAACTGGCTGGGATTTTTGGGAGTTGTAGGCCAAAACACCTGGGGACCCACAGGTTGAGAACCACTGGCTAGAGGCTAGTGTTCTGGATCGCTACACTTGAGATCTGAGCCCACATTTCCACTCATGTGTCCTAGGTAATAGCAATTTTATTGATTAGCCCTTAGACCATATCACAATACCAAACCAAACAACAAGGCTTGATAAAGACTTGATTGCACTCTATGTATGTGTCCTAGGTGTTCTACAGTCCCTGAGTCACTTTGGGGAGCTTCTAAACTGACACTATAATCCAGTTTGGAACCAGTTTGGACGGAACTGGTTTGCACATGAGTGATCAGGTTGCCATGCCTGGAACCAGTTTGAGGCCAGGAAAGTGACTACATTTACTATAGATCTTAGCCTCAAACTGCTCTGTGCAGGATGTTCTCTCTCATTTCCAGGAGAGATGCACCAAAGGCATACAGGATGAAAAAATGGGGAAAGTGACAGTTAAGAGTGGAAGTACTCCATTACTTTTCCCAGGGGTCCAATGAAGCCCTCGGCTGTTTTTCTGGCATACCATATTTGAGATTCTTTACTGCAGTTCAGCAGGGGCACATGCCTACGAGGCCCACATTTTGTGGAGCTGATTTTGCCCTTGATCTGGGATATACTGATGTGCACTGCAGCACATCTTCTACTGAACTTAGACTTTCCTGATACTTTTTTTTAATGTGTTGCATACTCCTAGGTGCGCACTGCAATGTGCATTGACAGTATACATTGTGTGGCCCCTGCAGCCTCAAGTTGGCTTCAAACTGCATTCCATAATCAGTGTAGAAGAGCCCTTAGTGGTTGCAGTGACAATAAAATGAGGGCATGGAACCCTATGTATTGAATTTCCTTGGGAGAAGTGGTAAAATGGAAGAAACAATAAATCAAATGACAGCCTTTTCATTTGTTTTTTTAGGCTGTGGTGTTACATTGTCTTGCTAATGTTCTCTCATAAATAGAAGCCAGAAAAACATTTCAGTCCATGCAGAGCTCCCATATGCTGAAATTCTCCTATTTCTTTCAATGAAATATGCCAACACATACATACAAAAAAACATATAGATCTAGGAAAGGTTCCCCTTTTGGATCAGAACTCCCATAATCCCCTAGCCAGGGAACTCTGGTAGTTAATAGCCACAAAAGTAACTTTTCCATGGTGTGGAAACGTATGCATTGATTGGTATAAGACTGAATGGGCAGATGCTTGAAGTGTGGATGACACAACTGTGGATACCTACTGGAAACAACTCACACCGACACTAGCATTTACCAGGCTGTGCCTCAGTCGAATTGCCTACTGGAAATATCTTTGCATGTTCTCAAGAAAATAAAAACAGCCTCTCTCCGCAAAAAAAAAATAAGCTAACAACCTGCCCACTACACAAATATTGCAACAAAATGTCACAGTATAACTTCTTCCTATGCTGGCGTGAGCAACACATTACCCTCTAGTTGTGCTTGACCTCATATTTGGCTATTGCTGGATAGGGTTGATGGGAATTGTAGTTCATTGCTGTTTAGGCAGCCCAATATGGTCCACCTTTCTTCCTGTTCAGGGTTTGAAATAATCTAGAACTTCGGCCTTTTTTGTCACAAACTTAAAGGGGCAGTGGTGGGTTAAGGGTTAGGTGTCAGAGAAAAATGTTTTCATTTTGTCTGCCAGATTAATAAGATAAACGAGCTGAGGTGGCACAATGGGTTAAAACCCTTGTGCTGCTGAACTGCTCGCTGAAGGTTGGCAGTTCAAATCCACTGGACGGGATGAGCTCCCACTGTTAGACCTAGCTCCTGCCAACCTAGCAGTTTGAAAACATGGAAATGTGAGTAGATCAATAGGTACCGCTTGGGTGGGAAAAAGCAAAAAGACGCTCCAAGCAGTCATGCCGGCTACACGACCAGGTGGTGTCTATGGACGCAGGCTCCTCGGCTTGTAAATGGAGCAGCAGCACCTCCACCAGAGCCGGAATGAAAGAAGTATTTGATTTTGTCTGTGTATTTGTGTCTCACTGTATGTCTTGTAACAAGGCATTGAAGGTTTGCCTGTGTCTGTTCATACTGTAGTCGGCTCTGAGTCCCCTCGGGGAGAAAGGCGGAATATAAATAAAGTGTTGTTGTTGTTATTGTTATTATTACTGTTGTTGTTATTATTATGTTACACAACAGCAACACTTTTTTTCATTTACAAATGTACTACTGCAAACTTAAGTGGCTCACCTAAGTCCAAAGAAACCACTGCCTGATTTTGAGCAGTTCCATTTTTACTACTAGACTTAGGGGCACCAACACTTGGCTTTGCTTATTTGAGAGAACAGCTAACCTGTAAAATAATAATGATAATAATAATAATAATAACAATAATCTTTATTTATATCCTGCCACCATCTCCCTGAAGGTACTTAAGGTGGCTTACAAGGCACTCCAGGGTGTATATATAACATAAAATAGGTAAAAACGGTACAAAATCTCTGCAAGGGAGGTGCTGCTGATGGTGGCAACAAGCCATCTTAGATGGAATTATATTTGGGAGGAACTGTGGTGTCAATGACAGGAAATTTTTGGAGATATTGGGGTCTTTCATTTTACTTCTTACTCAGATAGTTAGATATTTCTTGGTACATTCAAACTCTCAAACAAGTGAAAGGAAAATGCAATGTGTTGATTAAGGTGAGTGGCATGGTGGATGAGTGGATGGATGGATGGATGCATGGATGGATGGATAAAGAGTGTAAGTGCAATTCAGTTACAATTTATTTCAACCACAGGGATGTCTTTGTGACAAACATGTCAAGTATCATTGCTTCTCTTTTTCCTCCTCTCCTCCTCTACCTTTGATTGGAAGTTATCCAGAAGTTGGTTGAGTTTTCCTCCAGTTTTTTTGAAGCAACACCCCCAAAACAACAAAACAAAATGCCTCCTAAGTGGACATGAAGGTATTGAGAAGACCACATTGAGAATTAAATGTTCCCTTTTAAAATCATCATCCCAGCTGCTTTTATTATTCATGCGACTGTGCCTGTTCATGTGCGTGAACACAAATAAATAAAAATGTCGAATAAAATAAATGAACAACACTGTAAACCTGCATCCCAGGAGGGTACAGAGCCAGGCTTTAGCACAGCAGGATAACCACCAGCTGCAATAAATCTTGCCAACTGAAAGATTGGCAGTGTGAAGCCCGAGTCGGGGGTGAGTGCCAGACCTTCAGCCCAGCTTACTGTCCAACAAGCAGATCGGAAACAGCTGTAAGTAGATAACTAGGTACTGCTTAATGGAGAAGTATTTTAATGCCACCATAAGGAAATATCAGAAAAATGCAGGCAATTTGATCAAAAGGAGTAAATCTGTGACCAGGGCTCTTCTGCATGGAGGATGGATCGACAGCACCCCCCATGGCTGGAATCGAGCCCAACCTCCAAGATGCCAAAGGTGAGAAAAGCTTATATACCTCTATCTGTGTCCTGTGTCTGTCCTGTCAGTGTGTAACGGCATTGAATGTTTGCTGCATATGTGTTCCGTGATCTGCCCTGAGTCCCCTTCGGGATGTGAAGGGTGGAATATAAATACTGCAAATAAATAAATACACTTGGTCACCAAATGTTTTATATATGTAATGGAATGGTAGATAGTAAACCTGTTTTTCTTGAAGACTTTTATTCTGTGTGTTATCACCAGCAGTCTTCTAAACATCTCTTATCAATTGTTGCACTGAATTTAAAATTATTATTTGCAATGTAATCAAGATGTCATTACATTGATATTAATTTTAATAGCTTGTTATGGGATGGTTCGTTATATCGTTATGGGATGGTTCATTACATCGCATATTTTCTCCCTAGCAAGTGAAATAAGCAGCTGGGTTATGTTTGATTTCAACTGTGTAACAGCCAGGGAAGAACATTCTGAGCAACCCCTTAGGTCTAACAGGGAAGGAGTGTTCATTTTGACTTTTCAAGCTTCTCATTTTTCCAATCAGGAGCCCCAGGTGGTGCAAGGGGCTAAACCATTGTGCCAACAGGACTGATGACCAACAGGTTGCAGGTTCGAATCCGGGGAGAATGTGGATGAACTCCCTCTGTCAGCTCCAGCTCCCCATGCGGGGACATGAGAGAAACCTCTCACAAGGATGGTAAAACATCAAAACATCTGGGTGTCCCCTGGGCAACGTCCTTGCAGACGGCCAATTCTCTCACACCAGAAGTGACTTGCAGTTTCTCAAGTCACTCCTGACATGAAAAAAGAAATTCTAATTATAAATTCAGTTTGTTCCTGCACTTAGTGTTTATTTAAAGTTTGCATGAAAAATTTGTACATATTTCTCCTAACGTTTTTGTATGCAAGTTTCTCAATATGCACACTTTTCCAAGCAATTTTCCTAATGTAATGCAATCTCAGTGTTATTTCCCCTAAGATAAACAATGTGGGTATGTGTTCCTTGATTGGAAAGCTCCATCATAAAATCTGAATATGCCCACATTTCAAATGAAATCTGCAGTTCACTTCTGAACAGGGTCAAAAGCAAGAAAGTTTACATCAAAATGTGAAATTCTTCCGCTGTCCCTCTTTGAAACTACTTTGAAGTTTATTTGTTTTATTTTGTGTTAAGAAAGAGAAGAACAAAACTTTTACAAATAACATCTTCTTTGGCTTGGGTCGGCACGCTGAAGGTAAGAATTCTGTGTTGCAGATCCTCATCAAACTACATTTCCCCAGAGTTCTTTGAGGAAAGGCAACTGGCAACTGCTCAAATTAGTTTTAATGTGTATCGACGACACTGCTAATGGCACACCAGCAGCTGCACTTCAGAAATAGATTTTGAAACAGCAGCTATCTCCAAACAATTGAGAACAGCATGTTTGGGGAGGGAAGCACTCCAATGGGATGGATGAAAAGATCAAAGCCTGTGCAAGAGTTTCACCTGTTTTGTTGCATTATTCACGCATCACCACGGAACAGCTAGAGACTCAGCGAAACCAAAACTGTCCACTCAACATCTCTGGAAACAAACTCTTTTTTACTTAAAGCATGACAGAAATGGTTGAACCCTCCTAGCTGGCTGATCAGTGTCCAAAATGAACAGATATGCAGTCTTGTTCCCTCAACGAGACTAAGGACCAATTCAGAGAAGACACGCAGGAGCAAGACCTCAAGGGAGCATAACACTTCAGAATGCGACAATAGGAGTGGCCTATCTGAATGCTCTCACACATTAATATGCGTGGTAGCACATTAAAAAAGATAGCAGCTTTGGATTGCTGTGAGTTTTCTGTGCTGTTTGGCCATGTTTCAGAAGCATTCTCTCCCGACATTTCATCCACATCTATGGCAGGCATCCTCAGAAGTTGTGAGGTCTGTTGGAAACTAGGCAAGTGGGGTTTATGTATCTGTGGAATAATGTCCACGGTGGGAGAAAGAACTCTTATCAGTTGGAAGCAAGTGTGAATCTTGCCATTGGCCACCCTGATTAGCATTGAATGACCTTGCAGGTTCAAAGCCTGGGTGCTTCCTGCATGGGGGGATCCTTTGTTGGGAGGTGTTAGCTGGCCTTGATGGATTCCTGTCTGGAATTCCCCTGTTTTCTGAGTATTGCTCTTTATTTACTGTCCTGATTTTAGAGGTTTTTTTAATACTGGTAGCCAGATTTTGTTCATTTTCATGGTTTCCTCCTTTCTGTTGAAATTGTCCACATGCTTGTGAATTTCAATGGCTTCTCCGTAGTCTGACATGGTGGTTGTTCGAGTGGTCTAGCATTTCTGTTTTCTCCAATAATATGCTGTGTCCAGGTTGTTTCATCAGGTGCTCTGATATGGCTAACTTCTGCCTCAAACAGACAGGAGTTCTTTCTCCCATTCTGGACATTATTCTACAGGTATATAAACCCACTTGCCTAGTTTCCAACAGACCTCACAACTTCTGAGGACACCTGCCATAGATGTGGGCAAAACATCCAGAGAGAATGCTTCTGGAACATGGCCATATAGCCCGGAAAACTTACAGCAACCCAGTGATTCTGGCTATGAAAGCCTTCAACAACACAGATAGCAACCTCCTCACTGGTGAGCTCGCTGGGCAGAGAGAAGTGGCACAGGAAGCAGTTTGAAAATGTAACGCTTATGGCCTCTCGCATGTTGAAGTGGTATAAATCCATTTGGACATAAGAACCTGCACCTCTAAAGCAATGCAAGACTCCAGTTGCAGCCATACATTTCATATGGCACTTTATGTGAGTTGTTGTAAGCTTCTCTCAACAAATCCCCACCCAAGTATTCCTATATAAACCAGACACAAACAGTTTACTTCCACTGTGTCTACATTTACAGTGAAAGAGCTATCCTTCAGGAACTAGCCTTCCCTTGCCACCTATTTGTCATCCACCGGCCCTGCCTGGTGGCCCCAACAAGCAACACAAATGTACCGGTCAGGCCAACTAACCAATAGATGGGACCAACATAGGGCGCGATCTCTGTGGTCCAGCGCTACCATGAGATATTCTTCGGCCCAGCTGCTCCATCCTGTCTGGACGTCCAGAGGATGACAGATTACCTAAGAGCTAAAGAGGAAAGGAATAAAAAAATAAAATAAAATAAAAAGGGGGGACGAGAGACAGAGAGAGAGAAAGGTTTGAAAGTTACACAACTGCACACCGCAAGGAGTGTTAGGTGTTAGTGAAGAGGGCAGGGTGTGTGGAATCAACAGAAAATCAAGTAAATCATTCTCAAAAGCAGAAGTACTAAAGGCAACTAAACTTGGTTTTTAACTGAAAGGTTAGCTGAAAAGAGGACGGATGCCACTAAACCTGGAAGAGGAAACCAAACAAAAAGAAAAAAAATAGTTCTCTAGTCTGATGTGGCACATACTTTGAGAACAACAAGTTAATACATTGGAACAGAAAAAGAGAGAGTTTAAGACATTCTTTTGCCTTTGTCGTTGCCATGAACCATGCTTCTAGACCCTCTGATTCCTCCTCAAAGGAGCTACACAGAAATCCCCCGGAGCTACAAAAAATAGAGTGTCATTCTCTTCCTCGTGCCTCTCCAGCCCAAAAACTGTTGCATCTGCAGCATCGCCGTTACTCTCCTGCCATATCATGCCCCTACCAGTTTGGTCTGTGGCTGCCTGGGTAGTCTTTTAAAGAGCTTATGAAGAGCTTCTTGCGTTTACTTATTTAGTTTCCACCAGTCAGAATTGTGCGGCGGGCAGACAGGCTCTGCTCACAAGTGTTGTGGGAAAGGCCACATTCTAAGGCTCTTCGGGGACAACCACGGAAGTTAAATACAGGGGTGGGATGTGGCAGCCATTTTTGTTTGTGGATGCACAAGAGAGACCGACTAAAGAATCTTCTGAGAATAAACGGATTGCCTAGTTAATGCAGACGCAGACGCTGCTGTCTTTGCTATCATCCATTATGCAGGGTAGAGTATTTCTGAAACCTCCATGGTCTGGATTGGTGTTGTCCCAAAGGGTGCCCAGCCACTCCTGGCACCTTGGGAATGCTTTGCTGGCATAGCTTGCACCCTCAGCTGGAGGCTGCCTGGCGCGGCACTAAAGGCCCCCACAGATTGGGACGAACAGAGGAGCTGGCAACACAGGTAGAGAGAGGCTAGGAGGCTTTGCCTGCATGCTGGGATGCAGGTTGCAACTTCAAAGGCAAGAAGAGATGGTATTTCTTTTCTTTTTTTTAGGGGGTGGGGGTAAAGAGGTGATGAGAGAAAGGTGGATGACAGAAACAGAATGGATTCTGTGACTCCAAAACCCTAGGCCACTGTCACTACATGACAGGAAAAGGTGAGGGAAAAGGTGTTCTTGGTACTTGCCCAGAGATAAGAATTGAAGAGAAAGATAATTCTTCCTTGAAAATCTGGGAGTGAGGGAAGCAAACACAATATGACAAATGGAAATATTTAAAGCAGACCTTAAACAAACGGGAAAACAAGGGTCGAAATAAAGTGGTCATTTGGCCGTTTCTATTGTTTTCATCCCCAATTATAACTAGCAAAGTCTCTTACGATTATATTCTACAGATTGTATTGAAACCCAAGGCAGGCACACACATACACACAAAGAATAAAGAAAGGAAAAAAATTAAGAAGAACCCCAAATGTTAGGAAAATGGTAGTTCAGCTAACCCTTAATTAAAATTTAGTTTCAGTTGTCCTTTGAAAGGAATTGGGAAGCCGGTATTTATGTACTTATTCATTTGTTGTCTGCAGGGGGGATAAAAAAATGTTGTAGAGCAAATTAATCCCATTTTAGTATGGCACCAAATAATAATTAAAACAGGAAAACAAGTATTAAGAAGCCTGTGAAGCAACATAGATTAATAAAGAAATTAAATATGCGGGGGGGGGGGGGGGAAGATGAAAGAACGTAAATACATGCTGAGGATGGATTTGGGGGGAAATGAATGAAAAAAGAAAGAAAATGACAAAGAGGTAGAAAAAGAGGTCGATTTGGCAAGCAGGTGGTAGAAGGAAGTTTTTATTTCAACACACCAGAGGGTCTTTAGGCTCTCTGCTGGATGGCCTTGTAAGTGGGATGCAAGGTGCCCTATAGTCATTCTCTTTTAAGGGACTGCTCCAGCCTCCCTGATAATCTTCACGAGCCAAATTATCTGCTCTACTACACCTCTGAGGTTCGTGCTTCCTCTCATAATAAACCGGCTTGCAATCCTCACTTCGGGATTCTAGAAAGGAGGGCATGGGATCCCCAAAATCTTCTTCGATGCTGCTCTGCCGCGTCAGGGTCCTCCGGCGTGCCAGCAGTGGCCGTGATGCTTTCTTGCACGAACAGTTCCTGCCATCTGCACAACAGCTGGGTGCGGCATAGGCAGAACCCATGTCATAAGCACTGCGGAAGTTAAAGCGTAACTCCTCTTCTTCACTGCCACAGTCCAGGCCACTGTCTGGGCTCCGGGTGGAAGACCGGCTAAATTTGTAGCCCCTCTCTTCCCAGTCCTCCAAAAGCCGTTGTTTTGCAGGGTGCCAGAAGTTGTGCTGCTGCTCTTGATTGTAGGCTCTGGCCGATCTACTTTCTCTAGCTATCATGCTTCTCATTTTGTGGGACTTCCCTAAACCCTGTTTGTGCAAAAGTTCCGAATAATCACCATCTTCTTCGGCTACTTCAGGGATACTGAAAAGCTTTTTACTGTGATGGATCTGCTGGGCAAAATCAGGCCGTTCCAAAAAAGCTGCTTCGGTAGTCTTATTCTTATAATATTCCTTTAAGCGTATATGTTTTTAAAAGAAAAAAGAAAACAAAGAATAGGCGAGGGGAAGAAAGAGTGTGCGATCAAAACAAAAAGAGAAAGGGGGTAGGAAAGAAAAAATAAAGACAGAATTAGTTTTAGAGCAATGGCGAACGGAAAGCATGCAGCTTTTTATTCAGTGTGGAAAGATGTCATGCTTTGAATGGCAATCTGTGGAAAATAAAAATAACATGATTAGGAAATTGCCCAGTGCCTTACATAGTGCAAGGATGTCAGTACAGCAGGCCTAAACAAGAACCATATCAAGGCACTTGAAACACAGTAGTTGACACTACACGAGAGACTGTCTTGGCACATGGGCCGGAGTATGCTCTTCTGGTAGACTACAATCTCTTCTCCACTTATTAACAGAAGCTACATGAAGAATGGAAACCCACCAGCATTTTTTTCTATAATGAGAATGGTCCCAATAAGCACCCCTGTGTTTCCATTAAGAAAGTAGGAAACCATTTGGAAACGCTCATGTGCAGGGCACTTTTAAACCAGCTGTTCCTTAAGCATTATCTTGCCTGTTCAACACCTTGATATTCGGGGGTTGTTTGTTGGGAGGGGTTCGTTGGGGGGAGTTTATTGATACCTACAAGTACTGTTGAAAACACTGAAGAATCAACACCATGGAGAATTCCAAGTTATAAGAGACATTTGATATTTGATCTTTCTGCTCCTTTCTGATTAAGGATGTGCAACTCAACAAGTTTTATCTTGGGATGGCTTAACATCAACGTTCAGTCTGCTTGGATTTTCCCCTCGCTGTTTTGGTGTGGACACTTACATCTCAAGAAAAGGTCTGTGCATAATGTTCCGCCTCTGATTCTATGAATTTCTATGAAGAATAGAAACATCAGGCATCATTTGCAATATGCTGAAGGCTACAGAGCTCTTTGCATAGATCTTGAAGTTATGCTTGGGAGGACTCTGGGCCTTGGCCCCCTAAAGCACAGAACTTGGATATCTCTGACAATGCTCATCTGAGCCTGAAGGTACTGCTAGTCACTTGGAACATCCAAATCTCTGTTCAACTAACCCCATGGGCTTATTGGCCACTAAACATCTCATCCGGTACAGAGGATGGCTTGTCTTCCAGTTGCTTTTTACCTTGAGTGTGTTATGCGCTGTTATACTGACTCTCCTCCTCCCACCATCCTCCAGCTGCATCTCTGAGTACAGCTCTTCCTCATCTTCTTCCATGATGTCGGAGAGGTCAGAGCCCCGGCTGCTCTCAGTGTGGTACTCCTCCCCATGGCAATAGTGGGGCTGTTGGAGGAGGGAAAGACGAAAGAGGGGCAAACAAAGCAAGACAGGCTTTCAAAATGAAAATCCAGGTAAACCTCAAACTGTTGTGACAGGGCAGCTCCCAATAATCACAACACAACAACCAAGGCTGGTAGGTCTTCATAAAGTGAAGTCAGCTAGTGTCAGCTGTTGAATACACCTTCATGAGAACATTAGTTGTCACTGTTATATGGTTTATTTCCCCAAGAAAATCAAGCTTGCTTCATTATGTTATAGCTACAGCAGATGTTCAAAAAACATTAACTGCCAATTACCTGTTTCCCAAGCTCAGAGCCTTTCAAGAAATCATCAACAGAAGCCCCTTTTCTTTTGACACACGGAGACTCGTAGCCATCCTCTTCTTCATCAGAGTTTGCATAATGCAGGGCACTACTCCTTTCAGTAAACACACTCCGCCTCTCTAACTGTGGGGTTAGGAAAAGAGGATACAAGGGAAAAGGTGTCTCTCTCAGGCAATAGTGTAGTGGCAAATGTTGTAGTGCAGAAACACATCATATAGCCATAATCCCAAAGGTGACCCAAAAATAAACCAGTTCTTCTGCTACCAGGAGCTGGTCCTTTGCCAAGTTAATGGGGTTCAACTGCCCCCTCAAGACCAAGGCACAGATACAAAATGCTTCGTATGACAACAGTGATCGCTCATAGCAAACTACAGTTGATTTAAAAACCCATTACTACTATTAGGAGTTCATCAGTGGTTCCCAACTTGTGGTCCATGGACCACCAGTGGTCCACAAGAAGTAAAATACAGTCCACAGTCTCACCGTTACTACATCATTGCAACAAGAGCAACTGGTCTCGTGAAACCCTCTTACAGTGCTGAGGCTTATTAAATATGGTTTTTCTGTGAGTGAGCAGCTGGCAACTACTGGATGGCATATGTTCTGTTTCAGGAACTAGAGCTGATGTGGTCTATCCAATGCAATTTTCTGAATCAGCACCCCAAATAACCAAACCGAATCAGAAGTTGACCAAAACCTGTTCCACAACCTTTTTGGTACTAATGCTGGAGAGTGGTCCCTGGTCAAAGTGGTTCCTGGTCAAAAAAAAGTTGGAAACCACTGAAACAGGACGGGCTAAGCCGCAAGGCCAATGGCAGCATCCCTACTGAACAAAAATGGCTTGGTGCTTCAGTCATGGGAGCTCTGGCATCATCACTCTGCTGGATGATTGGAAAACTGGATTTGGGGTTGGTGTGTCTAAATACATATTATGTTTAGAGTTCATTTTTAATGGAAAGAACATCCTCTAAAGGTGATGTGCAGAGAGGGAATTTAATCATTTTCCCTGCTTCAGTGACAAAGAAAATTCTTCTCTGATGCTAGTACTTTATTTGAGATGCAACTTCCACCCCCAGCCTGTTTGCACTGATGCCAGTGGTGTATTTCTTCCCAGGATAAAAACCAGTTTCAGAGGAGGGCTCTTCTTCAGAAATACAGCCAGGGAAAGAAACTGTCCCCCTATAGAAGTGGTTGGACTTTTTACCTGATGTTTGCCCAATTGTATGGATGTTATGGGGTTTTGGTTTTTTTTTTGTTCCATCTATAATTTCTTTTATGTACACCACTACTCCTTTCGACATGTTGCATGGGATTTGTAAAAGCCAAAGCACTGGATGGGTTGTTTACAGGTTTTGTATCATCTTTTTTTGTATGACATATTTTCCATCAACAATCCTGTCCTCTTGGGCTTGCTAGATGTTAATGTGCATGCGCATGCCTTTGTGTCTGTGTTTCACAAAGGGAGAAAAAAGGCTAGTTTTGCACAGAGACATCATGTGATGGTTGACAATTTTTCAACAAGGTGTCTGGAAGTCATAGGGAAGAGGGAACAAGCTTGTTTTCTGCTGCCCTGGAGACTAGGACGCAATGGAACAATGGCTTTAAACTACAGGAATGAAAGGAGATTCCATCTGAACATGAGGAAGAATTTCCTGTGAGAGCTGTTCAACCGTGGAACTCTCTGCCCCAGAGTGTGGTGGAGGCTCTTTCTTTGGAGGTTTTTAAACAGAGGGTGGATGGCCATCTGTCTGGGGTGCTTTAAATGTAATTTTCCTGCGTCTTGGCAAGGGGTTGGACTGGATGGCCAAAGAGGTCTCTTCCAACTCTGATTCTATGATTCTATTCTATGGTTCTTGACATATCAAAATATCTTCTGTCAGTGAGGATAAGAAAATGTCTCAATCTTTAAACCTTTGTAACTCGTATTTTCTTTTAGGGGCAGTTCTTTCATTTTTCATTTCTGTGCATAGAGTAGTCTTGCTGCAATAAGCATATAATGTCTTGACTTGAAATTCATGGTTTTTGTTTGTTTGTTTGTTTGAAATTTTTAGAACTGGCAGAAATGGGCAAGTTATCTTGCTCGATTGGCATCTTTTTAAAAGAACAGGAACCATTTATATTATTCATAAAAAGGGGGAATGTTAAAATGCTGCCATGTTCTGAAAACTGAAAAAAAGTTGAGATAGCATGAAGAAATGATCTAAAATGCTAGATTTATTTATTATTTATTTATTTACAGTATTTCTATGCAGCCTTTCTTAGCCCAAAGGCGACTCAAGGCGGCTTACAAATTGGCAGCAATTTGATGCCACGACAGTCATAAAACATAATTAAAAACATTAGCACACATTATAAAAGCCATATTAAAATCATTTCTAAAAAACCATATAATCATCACTGGCTTCCTGTTAACTCATTTTCCAGAAGCATTGTCTAAGCCGTTCCATATTCACTCTTTTCTGGTTCCATGTTTATCTATGACGCTGCATTTCCAAAAGCTTGTTCAAAGAGCCAAGTTTTTACTTTTTTCGGAATGTCAGGAGGGAGGGGGCCGATCTAATATCCCTAGGGAGGGAGTTCCATGGCCAAGGGGCCACCACTGAGAAGGCCCTGTCTCTCATCCCCGCCAGGCGCGCCTGCGACAAAGGCAGGATCAAGAGCAGGGCCTCCCCAGAAGATCTTAAGTTCCTAGCTTGATGGGATTATAACAATATTTTCATTTTGTGTTTTTGAGGTGGGAGGTGGGGGGTCTATTTTAATCTTTTGTTGTTATTTTGATAATTGTTTTGCAATGGGGATGGTGGGGAAAACTGGTTTAAACTGATGTATATAGTGATAGATGTCAGAGCAGAGGAAATTATTGTTTCTATAAATTGTATAATAATACTTCTATTGCTCAAAAAACAATAAATATATAGCTAAACAAAGAAAATGTGTGAATATTCTTTCCATCCCCCTTTGCTAATCTAAAGGTCACAAGTAAAACATTCTACTTACCCTGCTGCTCTCTGCAGCAACCCGCTGGGCTGCTTCCCTGGCCATGGCCTTTGCGACAGTATTGGGGACAGGTGCGCCTTGTGGCTGAGGGAGAATCCGATTTGGAGAAGGAGATCTCCTTCCTTGGAGAGGGCTGTGGAAGTTGGGAGGCTCCAGGGTGTGTCCATGAATGGGAGAGGACACACGGGTCTGTTCCCATGGCTCATCCCTTCTTACGTGTGGACACAAATGTTCGTCTTTGGTATCTGGGATGCCGGCACTTGATAATGGCTTAGATTTGGGAGCTGGCCAGGGATGAGGGGTTGGAGGCACCAGTAGGTCATGTGGAATGGCAGCGCTCAACGAGTCCACAGATTCCCCTTGGACGGAAAGTGTCCGGACAAGAACTTCCTTTGCTTCCAAGTTCCGGAGTCTCATGAGCTCCACAACTGCATTCTCTCCTGTAGGAAAATTCACTTCTGCCACCTAAATATAATGATTAAAATACATCAAATAGTTTCTCACTTTATTAAAAAAAAGACCAGCTAAAAGTGGTGAAAACCATCTTGAATAAATATGACCACAAAATGTATGCAGCTTGGATAAAATCAGATCAGCCCAAATGAAAACCCAGATTTTTACTGTGTGCGGAAATGATTCCAATGTTGAGGTCAATTATGGGTTCTACAACAGGAGTGTCACCGCAGAAAAGGCCCTCTCCTGTGTCCCCCCACAAAGCTCCTCTAATAGATCTCAGTTCTCAGGCACAATTCTTTGCAGTAACATTCCCAGCCTTTGACAAAGAAGGAGCCACTACCAAGTTGTCACAGAACAAAAACAGCAGACTTCAGTAGGCAATGAACATAGGAACATACTCAGCTACCATGTGGCTGAAGTTGACTAACTAAGAAACTGGGGGGGGGGGGGCAGTTTTTCCTTTTAAGGCTGTTAATGTGGTACATATGATTAACAAAGAATTACAAAAGCATGGCAACTAGTGTATGTGTATGTATCTCCAGGCCTATCTGGAAGTATATGCATGGGATCAAAGCTCTCCAAATCCTGGAAGCATTTGATCTTACTATTATTATTATTTGTCGTGTCAGGAGTGTCCTGTTGTGAGAGAATTGGCCGTCTGCAAGGACATTGCCCAGGGGACGCCCAGATGATTTTGATGTTTTATCATCCTTGTGGGAGGCTTCTCTCATCTCCCCGCATGAGGAGCTGGAGCTGATAGAGGGAGCTCATCCGTCTCTCCCCGAATTCGAACCTGCGACCTGTCCATCTTCAGTCCTGCCGGCTTTAACCCACTGTGCCACCGGGGGCTCTTACTATGGAAACTCTAGATTCCGAGAAGCCTGTAAGTGAGAGGCCCAGGGTACGACTCCTTGATTTGTTTCTTCTTCAGAATCCATTTCCTAGCCTCTGTATCTCAGTATTCTGTTTCGCTTTTCTGTCAGCAGATCATAACCAGGTATCTGAAATCTGTCAGCATATTGTTCTGATTGCAGATCTCTAATATCAGCTGGCAGAGTGGTTTCTAATAGCCAAAGACATTTATGCCTAATTCGAATCATATACAGATGACATATATTTGAATTAGGACAGCACCGTGTATGCACTGAGAGAAGACATGATGGCAATGTATAAATATGCGAGGGGAAGTCATAGGGAGGAGGGAGCAGGCTTATTTTCTGCTGCCCTGGAGACTAGGGCGCAATGGAGCAATGGCTTCAAACTACAGGAAAGGAGATTCCACTGCTGAACATTCCTGTGAGAACTGTTCAGCAGTGGAACTCTCTGCCCCAGAGTGTGGTGGAGGCTCCTTCTTTGGAGGCTTTTAAGCAGAGGCTAGATGGCCATCTGTTGGGGGGGGGGGTATGAATGTGAATGTCCTGCTTCTTGGCAGGGGGTTGGATTGGATGGCCCACGAGGTCTCTTCCAACTCTATGATTCTATTTTTACATTCTCCACCATGAAGAAAACCCAGCCCCATGAACTTTTGCTTCAAATGCTAATGTCCTCACTGCAGGGAGAGTGTTGTTGTTGGGTTTTTTTTACTGTTGTTGCTTATTTTAATGGATAAGTCTATTCAGATATGTGTGCACATATCTTCACATTGTGTGCAACAGGAAATGCTTTACTCCTTGATTGTGTTGACTGTGTCCCCTTCAGTGGCAATGGTAGGCCAGTCTGTGCCTGCCCAGAGGCTTTTGAATTAAATGAAACCTACATTGGAATAGGTTCCTCAGTTACTGAAAGAAAAGCAATGGGTTTCTCATTCTCAAATCTTGACATATTGTTCATCAACAGTTCAGTGAAAGACCATACCTACCCTTTGACCTTTTGCATAAATGCCATAGCCAGTAACACTGGCTCCATTGGAGGTCCCTGTTGCCGTGAGAATTGGCAGCTTCCAAGAAACCAAGATAGTTCCTGGTGTTGGTCCAGCCTGAATTCTAATGTCTTGAGGGGGAGCTGGCGGACCTAGAATTAAAAACAAGCTTTAATTACTACCAGCCTATCCTTCCCTTATGCCCTATGTGTGTCATTGTCTGTGCATGTTAGACAAGTTAGATGGAACCATAGCTCAGATTGGACCTGGCATCGCTAATATGAAGATACAATTGTAAGTAGTAAGTAAGGCCTTTGCCATTAAGAGTAGATAACCCTGAACTAGATGGTTGAATTAATTCTTGTGTGTGGAAAATGTTACTGAAAATGTATATAAGTGCATTCATACATGCATCCATCAACAAAACACCACACAAAAATAAACTTGATCAGTCCATAGGTATCACCATGTCAAGATTATTTCTTGCAGTGCTTTATCTAGGAATAAATATAAGCAAGCTATTTATGTTATTTATGCATGCATTCATTTAAATATCCATTCTGCCCTGTTTTTTCTAATAAGCAAAATCATTTTGGAGAAGAGAACAAATCAACAACAACAACAACAAAAATAAGCAAAATCCACTGGAGAAAAGGACAAATGTCTCTACACTAATGCATAGGGCATGGAAAATAAACAAGGTGAACATGAACTCTTAACATAGTAAGATATATATGACTTAATAGACACCAGTGAAACCTGGTGGGAAGAGTCTTACAACTGGAGTGCAGCAATAGAGACGTGTGATGTGTTTCAAAGAATCATACCAAACAGGAAAGGAGGAGATATCACATGGAATGTTAAGAATGTATACACCTATGAGGAGATCCATGACTTTAAGCACAGGGAATCATCAAGTTGAAAGCATTTGGGTAAAAATTAAAAGGGAGAATAACAACAGAGACCTCATTGTTGGGGTCTACTATAGGTCACCAAACCAGACTGAACACATGAATGATGCCTTCCTTAAAACAAACGACCAAACATTCAAAAAGGAGAGGTGTATAATAATCGTGTAATAGGAATGGGAAACTTCATATAGATATTTGTTGGAAACCACATTCCACCACACTAGCCTTGGGGACAATTTCATTGTACATAATGTAAAGGGAGCAACAAGGGGACCAGAAATTTTGGATTTGATTAAAATCAACAGAGATTAATGAGTCAATGTAGTGGGAATAGTGGGATCAATGGGAGTGATCAGGCCATCTTGGAATTTGTGATACAAAGGAAAGGGATTAGTCAAACATAGTCAGACACACACTATGGATATGAAGAAAGTCAATTTCTGTAGATTAGATAAGTACTTTGAAAGCAATGTTCCTGCTTCTTGGCAGGGGGTTAGACTGGATGGCCCATGAGATCTCTTCCAACTCTATGATTCTATGATACTAAGTTGAAATCCCATGGTCAGAAATGCTCAAAGGGAAGGGAGATTATCATACCTGGAAGTTTCTTAAGGATGAGTTATTGAATGCACAGTTGCAGACAATACAAATGAGATAGAACAATGGAAGATGCCTAAAGAAACCAAGGTGGATAGACAACCTTCAGAGGAGTTGTGGTTTAAAATAGCGAAAACAGTGAAATGCTCACAGAGGACATAGAGAAGGCTGAACTGTTTAACACCATCTTTGCCTCAATTATTTCCCAAAAGGAAAACATCTCTAGCTGGTGAAAAGCAAAGAAGTACTGCAGCAAGAGGACTTCAGTTCAGTTTAAGTAAAGACATAGTAAAAGAATGCCTCATCAGGGCCAGATTAGATGCATTCGAAAACACTAAAGGCATGTACAGATTTAATCTCAGAGTCACTGCTAATGATCTTTGAGATTTCTTGGAAAACCAGCACAGTCGCAGAAAACTGGAGGAGACCAAATATTGTCCCCAAATTTCAAAAAGGGCAAAAAGAGAAGTTGTTCTGATACCAGAAAACTTGATAGAATGGATAATTAAATGGTCTGTGCACTCTTAGAAAGGTATGTTGTGATAACTAATAGCAGACATTGGCTTCTGCCAAACAAGACATGCAAATAGGTTGTTGTAAGTTTTTCGAGCTGTATGGCCATGTTCTAAAAGCATTCCCTCCTGATGTTTCGCCCCCATCTATGGCAGGCATCCTCAGAGGTCTGGGGTCTGTTGGAAACTAGGAAAATGGGGTTTATATACCTGTGTAATAATGTCCAAGGTGGGAGAAAGAACTCTTGTCTATTGGAGATAGGTGTGAATGTTTCAATTGGCCACCTTGATTAACATTTATTTGCCTAGCAGTTTCAAAGTGTGGTTCCTTACTGCTGGGGGAATCCTTTATAATTCCAGCCATGAAAGCCTTCCACAATACATTAAGACATGCAAAACTAACCTCATCTTTCTCTTTTTTAAATACCATTGCAAGTTTAGTGGATTGTAAGATGCTATCTGCAAAGTATGTGTTGATTTCAGTAAGGCTTTTGACAAGGTTTTCCCATGATATTCTTGCTGGCAAATTGTGAATTGTCCCATCTGCAGCATGGAGAAGTTGTCATTTTGAACTATAATTCCCAGAATCCACCAACTGGCATGCTCACTGGGAGTTGAACACCTTTGCAAAGCCTTGCTCCCATCCAAAACTGAATCGAGTCAGCTCAGTTTAGCTTCAGCTGGATTGCCGCATTATGTACTTTCATTCTGTTCTCTGTCTCTCCAAAGGAAAATGTGGCTCTCTCCTAAAATTGAGTTGTGTGTAGCAATCCCAACCCCCAAAGCAGCTGAAGACCCCGAAAACCTGCTATCGTGATAATAATCTTGTTACATCTCTAATTAAAGCCAAACTTCTATAAAAAGAAGTGTGCTCTTTGGGAACCTAAAAACTAAAAATATCTTCATAATTATTTAAGATCATGCATATTTCACGAGTTTTGTCACATGTTCAGCAAGTCTAAACTGAGCAAGTGAAAAAGATTTCAGAGCAAAAGGACCCCAGCCACTTTCACATTCAGTTTGCTCTCACAATGAAGTTGGAGCAACCCTCCAATATTGTTATATTTTTGGTACCAGACAAATAAACCTCTTCTGGATGGAGACAAACTCACAGTACAGGCAAATGTAAAATGTCACGGTTAACTCTTCTTTCAATTCCCCAAACATCTAGCACTGCAGAATGAGGCCTTGAAAACTGTTAACATTTAGTATTTATCTATTTCTTGTGTTTGTATATCCTCAATTACTTTAACGCTTTTCTTTGGATGTCTAAACTCTTTTTCTAAATGCTGAAGTTTTAAGTTACGAGAATGTTAAAAATTTGGGATCTGAAGAAAAATGTAATTAGAAAGGACAACATTCTTATTTGGAGGGCAACGGACTAGTTTTGACCCCCCCTCATTGGCAAATTGGAGCCGCAGTAGAACATTGGGTTAAACCCTTGTGCTGCTGAACTGCTGACCTGAAGGTTGGCAGCTTGAATCTGCAAGACGGGGCTAGCTCCCGTCTCTCAGCTCCAGTTCCTGCCAACCTAGCAGTTCAAAACATGCAAATGTGAGTAGATGAACTTTGGCGGGAAAAGGCAAAGAGATGCTCCAAGCCAGTGGTTCTCAAACTTCCTAATGCCATGACAATAGACTTCTTCATGTTGTGGTGACCCCCAACCATAAAATGTTTTTGTTTCTACTTCATAACTGTAATTTTGCTACTGTTATGAGTTGTAATGTAAATATCTGATATACAGGATGTATTTTCATTCACTGGACCAAATTTGAATACGGGTGGGGTTTGGGGGGTTGTTTTTGTCATTTGGGAGTTGTAGTTGCTAGGATTTATAGTTTACCTACAATCAAAGAACATTCTGAACTCCACCAACAATGGAATTGAATGAAACTTGGCACACAGAAGTCCCATGACAAACAGAAAATACTGGAAAGTTTTGGTGGGCATTGACCTCGAGTTTTGGAGTTGTACTTCACCTACATCCAGAGAGCACTGTGGACTCAAACAATGATGGATAATGGACTAAGCATGGCACAAATATTCAATATGCCCAAATGTGAACACTGGTGGAATTTGGGGAAAATAGACCTTGACATTTGGGAGTTGTAATTGCTGGGATTTATAGGTCACCTACAATCAAAGAGCATTCTGAACCCCACCAATGATGGAATTGGGCCAGACTTCCCACAGAGAACCCCCATGACCAACAGAAAATACTGTGTATTGTCAAAGGCTTTCATTGCCAGAATTACTGGGTTGCTGTAAGTTTTTTGGGCTATATGGCCATGTTCCAGAAGCATTCTCTCCTGATGTTTCACTTGCATCTATGGCAGGCATCCTCAGAGATTGTGACCTCCCAACCTCTGAGGATGCCTGCCATAGATGCAGGCGAAACGTCAGGAGAGAATGCTTCTGGAACATGGCCATACAGCCCCAAAAAACTTATAGCAACCCAGAAAATACTGTTTTCTGATGGTCTTTGGAGACATGTCTGACACCCCCTTGTGATTCCCCCAGAAGTCTCAACCTCCAGGTTGAGAAACACTGCTCTAAGTAGTCTTGCCAGCCACACAACCAGAAGGTAACAATGATTGTAAAGGCACTGAATGTTTGTCTATCCTCTAGGGGAGAAGAGCGGAATATAAATTAAGTGTATTATTTTTATTATCTGTCTGGCGTGCTTTGATTGTATTTTTTTGCATGGCAGGGGGTTAGATTGGATGGCTCCTGTGGCCTCTTCAAATTCTCTATTTGCATGGCCAATAGCAAGAGACAATTGAAACATCTGAACTGATTGTACTATTTAAATAAAATAATTAATAATGTAATAATAATATCAATAATATCATCCATTTATAATAAACCAATAAGACATACCTGCCGGCAATGTTGAAAATTCTATGAAGGCTTCTTTTCTTTCCCGTTGCTCCAGAGGGAGCTGCCAGGGCATCTGGTGAGGCTTGGCTAATACCTTCACCTTGTAGGCCATGTTGGGCTTCAGGTTAAAAAATTGGTACTTGTATCTGGCAGCCTTGACAATGTCAAATTCTTCTTCGTTAAGGAAGATCACATGACTGTAATTGCTATTGGTTGGGAGCCAGGTGAGTTCAGCAGAGATCTGAGTGACGTTGTTCACCGTAAGGTGGGAGGGTGCCACAATGACATCCTTCCCAACTAACAAGGTGCACTGTAGCTCATCAGAATTGCCCCTGCTGGTGATGCTTTGAATTGAAATTCGATACGTGCAAGTAGCAATGTTGAGTTTTTCTATGAGAGCTTTACTTCTGCTCCCTAAGGATACACTCATCCGTATTTCTTTATCTACTAGGACGTTGTAGCTATGAATGGTTCCCCATCCAGGTGGCACAACTGGAGGCTCCCAGCCCACAATTACACTTTTGGCTAGTTGTTTGATAAGGGTAATTTTTCTAGGATAAGGCACAATGTCTTCCCCAATTTCATCAATGTTCACATCCAGGGTCCCTGCACCATTTTTGATGACACAAGGGTCTAAGTGGCTTGGAGGGTTAATTTCCAAAAGGTCATCTCCTTCCAGTGTGTGACCAGTATGGTTGATGTAATTCTGGTCCTGTTCACTGCTCAACCCACTCGAAAAACGTGATTCACTGTCCTGTACAAAATCCACAAAGTTGGAAGGGACAAGACCTCTTTGTCCATCTAGAAGTTCACCTAGTGGAGAAAGAAAGTAGTTGAAGGTTACACTAATGGTCAGAGCTGAACTATAATCTTTTTTAACACAGCACAAAGAAGATATTTTTCTATCTGTGTGCATGCAAATAGGTCGGTAAGGAGAGTTGCAACCCATCTCATCCTCAACCAATATCCTGGAGGGCCTGAAGCACCTCTGCTTGTACTGTCATACAGTTAAGTGTCCTGGGTGTTTCCTTCTGTTCTCTACCAGAGCTTTAGTTGACTATCTTACCAAAAAGGTAAAGGGTAGCTGTATTCTAATAGATCTGGATGACATCAGATTGGGGAATACTGACAAAGACCGCATGGAAAAAGGTGTACACAAATGAATTAATTAATCAAACAGCTTTATCTAGTGATGACAGTTAAATGGTATTGTACCTCTGGATGCTTGGGGCAAACTACACTGGATGACTGTAGTCCAGAAGTAAACAACTGGTGATGTTTAGAATGCCATAGTAGAGTAATCTTATTTTCAGATTATAAGACTCTATTTTTATATTTTGTAGAACTTAGCTGAAACCAGGAATAAAAACCAGAGCTTTGAAAGTCTATTATTATTATTATTATCATCATCATCATTATTATTTGAAGCACAACAAGATGAGTCCACAGCAAACAAGATTACTCTGCTGGCTGTTGTATTGGATCACATGTCGGACCCTTCCCAAGTGTCTAGGACTGTGTGATGTATCAGCGAATAATGCGTGCAGATCCCAGTAGGGTGGCCTTTTGCAGCTGGCAGACTGTAATCTTGTCAGTGCCGATTGTGTTTATGAGCAGGCCAAGGTCTTTAGGCTCTGCACCCAGTGTGCCAATCACCACTGGGACCACATTATTATTATTATTATTATTATTATTATTATTATTATTATTATTTACCTGCAGTTCCCAGAAACCATCAGTCAGCATGGCTGCTAACCATGACAGCTGTGAAACTCTAGGAGTTGGAGTTCAAAAAGTAAATTTCCAAGGTTCTGATGTAGAGTGAGACCAGGGAAACTGAATTCCAAATCCCCACTCTGCAATCATTCTCAATGGTTAACCTTGGACCAAACACCTCTTGGCATGACCTATGTCATGGGGCTGTTCTGAATATTAAATGGAGGCACGGGAAGAGAAGAACAAGGCACAACGGATCCTGTTCCTTGAAGACGAGCTTCATCATACCTTAGATAACTGAACGTATTTGTAATTCTTTTTTCTCCTGATGTTATTAGGACAAAGCTAAAGCAGCACCTCCCCTCCCTCCTTCAGATGTGGTTAAAGAGGAGCAACCACCTCAGCCACCCCTCCCCACCCCACAACAGACCTTCATAGAAACCATCTTCATCCATGTCTCCATAGACGTAGAGGTATTTTCCTGCAGTGAGGGGGAGCTCTGCTTCGGGGTTTTCATTTGGTCCATCAAAAGGGTTATAACTACAGTGAAAGCACAGGCAGTAAATATTTCCTCATCATCTTTCAGGGGATATAATTAGTCAGTGTTAAGAATTCCAGGGAAGGGTTGGCAAGGGAGAGGAAGGAAGAGAAGGGGAGTAATGCTCTGTATACACAGCTCTAGAGCTCAACCACAATCCTGCATTGCTTAGCATAGTGCGGGAGTTTTCCATGCAGAACTACCTTACCCTAAGATATTTAACACCCTTGGACCTACCATGCAGCCCTTCACTGGAAGCCATTTGGGCCTGCAGGAGATGGGGAGTGAGGGAAGAGGCGACCCTTTGCAAGTGTCACCATAACCATTTTCAAACTAATTACATCTTCTATTGAGATCCACTGAGGTCTTCTCAGACCGCCCCCCCCCCCCCCCCCCCGCTGCTAATATGTATGTCCTCAATGTGAAAGACCATGTGGATCCCAAATAGGTTTCCACAATTACTTATGAGCCCACCACCAAGACACTACTCTTGGAAGACAATCATACTCAGCTACGAGTGTTTGCCTATAGATGGCTATAGTTGCTAATATAATCATTTTGAATCTGGTTATCAATGGGAGAGAGGGTGTCTTTTGCAGCTTTGCGTTAAACATGGGGTCTTTGGTCACTGCACAGGGTGGAAGGAAATATCAAGCTCTAAAGCAACCAAAAACAAGGTATGTAAAAGCATAAGATTAATTTACCCCAATGCATTCTACTGATAAGATACAATGCTTTGTTTATCTTCCCTTTGGCTGCAATTGGGTCAAGACAGACATCTTCTTGGTGGCTTGAGAATGATCCTCCTCCCACAACCCATCTTCCAACGTAAGGGAACAGGCCACCTCATTCTTCCTCCCCATGAAGAACACACCCTCCCCATGACACTTTCCACACTTTCTCCAGCAGGTTCACTACTTCACATTTTTTCCATAGGTTTGAATCAAAGAGCTTAAATAATTATTATCACACAAAAGCCTAACTGGGGAGTTGAAGTTACCTATATCGGGCAATGCAAAGATGGACTTTTCCCGAGTATCTCTGCTTTGAGGTATTGGAATTCTGTTCATTATCCATCTGCAAGAAGAAGAATCCATCTTCACACATCAGGATGAAAAAGATCTCAATTTCAGTGAATACAAACACACACAACCATATTTAATGTGAAATTTAAACGCATGCATGACATCTCCCACCCCCTCTCCAGATACAGCTTCTAGATCAGCTTACCTATTCAAGGAAGTGAATAATGCTACACAACAATAAAAACAGTGTCTTATGGCAACTTCAAGACTTGCATGTTTTATGTATTGTCGAAAGCTTTCATGGCCGGAATCACTGGGTTGTTGTAGGTTTTTCTGGGCTATATGGCCATGTTCTAGAAGCATTCTCTCCTGATGTTTCACCTGAATCTATGGCAACTCTGAATCTATATCACCTCTCACCTATCAACAAAGGATCCCCCCAGGCAGTAACAAGCCACACCTAAAAACTGCTATGCCATCAAATGCTAATCAAGGTGGCCAACTGAAACATTCATTTGCTAGAAAAGCAGCAATTAACTCCTTTTGGTCTTTGCTTCTGTTGCCCAAAAATGTCACAATTACAGATTCTGCAAGTGTTATTGGAATTAACAAAAAAAACTTTATCAAACAGAAAAAAGAATCAAGCCTGATCTTAAAGATATGATCTCTGAAGCTAAACAAATGTTAATGGCCACAAAACAAATTACAGAAAAAGAACAACTACAAGAAGTGAGTGTAAAGGAGGGAAGAAAATATATAGCACTCCAGATTGATCAAGCATTATCAGCTCAGTTACCAGTTCATAAAGAAGAGACAGCAATTGAACGAGAAGGAATAAAAACAGACTTCTATAAACAGAATGTATACACAGATAAGATTGAGCAGATAAGTGGATACAAATTTATCTCCAGAACAAGGAAAAACAAAGAATCCCACATTACATTACAGGGAAGAAGATGTTCACATTTTCATGTTCTTCTAAAAAAAAATAGACAAAACCAATGTAAGAGGGATAACCTGCATAGATTAAATCTGTATGGACCCTTTGAGAGCCCATTTCGATAGGAAAACGATGTCAAAATTAAATGACTTGACTTACAAGAAAAGTATTGAGACAGGACTGGGATAAACAAATAGCGAACTCTGGCAGGATTAAAATTATATAATGACTTCTTTTTTTGGAAGGAGGTAGATTGATGAAATGAGTAAAAGGAAAATGAAATATAAAGATGAAATTACAAGAATTGAACTTTAGAAAAAAATGTTCAAAGTTCTTGGATTAATACCATCTGTGGCCAGGTTGCACATTTAAAAAGAAGGGGAAAATATAACAAGATATTGTATTGAAAAAATGTTTAAATATAAAAATATTAATTTAGAAAAAAATGGAAAAAATTAGGGGGATGATACAAGACAAGATATGGTTAATTTAAACTAAAAGGGAATATAATTTGAGGAGATATTAAGGTACTGGCTTTCGGCAAGTTTCTGGGCCCAATTCAAAGTGCAGGTTATTAATTATAAAGCCATACACACTTCGGGTCCAACCTATCTTTGAGACTGCATCTCCTTCTATGAACCGGTGCGGGCCTTGAGATCTGCTGGGTAGGCCCTTCTCTTGGTCCCACCACTGTCACAGGTGCGGTTGGTGGGGACTAGAGAGGGCCTTCTTGGTGGTGGCTCCTTGGCTCTGGAATGCTCTTGCCAAAGAGATTAGATTAGCCCCAAATCTCCAATCCTTTCACTCAAACCTAAAAACATGGCTATTTACATGGGCCTTTAACCTGGAGTAATGTACTACGGTCATGTGATGACGTCGACCATTATTATTTGGCACTTCAGTTCGTGTTTGAAGAAACTCAATGACCCACAAATACTACTGTGTTTTAGAATTTCCCAGGGCCCTCTTTGGAGGAGGAGGTGACTTTCCAAGAAAAAATAGAGGAGGCTTCTTCTGCCAGAGAGAGAAAAAGACACCGCAGATCCCCCTGCCTCAGGTAGTTTGTGGACTTAACTATTTCTGAAAATATCAGCTCTCTGAATCCGTTTCACTGGTCTTTTTGTCTCTCTTTTCCCCTTTCTGTTTTTGGAAATTAAACTAAAGCGGCCCTCTGAAAACCACAGATATTTTCGTTAACAGTGATTCGGGCCTAAGTCTAGTATATATACATGCAAATATAGGTATTCTAAAATCTGAAATCCAGAACACTTCTAGTCTCATGCATTTCAGAAAAGGGATATTCAACCTTTAAAGTGTTTGTTTAAAGTTTTGTTTTTTTAGGAATGTGGTAGATTCAAATACATATGGCTTTTCTGAGAATGCCCCAAGTAGTGTAAAGGTTGGAAGATCATTTCCATTATCATATCAATATCACCAGTTTTTCCAAGCTAAACTAGTTGCCCCGCCACCACATCCAAGGAAGATACAAGCCGGCTGGGCTTATTGCTTACATCTGATTCAAATCTGCATCTTGGGCTTCCAGATCGTGACCGGGACATAAAAGTTGGCTTGATGGACAATTGCTCTGGTTTGTCACCAGATAGCTGTAGTGGTCGTATAAACTCTGAGATCACACAGTGGCCTCCAGAGGAGCTTTCATGACCTGTGTGGAAAACATAAAGAGAACAACATTGTAAGAGAATCGGATCCCAAACTGGCAAGCTTGGGGCAGTTCTGAAATTATTTATTCATGTTATTAAAATTTATATATCCTACCCCATATCCAAATATATCAAGAAGAAAATATCTGAAGACTCAAAGGATGATTTTCCCCTTGATTTTTAGAACATGTACGGGAATTTTTCAGCCTAAAGATTAGCCTCAATCCACCATACGTTGTAATTCTCTATGTTAATGCTACTCACTGCCCTCATCTTGGAGGGCCCTTTCGTCCAATAATTGAAAGCTACCTTTTATTTTAATTCTGGTCAAATTTAAATCAGTTTAAATTTAATTCTAGTTAAAAGAGGGGAGAGGGGTGAGGGGAGAGGCCCTTAAAACCATCCAGACTCGTCCATCCTCCTGGAACACCCAAACTTGTTTTATTAGGTTATATGGGAAGAGGTTTAGTTAAGATGTCCGGCTTGCAACTTTTCTTAAGCTTTCCACGTCATTTGAGAATGATCTTGATATCATTCCAGTTCTGTGGTTTTCTATACATATTTCATGAGAGTTAGCAAAAATTTACTCATTTACTAAATATCAATTGTAAAAGCTGATCAGTTCCTTTCCTTTAAAAATAAACACATCTTATCCATTCCATGTACAAAGCACTTGGAAAGAAGCTTCCAATCCAAAGACTTTCTTGACAAAATAATCTATATCAGCTGGAAGGATGTCTGATGCACAGGGTTAGCAGTTCAAAGCTGCAAGTCAGGGTAAGCTCCCACTGTTAGCCCTTGCTTCTGCCAACCTAGCAGTTCAAAAGCATGCAATGCGAGTAGATCAATAGATACTGCCTCAGCGGGAAGGTAAAAGGACTCCCCATGCAGACATGCAGAAATGCTGGCAAAAACTATCAGAGAGGTCTACGGACAACAGGCTCCTCGGATTGGAAAAATGGAACAACAGCACCTCCCCATGGTTGGAGTTGAGTACTGCCTCCAGGCGCTGGAGATGAAAAGGAGAAGGCCTTTACCTTGGTCTATGTATTGTATGTAATTGAGCACCAAGCCCCCAGAGTCAAATTCAGCTAGACGTAATGTCAAGGGGAAACCTTTACCTTTATCTTTACTTTTCCATAAATTCTAACTAAAGCCTGAGGTGGTGGAAAACAACAACAACAACAACAACAGGATAGCTTGACATTGCTTGAGATGTGGAAGAAAGATCATGTTCTAAGGTCCTATCTACACTGACCATTTAATGCAGTTCAAAGCAAGTTTCCAAACTGTGGCAGCTTGACAACTCACATGAAAGCTCTTAATGTCCATCAATGCTCTGTGGTTTGTGGGATCAGCATCCAGGCCTCAAGCCAATTTAGGTCTTTCTATACAGTGAAATGCAGGTTTGAAACTGAATTAAATGATAAGTGTAGATGTGTTCTATGATTCAGAGTGATGCCGGAAAAGCCACAAGAAAAAGAAAACAAAAATGGAGGGATGCTCTGGCAGACGTTTTGGATAAGGAAAAGGTGGAAATAAGCTTGGGATAAGTATTTAGAATAAACTTGAAGATTTTTTTTTGTCGTGTCAGGAGCAACTTGAGAAACTGCAATTTGCTTCTGGTGTGAGAGAATTGGCCGTCTGCAAGGACGTTACCCAGGGGTTGCCTGAAGATGGCAAGGACACAATATCTGCAAAGAGGATATTTTCATCAAAAAGACAATGGCACATCTTATCCTGCAGAAACACTTTGAGTCTAAATTGAAGATGGATTGAAGAAAGAGAGTAACGTTTAATGAGATTTCAACAAGAATTTTATGTAAGCAAAAAAGGGATGGGTTTTAGCAAATAAGTTGAAACAGAAGAGATTTCTATTCAGATGGGGAAATGTGGAAGAATTGACTTTTACGCATTCAAGAGCCAAGGAATTCAAATTGATTCAGTGCAAAAGGCAAAAGATTTTTGAAGAAAATATATAAAAGATTTGGAAGGGAACCAGGATGAAGAGCCAAATAAGGAGGAATTGACATTTCAAGACGAGGGATCCAGATCAGAACAAAGAGAACAGATATCGTTGGGTGAGGGTAGCCAAGGATGACACCAGCAACATTGACTAGATAATCAAGAGGATGTATAGCCCACCTTATCCCCAAATTTGGCACATAAAGGAGCTTACTATTGCAAAAAGAACAATACAGATAAAAATATACAAAAAGTGAAAAAAGTGAAAATGCAATAAAACTATTCACAGGTTTTAAAAGCCACTGCACCAAGTTCCAGGAGCTTGGCATACAGGAGCTCAGTGTACAGGCAAAACAAACAAGTGTTAGCAGGGGAGTTCACAGGGTGGCCCAGGTTTCTGTTTCATTCTCTACTTAATTCTGCTAAAACGGGTGGTGAGGGAGCTCATGCAGTCACCTGTAATTGTTGTGGAATATTCTCTGGCAAGGAGGATGTGGATAGTAGGCATGTGCAATCCATGGCTCTAAATGGTTCTAAAGTACTTACAACACTAAAGTTTTGGTGGTGAAAACCAGGGGGCGCTGGTGCTTTGCTTCTACAGTGTTGCTAAAGTTCTGGTGGTGAAACTTTCAGAACTCTAAAACAACTTTCAAAATTTCATTATAAATGGCAGTTCCTAATAGGTTCTGTCATAAAAATCACCAATAATGGAATAATAATGAAATTATGAAAGTTTTGTTAGAGTTCTGAAATTTTTACCACCAGAACTTTAGCAATAATGTAGAAGCGAAGCACCAGCGCCCCCTAGTTTTCACAACCAGAACTTTAGTTTTGTAAGTACTTTAGAACCATTTAGAACCATGGATTGCACATGCCTAGTGGATAGCTATACTTGCAACAAGTGCAAGTTATTGGCCGTCTTGGAAGAGAAGGTCCAGTACCTTGAGGCTTATGTATCCACACTCCTATATATAGGATGAGGTTGTCTTGGACCCAATAGAAAAAAAAAACATTTTGCAGGAAATGCACAAATTTATTTATTTATTTACCACACTGATATCCTGCCCTTCTCAGCACGTAAGGGGACTCAGGGCGGCCTTACAAAGGCAACAATTCAATGCCATATATTAATACATCGGTCAATAAACAAAAACGTGGAAACCAAACCCATTAAAAACAAAACATAGCATTGAAACATCATTAAAATCACAGGATCCAAATCGTATTCCAAGGGGCCAGTCCGAGTGGTCATTATATTAATTTGTAGTCTCATATTACACTACTCCCGTTACATAAAGGAACCTCTCTGTGGAGAAGGTAACTCCCCAAACACAGGAGGTAGACACTTGGCGGAAAGAGCCCTTCCACACAGCCCTATATCCCAGAATATCAAGGCAGAAAATCCCACATTATCTGAGTGTGGACTCAAATAACCCAGTTCAAAGCAGATATTGTGGGATTTTCTGCCTTTTATTCTGGGATATAGGGCTGTGTGGAAGGGCCCAAGTTACACATAGGACCAGGAATCATTTTGTGAACACTCTATTCAGTGTGTTTGCTATTCCTCTACTCCACCCTGCTTACCTCTGTGTTGTTGCATGGGAGTGGCTTCTCCTCCTTCTCTCCAGCAATGAAGCACTTTTTCTGCTTTGTTACCTGGAGAAGGCAAAGTGGCTTTATATTATATTGAATGTCCTTCGACCAGTAGCTGGCCACTTGGAGTGCCTCTGGTATTGCTATAAGAAGGTCCTCCATTGTGCATGTGGCAGGGTAATAGGTGGTCTGTGGTTTGCTCTTCTCCACATCTGCATGTCATGGACTCCACTTTGTGGTCTTATTTCTTAAGGTTGGCTCTGCATCTCATGGTGCCAGAGTGCAGTCTGTTCAATACCTGCCAAGTTGCCCAGTCTTCTGTGTGCCTGGGGGGGGGGGGGGGGGGGGGGAGTCTCTCATTCGGTATCAGCCATGGTTGAGGTTCTGGGTTTGGGCCTGGCACTTTTGGACTCTTGCTTGCTGAGGTCTTCCTGCGAGTGTCTCTGTAGATATTAGAAAGCTATTTCTTGATTTAAGGCACTGGGGGGCTGGCTGATATCAGAACAGGGGATGGGCCGGAGATGTCACTGCCTTGGTCCTTTCACTATTATTGGCTGCTACTTCTAAGTGATGACAGACTAGAAAAGTCTGCAATGCACTTAGGAGATCAATCTTATTTTGTTCTTATTTATGCAAGGAACCCTGGGTGCATGGGGCTTATTTTGAGCCCAGCCCATGAGGAGGTTCTTTTGTGAAAGCCCTAGAGATTACTCACAACCCCTTTTAAAATCAATAATGCCAGTACACCTGAGAGATAAATGGCAATTTGAGAACATGGTGCAAGCATGTTGAAACTAGCACTCCAGGCTGCTGCATGGATAGAGCTGAAGAGATGAATCATCATTTCCCAACTTGTGTCCTTAGATAAGATATGCCGAGTGTGACTAAGTTTGTTCAACTATAATAATAATAGTAATAACAATAATAACAATAACAACAACACTTTATTTATATTCCACCCTTCTCACCCCGAAGGGGACTCAGGGCGGATCACAGTACACATACACGGCAAAAATTCAATGCCGTTTTTGGATGGGACAAAAACAGACAAAACAGAAATGTGGTATATGTGTTGTGTTGACATCCAGTTGAATATCCAGCTTGTCGGAGCCTTTGGAAGTTGACAGCCACAGGGGGGCGCTGTCGTTCCACACTCTATGACAAAGAGCCATCAGGACTTCCTCCTTCCTTTGGTCACCAGCATTCTTTGATCTTTTTCTTTATGATATCGTAAAATACTTCCTCCTCATTAGCGGTACCTAATTTCTCTAATCACAGCTGTAAGCTGTTTTCGAACTGCTTAGGTAAGTAGTGAGCAGAGCTTAAGTCAGGTGTTCACGCCAACCTGGGGCTTCGAACTTGCAACCTTTTGGTTGGTAGATCTTATAATTGCTGGTGATTTACCAGCTATGTCACAAAGCTCCAGTGTCTATCAGACAACAATGTGTTTTGCAACTTTGGGAGCTGAGGTGGATCAAAATGGTCAATTCAAACTTGATACAGATTGACAAGTACAGTAAAACCACCATATCCACAGATCATATGGATTTTTCTTATCGACTATCGATACAACATTGCTTCATCACTGGAGAGAAAGGGGGAAGCCACTTTGCCTTCTCCAGGTAACAAAGTACAAGTAGTCTTTCATTGTTGGAGAGAAGGAGGAGAAGCTGCTCCCAGGCAACAAAGCAGCGGTAAGCAGGGTGGAGTTGGGGAATAGCAAACACTCTGAATTGAGTGTTCACTATTACCCATGGTTTCACATACTCACGGTAAGTCCTGGAACATATCTCCTGTGGATACGGAAGTTGCACAATATAAAGCAAAGAACAGTATTCTACAAGATACTGTGGTGGTGGAACCAAGACCGTGTCAAACTTGTTTCCCTTTCCAAATTCTCCACCACCTCTGCCTACAGTTGCTGTCCAAATGATGTTCGACTCCAACTCAAACCCGCCCCATCATCATAACCAATGTTGAGGGACGATGGGAGCTGTATATCCACAACATCTGCGGACATTCACCTTCTCCAACACTATAATGATAAGGCAGGTGGCAAGGCTGACACAACTCAATTCCTTCAGTTAGAAACAGTACATTCCAGAACTATAACCATTGTTATCACATGAATAATTTGATTCATTACATAATTAAGAAAATTCTGTTTAATTTATGAAAACCAAATCATAATCAAACAGATTAAATGAAACATTAAATGCAAAATAAAATAAAACCACCCATTCATTTACAAGGTCTCTCTGCAATGGCATGGCATAGCATCTAGGGCCCTTCCAGATAGGCCCTATATCCCAGGATCTGATCCCAGGTTTTCTGTTTATCCTAGATTATCTGGCAGTGCGGACTCATATAATCCAGTTTAAAGCAGAAAACCTGGGATCAGATCCTGGGATATAGGGGCTGTCTGGAAGGGCCCTTAGTTACCAAAAGCCAGAATGGGGTATCAGCCTGTGACTCTGCTCTCCAGTTCAGGTTTCTTCCAAAGAGGAACAAAGAGAGAGAGAAAATCCATCTATTTCATCATGCCATTGTATCTGAGGAAAGGTAAGGAGGGCAAAGAAGAGTCTGGCCAAGCCCAGGACTCTGTACTTTTTAATCATGTAATGCCAACATATGGAATGGTGTGAGGTGTGGACTATTTGAGTGTTCCAAGAAACACAATGATGTGAAACCAGCTTCTATAAACCTTTCTGGAAGGCAACAAACATTCTACAGACCATTTGAATGAAAGCACACTTTCTTACCTTTACCTAAAGAAGTGGAAATTCCATTCATTAGTTGGGATAGGGATTTGCTAGGGGAGCCGGGGCTATCCAGAGATGCCAATGAGTTACTACTCAGGAGGTCAATCTTCCCAGCTTGCTGGCGAAACCTTTCTAGTTCCTTAGAGAGGAGGTTAAACTGTTCACTCTGTGTCCGACATTTCTCCTCTAGCTCACGAACCTTGGCCTGGACAAATGGAGAACAGAAAAAAAAAGATGGAGTGTGGGCAGAATGTGAGTGAGCATGCATGTGCACCTACTATGTGTTCAAGGGGATAACTGTTGCACTTCCAATATCACATGGCTATTCCCAGGCATCCATTTACATGGACAAGCAGAATATGAGAACTTGGTAAACATTGGCTATAGCCCAACTGAAATCCTTGACAGCCTCCGTGTAGTCACTCATGGGAGGAAGTGGTCTTAAGTACTCAACCAGAATTGCATAAAGGTGTTGATTGTACCAATCAATGAGATGTGGGATAACCTTTGGCTATAAAGGGGCTACCACAATAATAATAAGAATAAGAATAAGAATAAGAATAAGAATAATACGAATAATAATACACTGCTTATGGGTATAATCTCCATGTGAAAGACTCAGCTAATAAACATTTTTGAGAGTCAATGTGGTGTAGTCACTAAATTGCCAGACTAACATTTGGAAGATCCCTCTCCGAGTTCCCACTGAGCCATGAACTTCAATAGCCATGAACTCTGTCTGTCTGTCTCTCTCTTTTCTCTGTCCCTCTCTATCTGATCCACCTCACAGACATGTTGTGAGGAAAAAGGGGAACACAGGAAAGCCATATGTTGCCTTAAACTCAGCAGAAGAAATCAATGCAACTAATATATAACTAAACAGTGCCTCCATATAATCCCAATGGGAATGGAACACAGTAGGCCCATTGTATACTTATAAGCAGTTTGTTAAAGGGCATTAATAATAAAAAAAGGAATGGCAGAAATTGTCATCTGGAATGGGAAAAAAAAACAGTGGTAAGTTTACTGTATCAAGAGAATGCTGCATACTCCCAAAGCAGGCAGCCTCTGCCTTTATTTCTGTTAGTCCTGACCAAGCTTTGGGTTACATCTCCCAGAATTACCATCTTGCAAGGCCACAGAGGGACTGTGGGAACTCTAATCCGAAAAAGTCTTGGGTTGTCAAAATGTTACGGTCTTCACTTTGTTCAAGCTTTCGAAACGCTTCATGCAATGAAGGAAAATGAGGGCAGGCAAACCAATTCTGTCCTACCTTCCATCCTCCACGACTTGGATGACAATGATCTGCAGAGGGTTCTAGCTTCCATGACAACTTTAGAAACAGAATCTCCCAAGATTCTAAAATACTCAGAGCAGTGCCATAAGCAAGCAAAGCCTGCTCTCACAGAAGGCCAAATTTGTCCACTTCCAGTTCATGGAAGCTGAAAGGGGTGGAATTGGAGGGGATAGGACTAGGGTGCCAATCCTCATTCTCCCCCACACACATAAACAGGAAGAGTTCTGGAGGGGACCATTTGCTGTTCTTGAGCTAGCCCTGCTGTGGCAGATGGAAAGGGCCTTTAATCTTCAAAACACTCTTTTTCCTAGGCCACAGGACATCTAAGGTTCATAGGAAAGGGAGCGTTTGAATTCCACATGTGTGAACAGCAGAACCAGCTTCCAGCACCTGCGCAAATATGGCTCCACTTTCTACAAGTAGTATCTATGTCACCACCAGAAGGTCTAGGAACATATCTAGAATTGTATGAATAATGGCTAATATGTTTCTAGACTATAGCTCCGACATGGAAAAATGCTATATGGTGGAAGGTTGGGGGCTTTCTATTCCTACTGTTGCGCAAGAGAGCATTTCCAGTGGAGAAATAACTGGGCAGTCATTCAAAACGTGACACATGCTGCACATGCAACACAGTCAGCAAGTGGATAGGTAGAGATCTGAACCCAGGCTGCTGCTTCAGATAGATCTAGTTGCAAATGCAGGCACATGATGGCTGCAAGAGGAGTAACTTTCAGGGGGAATGCATCTGAATTAAGACTATTCCCAACATGTCCAATGCAGGCCTAAAGATTTTGCACTATATCTTCACGTGTTCTCCTGTCCCTGACACCCACATAACTCAGTACTATCGGCTTGGACAAATTCATGGAGAAAGCAGCGAGCCCCTGTATTCCGTTTGCAGGGAAGTGTGAGTGGAAGGCCCCTATTGCACTCATGTTGTGTCTGTGGGTTTCCTATAGGCTTCTTTTTGGCCTCTAAGGGAGCACAATAGTGGACCACAAAGAGGGCTTCCGTCTGATCCAGCAGTACCTTTTAATATTCTTTTATGATTTTGAATACCAATATGTTGTGGAATGCAAACAGAAGGATGCTGTTGCACTTGTGGCTTGATCAGAACTTGGAAAAGTTACCTTTTAGACAACTCTCAGAATCCTCCATGCCAGCTGAGGATTCTGGGAGCTGTCTAAGTTATTTTTTTCACTCTTCATCAGCTTGTGGGTTTTCTATAGGCAATTGGTTGGCCCATGAAGTAATGGAGTGCTGGCCTTTATTGGGCTCTTCCATTGTTCTTTCTAGAACGGGTGACCCCGCCGGATCTCAAAGAGAAGCCTCTTTCGCCATCCAGCTCCCATGATCCTTTCATAACTGGAAATCTCAGGTTCTGAAACTGCAGCTGCCTGCATGCAAAAGGGCACAGTCTGCTACTGAGCTAAGGACATCCTCTTCTGGCACTTTTGGTAGCTGAAATGGGATTATGTTGTTTCAGCAGAAAAACTGTCAATGCCGAATTGGAATTGGCTGCCTGGGGGACTCTGGGAACAGGGAAAGCTACAAACTATGAAAGATTAGAGGACAATGTATGCAAAGGGAGAATAACAGGAAGATGTGAAGAACACCAACCATATCTTTCCCCCACCCACACGATTGAAGAGAAAACGGTACCTGGAGTCACTCTAGTTTCTAATTGGAGGGTTGCAAAATTATTTTGGTTTTTTAAAAAAATCCATGTGGATATTCAGTTTATTTCTGGGAGAGAAAGTAAATATGGGGGCTGGGAGCTCTTCTTGCCCGTCATTAAAAGGTTGCCTCCGACAACACACCAAGACACACTTTCCCTTTAAATAAATATCTCTAAAAATTGGGTGAATCTTAGAATTGCTGGTATGTCTTATTGTATTTTTGTTGGTGGTGCTGGTGCTGATATTAGGGTGCATATTACAATCAATGGCTTCTTACAATTGAAGAAATACGGGTAGTGTGATCACCCTCCTGTTCTTCACATAGTGTTCTCAACCTGTGGGTCCCCAGATGTTTTGGCCTTCAACTCCCAGAAATCCTAACAGCTGGTAAACTGGCTGGGATTTCTGGGAGTTGTAGGCCAAAACACCTGGGGACCCACATGCTGAGAACCACTGAATAGAGGCTGAAGAGGAATGGCTTGTCAGTTTTTGAAAACGGCCACGGAAGGTGAAAGCAGGCAGATGGGGAGAGTTGTTGCTAATGCAGACATTGTCTATGGGGAACATCCTATCCCGTTATCAAAGGGATTGCCCACCACTCCATGCTCAAGCTGTGAATTTTTTGAAAAATGTAGTCTGAATTCAGACAAGATCCACACACAACCTGAAAGTTACAACTTTGCATGAAAGTTTGAAACCATTCTTGCTGGGCATGCTCATAAAATGGGTAGCTAAGATCAAAATGCAGGTTTTGGGCAGTTGCTATTGCCAATGTTTGTTGCTGGAGGAATGCACCACTGGCTTTCCTTTGATTTATTTAATTGATGCACTGAATATTGATTCACTCTCCCCACCCTGTGGCATCATTATCATTAGCTGAGCATGCTTTCATAACAATGGTTCAACTTTGTGCACTTCATGTAAAGGTAAACTACGATCATGTTAACATCAGTAACTGCTGTGGGGATGAGGAAGGGGAGGGGTTTTTTTTCTCGTGTGAAATACCTGCATGCTGTCCAAGGTGGTCTGGATGTAGAGCAAAGCAAAATACATACAAACAAAGACACAGGGAAAAGGATGTGGAATAAAAGAAAGATTTTTTAAAATCCAAAAAACCAAAAAAGCTGAACAGATTATAAAACATTGTGGGTTTTTTTGTACATTTCAAACCAATACATATATTGAGCATATCTGTGCTACATTTTTTTTTAAAAAAAATCAAGTTCGGTTTAATTACCATATATTTTGTTGACAACAGAATCCTGAGATTTATAGTTTGACAAGAATGTTGGGGAGCTTTTGTTTCATGTCCCCATATATTGCAAGTCATTCGCACCAACATTCAAACAAGAAATTTATCAGTGAATTTGACATATCCTGGAGAAGGAGGGGACAGGCAAGAAAAATCAGTATTGGGGGTCCTTCCACACAACCCTTTATCCCAGAATATCAAGGCAGAAAATCCCACATTATCTGAGTGTGGACTCAGATATAACCCGTTCAAAGCAGATATTGTGGGATTTTCTGCCTTGATATTCCAGATTACAGGGCTGTCTGGCCCTGTTCTAGAAGCATTCTCTCCTGATGTTTCGCGCACGTCTATGGCAGGCACCTTCTGAGGTTGTGAGGTCTGTTGGAAACTTGGCAAGTGGGGTTTATATATTTGTGGAATGTCCAGGGGGGAGGAAGAACACTTGTCTGTTGGAGGTATGTGGGAATGTTGTAATTGGCCACCTTGATTATCATTGTATGGCCTTGAAGCTTCAAAGCCTGGCTGCTTCCTGCCTGGGGAATCCTTTGATGGGAAGAGTTAGCTGGCCCTGATTGCTGCCTGTCTAGAATTCCCCTATTTTCTGAGGCTTGCTCTTTATTTACTGTCCTGATTTTAGAGTTATCAAATACTGATAGCCAGATTTTGTTCATTTTCATTATTTCCTCCTTTCTGTTGAAATTGCCCACATGCTTATGGATTTCAATGGCTTCTCTGTGTAGTCTGACATGGTGGTTGTTAGAGTGGTCCAGCATCTCTGTGTTCTCAAATAATATGCTGTGTCCAGGTTGGTTCATCAGGTGCTCTGCTATGGCTGACTTCTCTGGTTGAGTAAAGTCTGCAGTGCCTTTCATGTTCCTTGATTTGTGTTTGGGCATTGCTGCGTTTGGTGTTGCCTATGTAGACTTGTCCACAGCTGCATGGTATACGGTAGAATCCTGCAGATATATAAACCTCACTTGCCTAGTTTCCAACAGACCTCACAACCTCTGAAGATACCTGACATAAATGTGGGCGAAACATCAGGAGGGAATGCTTCTGGAGCATGGCCAGACAGCCCAGAAAACTCACAGAAACCCAGTGATTCTGGCCATGAAAGCTTCAACAACACATCAAAAATCAGAATGTTTTGATGTACAGAAGCCACTAACTGAAGATGCTGAACTGATTATCTCTAATTATGTGTAAAAAAAACAATGTTTAGAAAATGATCAGCTCCAGTCAATGGCTTTTAATTGTGCAAAATGAAAGATTTTTGTAAAAAAAAAATCCTTTTGGGATGAAAAAAACTCACAATGAAATCTCCTACAATATTATAAAAAAATCATTCAAAATGTACAAAAATCTCATCCAGTTTGGAATTTTTTTGTAGTTGTTCATTTTTTTAATGCGGGATTAAACTAAACAAATACAGGTAGTCCCCAAGTTACAAACATCCAACTGTCATGTGGCTGCTACTTACAAACGGGGGTTGAGAGAACAGGAAGTGAGAGAAATCTCCCCCTCAGAAGGGAAATTCACTCCTGGGGAAAAGGGATCTCCACTGAAGCCAACATCGTCTCTCATAGGAATACAATGAACTGTAGCAGATGTGTGAGTTATAACAAGAAATACCTTTCCTTTTGTTTGAAACAGTCTTTACTTATTCCAAGCATTCCTTTACACATATCTTCAAGACTTTGGAGGGAACCCACAGACTGTTTGGTTCCCTACTGAGCGCTTGGAGCAGAGGGAAAAATTTGCTTTCAAGCCAGAATGGAGCCAGCATGGGGAGATGCCACCATTGCTGCTGTTTTGCAATTCTATGTCCCGTGTGCCTTCATGCAGAGTCAAGATTGAAAACAAGCTTGAAACTTGGCTTTAAGTGAGTAACACAGATATGCTGAATGATACACTGAGCACATTATTAAAAGGAAAAGAGGAAAAATAAAGCTTCAGCAGCAACCACACTGGCATATGTTTCAGAAGACAAACTCAAGTGCTGCTTATCTGCAATCCCAACAATCCAACTAAACACATATTGTGGAAGGGAGATTAATAGGCTCAAAGGCAATGTAAGCAAATTACAATGGGGAGAAAAGGTGGGCAATCTAGGATGACTGCAATCTCAAGAAGTATAAATATATACATAATTTCTGCTGGCTATATTGGCCCCCATCCTAACCGAGATAATGTTCTCTTAAGTGGACCACATGTGTCTTACCTGAGATGAGGTACATCAGCTTTTAAAATCATTTTAATATATTTTGTTGAGGCAATGAAATCACACTGTTAACATGAAGGAAGAATGGGGAGGAAACTTTATATTTGATAAGTGACTAAGGCCAGTGATGCTCAATCTGTCTCCATGTGGGCCAAATCACCAAGGGGATTTTTTTTTAGGCTTGTGCAATCCATGGTTCTAAATGGTTCTAAAGTACTTACAAAACTAGAGGGCACTGGTGCTTTGCTTCTACAATGTTGCTAAAGTTCAGGTGGTGAAAATTTCAGAACTCCAACAAAACAGGGTTATTGTAGGTATTTTGGGCTATATGGCCATGTTCTAGAAGCATTCTGGCAGGCATCCACAGGGGTTGTGAGGTCTGTTGGAAACTAGGAAAATGAGATTTATATATCTGTGGAATATGTCCAGGGTGGGAGAAAGAACTCTTGTCTGTCGGAGCTTGGTGTGAATGTTTCAATTGGCCACCTTGATTAGCATTTGATGGCCTGGCAGTTTTTAGGTGTGGCTTGTTAGTGCCTGGGGGAATCCTTTGATGATTCCCCCAGGCACTAACAAAACTTTCAAAATTTCATTATTATTTCATTATTGGTGATTTTTATGACAGAACCAATTAGGAACTGCCATTTATAATGAAATTTTGAAAGTTTTGTTAGAGTTCTGGAATTTTCACCACCAGAACTTTAGCAACACTGTAGAAGCAAAGCACCAGTGCCCCCTAGTTTTGTAAGTACTTCAGAACCATTTAGAACCATGGATTGCCCATGTCTAGATTTCAACCCAACCTAACCATCTTTGCAGTATGAACAGCAATGGAAGTTTTGCCATGATTCTCCTCATTATGTGCCTCGGCGGCTGACATCTATTGATTTCTTTGGGAATCATACAAACAACATCCCACATAACTAAATTGCTTCCTCCCACCTCTTCCATGAAATACAATTTTTACTTTACAGTAGCTTATCTTGCAGTGCTTTGCAGTTCTTTAATCTGTGTCCTTTTTTTTTTCAAGAGATGCTATAATCAAACTGAAGTGGGGGACTATTATCAAGAATTTAAATGAGGATCATCGGTCTATCCACAATCTATATGTTCATTTATGTGCATGTGTTGAGGTGGGCCATTTGTAATGCTCCAGATGTGGTTGAACTAAAATGTCAATCATCTTTTATCAAGAACTTAGAAAAATTACCAACTCCCAGAACACCCCGTGGGTTATTTTCCATAATGGTTGGGTCTTTCTGGGAACTTAAGTCCCAAAAAGTAATATTTCCAAGTTCTGCTCTCATTACTAACTGTACTAACAAGGTCTGATGAGAGGTGAGGTCCAACAACATCTAGAGGCCACACGTTGTCCAGCATTGAGTCTACACGCATGCAAAAGTATCAACTTTCCAAGTTACATGAAAATCAGGTATCTTACTTGTACGGACCTAGTGGAGAAGGCTGGACCTTAAATGATGAGAAATTTAGTAGTTCTCGCTCACAGTATATATGATACGATCCCTGGATCACCAAAAGGGATACATTCCAAGATCCCCCCCTTAGGCACCTGAAAACTATGGATAATCATAAACCATATTTTATCGATACTTGGGAGACAGAAGCATACCATAGAACTATACTGGAGGACTTAGAGAGGCCTACAAACATTTCTCAAGAGTGGATAGAATTATTATTATTATTATTATTATTATTATTATTATTATTATTATTTGGAATGTGGGTAAGTGAAGCCATGGGTATTGGGGACATACTGTACACAAATTTAACAAAACATCAGGAGTTTTGGAGTTCGGTATCATCTGTACGCAGACGACAAAGAACTGTATTACTCGTTTCCACCTCAATCCAAGGAAGATCCCCGAGTCCTGGACCGGTGCCTGGCAGCTGTGATGACCTGAATGAGAGCTAATAAACTGAAACTTAATTCTGTCACGACAGAGGTCCTCCTGGTCAGTCACAAGGCTGACCAGGGTATAGGGTGGCAACCTGTGCTCAAAGGGGTTACATTCCCCCTGAGGACACAAGTCCGCAGCTTGGTGGTCCTCCTGGACTCAGCGCTGACTCTTGAAGCTCAGGTGTCAACAGTGGCCGGGAGTGCCTATGTACAATTAAAACTTGTGCATTAACTGCAACCTTATCTCGAAAAGCCAGATCTTGCCATCATGGTCCATGCCTTAGTAACATCTCGTATTGATTACTGCAATGCACTCTATGTGGGGCTGCCTCTGAAGCTCCAGCTAGTACAAAGATCGGCAGCCAGGCTGCTGACGGGAGGGGGGGGGGGTTACAGAAATCATATGACCTCCCTCCTAAAGCAGCTTCAATAGTTTCCTATTTGCTTCCAGGGCCAATTCAAAGCTCTGCACGGCTCTGGTCCTGACTACTGACCGCATCCCCCCGTGTAAAACTGATCGGGCCTTAAGATCGGCTGGGGAGGCCCTCCTCTCGGTTCCACCTCCTTTGCAAGCAAGGCTGATGAGGATGAGGGAGAAGGCCTTCTCAGTAGTGGCCCCCCAACTCTGGAACACCCTCCCCAAGGAGATCAGACAAGCACCCACCTTTACAGCATTTAGGAGGGACTTAAAGACCTGGTTATTTAAACAGGCCTTTGACAGTGAGTAGTCAACCTTTAGGATATGAATTTATGATAGCAAGCTCTTTTTAGCTTATAGTAACAACTGTGGTTTGTCTTAATGCTCATAATTTTATTGTTAATTTTTATATTTGATTGTGCTGAATTTTGTATTTTATATTTATTGATGTGGTCTTAATGTTTATCTTATTTTCTGGATTGTATTGTATTACACTTATTCTATTATTTATGTTGTAAGCAGCCTCGAGTCCCTTGGGGAGAGGAGGCAGGATATAAATAAACATTATTATTATTATTATTATTATTATTATTATTATTATTATTATTTGATACACAACAAGATTAGTACACAGCAAACAAGATCACTATGCTGGCTTTTATATTCAATCACACGTCGGGCATTTTCCAAGTGGTTAGCACTGTGTGATGTATCAGCAAATAATGTGTGCAGATCCGAGTAGGGTGGCCTTTTGCAGCTGACAGATGGTAATTTTGTCAGCGACAATTGCTTTTAAATGCAGGCCAAAGTCGAACCCAAGGAAAATAATTCATTGAAAAAACAGTGATTTTTCAATGAACCACAAAAAATTGTGATTTTTGTCTTTACTGCCCCCGGTTTTGCCCAAAGAAATTTAGTAGGAACCATGCAGCCCTCAAGACTGCAACTCCCAGCACTCCTTACCATAGCTTATGCAGACTAAACCTACTTGTAGTTAACAGTGCAACAACACCTGGAGGGCTAGTTGTATCCCATCCCTGCCTTCAAAGGATGCATTATTTTAAAACAATGGGAGTGCCTTGCAACCCTTAGGGAAACGATAGGAAATGTGCCACATTTTCCCCATCCCTGCTTTTGAGGTTTTAGTCCTGTAGCCAAGGTCAGAATCCAGAAAACAACAACACTTGTTGTTGAGAGGAGGAGTTGAGAGGAGGAGTTGGCAGGGAGTATGGATTTTGTACCGTCAAGCCAACGGAGGCATTAGGAGATTGTGGGCAAAAAATGCAAAAAGATAAACATTGCTGTCTTTGGGTTTGTTTTTTAAAAGATGAGAAACACATATACGCGGCCAATTAATTCAATAGGCCTTTCTAGTAGATTAATGATCGTGTCAGATTATAAGAAGACCAAGAAGTTTAATCCCAGAATCGATAAAGTGTACCCAGCTTGTAAATCCCAGGCAAAGCTCAGTGACAACCATCATAATGGCTATTAGAAGTCATTAATGCAGCCAATGAAGGTATAGAGATTGTTATTCCCCCGGGTGCTGACTGTATGGACAAAGCAGTTAATGGATTCTGACTGAGCCAGAACTATTATTGGTCTTGGTCTCGTTTTTTGAGATTTATGAGGTTTTCAATTTTTAAAAAACCCTCCTTGGATTCTTCTCCTATGCTCTGCAGTTAGGCCATTCCTGAGCCATTCTGATATCCCATGAAAGAACTCGAAGAGAGTTTTGACTTGGAACTTCTCAACCTTATATATTTGTCCCTCTGTCCTTTTGCATTAGAAAAGTTGTGTGCTAGTTTTACGACTTTTAGGTATGTATTCCTCTATGGCAGGAGGTTAGATAGTCCTTGCCAAACCCTGGTGACAGTTTCCACTCTTTCACTTACAGATTTATATAATACTAGCTGTCCCCTGCCATGCGTTGTTGTGGCCCAGTCTGTGTAGATGTGTTTTGTGTGTGTATACATGCATATATGTGTGTATATACTTGTGTATGTGTATATATGTGTATTTGTGTATATATGTGGTTTTGCGCATGCCTTATAATGTATTTTTTTTTGTTTTTTGGCCTTTTAAGTCTCTTCTGCTGCGTTTTTCAGTGTTTTTATGAGTGATGGTCACTTGTTGGCCTGATAGGTGTATTGTGTCCAAATTTGGTGTCAATTCGTCCAGTGTTTTTTGAGTTACGTTAATCCCACAAACATTACATTTTTATTTATATAGACTAGCCATCCCCTGCCATGCGTTGCTGTGGCCCAGTCTCTGTATATGTTTTGTGTATGTATATATGTTTGTGTCTATATTTGTGTATATGTGTATATATGTGGTTTTGCGCATGTGTTCTAATGTATTTTAAGGGGGCCTTTTATGTCTCTCCTGCTGTGCTTTTCAGTATTTTTATGAGTGATAGTCACTCGTTGGCCTGATAGGTGTATTGTGTCCAAATTCACCCAGTGGTTTTGAGTTATGTTAATCCCACAAACGAACATTACATTTTTATTTACTGTATTTTCTGGCGTATAAGACTACATTTTAACCCAAGAAAATCTTCTCAAAAGTCAGAAGTCATCTTATACGTGGGTGTAGTTTTATACGTCGAGAGTCGTCTTATAGAGCGGATGCTGAAACTTCCAGTCTGGATTGGAGAATCTGTGGTTGACGCATATGGTGGGGGAAGGTCAAAAATGGCCGTATGCATCGACTGTATGAAAGCATTAAGGGTGGCGCTGTACAAGAACAGTAGAAGAAAATCCATTCATCAGGATTCGTGGACTTAATGTGATTCCGATGGTGAGGTGAAGGGGTGCCTCACCGGGAAGGTGTAAGTGAAGGGCGGAGCAAGCTGCAGGCGTCCGGGGCACCCGGGGTATGGAAAAAAGAGATAGAGTGACTCTGGGCCCAGAAAAACACACCTCTTTTACCTGTCTGGCCCGCCCTTGTATCCTATTACCGTACCTCCTCCTCTGCCTCTCAGATCTCGCTCCTGAAGACTGCAGTGAAGTGGTGCGTGTGCGCATGTGCGAGATCTGAGAGGCAGAGAAGGAGGCACAGTAATAGGAAAATTACCATATTGAAATCAAATCTGATGCTTTTTAAATTTTTATTTGGTGTGCATTGGAAGAGGGGTAGTCTTATATGGCAAGTATATTCCAAACTCTATATTTTAACTGGAAAAGTTGGGGGTTGTCTTATACGCCCAGTCATCGTATATTCTGGAAAATACAGTATATAGATTATGCCATACCATGGTGAAATCAGCACATTCGTCTCTATAGCCTAGTACTTTCCCTCTCTGGATTGGCAACAACAGTTCTGTAGAGCAGGGCTTATTACACTTTCCGCCTGAGAAATATTGACGTGACCCCAGGTATATAGGTACAATGGAGTCTTGCTTATCCAACCTTCGCTTATCCGACATTCCATCTTATGTGACGCTCTTATCAGACACCCCCTTTTCCTCCAGCATTTCCCCTTAAAGGAGAGCTCCCCAACTCTCTCTCCATTCCCAATAAGTAAAAAAGGCAAGACAAGGAGGAAGAAGAGGAGGAGGGAGGAAAGGGGGGAAAGCAGAAACATCCTCCCTCCTTTCCTCTGTGATTTCCACGCTCCTCTTCAGCATCCGGGCACTTCCTGCTGGGCCGCTCTAGCCCCGAGGTGTTGCCTTGCCTTAACTCTTTGAGTCCCTGTTGTTAGTATTCTAGGTGTCTAGCACCACGTCAGATGGATAACAGCAGGAGACTCCGTATTATCTGCCGTTTTCATTTATCTGATGTTCTGCCAGCCCATTTATGTCGGATAAGCGAGACTCTACTGTATATAAAATAGGTATGAAAATCAAACATTTACAATAAACTAGCAGTTGTACAGCTTGCTAAACAGGCTGATTTTCCTTTTCATTAAGTATGGTTGAAGTTTTTTCTGCAGAGTGCACATTGCTGCTAATGGATTCATATCAATGTCTAAAACAGCCACTGGATGGTGTTACTTGCCAATCTTTTTGTGACTCCAGCATTAAGCTAACAGGATCACATTCAGGGTCAGGACCCATAAGTTTAAAAAGCAGTGCTCTGGAGGGCTAAGCAGTATTATTTTCTCTGTTCCGCAGACTGAGAACTGCCTGACACCGTTTCAGTTGAGGATGTCAAGGACTGAATTGGGTCTTTTTTCCTTTGGTCTATAGTCTAGCAGGTGGCACAGCAGGTTAAACTGCTGAGCTGCTGAACTTGCTGACTGGAAGGTCGGCGGTTCGAATCCATGGGGCAGGGTGAGCTCCCACTGTCAGCCCCAGCTTCTGCCAACCTAGCAGTTTGAAAACATGCAAGTGTGAGCAGATCAATTGGTACCGCCCTGGCGGGATGGTAACAGCGCTCCATGCAGTCATCCTGGCCACATGATCTAGGAGATATCTACAGACAATGCCAGCTCTTCAGCTTAGAAATGGAGAAGAGCACCACAACTAGACTAAATGTCAAGGGGAAACCTTTACCTTATACTCTAGCACTCCGCCCATTTGCTTCCTCAGTCTTCTTACCCTCACCTTCCTCAATCGCTCCATCTCCTAATAAGAAATCCTATAATGGGATGGAAAATTACAGCTTTGCTTACCTCTAGCAGCTGAACTGCACCTTCATGTTCTTTTTTAGCCTCAACTTGAGCCTGAAAAGATTACATTGTGATCATCATTATCATTTACAGTTTTGAACATCCTTTTCTACAAAAAAAAGAGACAAGGCATTTCATAATTGAAATATACCTCAATTATACAGTATATAACAACCCAGAGAACACTATGAACGCAACCAACGATAGATCTGAAACAAATCTGGTACATATAACCATCATGAACAACTTTGAATACCGGCGTGGTTTGGGGTTGGAGGGATTGATCCAAGTTGATGGCAGTTGCAGTATGGGACCATTCATCAAATCCAAACAGAACAATGACTATTTCCAGTGTTTATCACTACAAAATACCTAACCTTGACATCACTGGGCACATAAGCTCGTATTATAACATAATTGTAGCTATCTTGTTATATACAACCATATACAAACCTCAAGAAGGAAGGGAAATCAGAGGATAGGTACCATGACTGGGTATCAGATTGTCTTTCACGCTTGCTAGATAGCTTTTGGGGTGGGTTGTTGTAGGTTTTTCAGGCTGTATGGCCATGTTCTAGAAGCATTCTCTCCTGACATTTCGCCTGCATCTGTGGCAAGCATTCTCAGAAGTTGTGAGGTTTGTTGGAAACTAGGAAAATTGGGTTTACATATCTGTGGAAAGTCCTGGGTGGGAGAAAGAACTCCTGTCTGTTGGAGGTTGGTGTGAATGTTTCAATTGGCCACCTTGATTAGCATTTGATGGCCTGACAGTTTTTAGGTGTGACTTGTTAACTGTCTGGGAAAATCCTTTGTTGAGAGGTGATTAGATGTTCCTGATTGTTTCTTGTCTGGGTTTGCCCTGTGTTTCAGTTTTCTTTTTTATTTGCTGTTATAATTTTAGAGTTAACAAGCCACACTTAAAATCTGTCAGGCCATCAAATGGTAATCAAGGTGGCCAATTGAAACATTCACACCTGGCTCCAAAAGACAAGGAGTTCTTTCTCCCACCCTGGACCTTCCACAGATATATAAACCCAATTTTCCTAGTTTCCAACAAACCTCACAACCTCTGAGGATGCTTGCCACAGATGCAGGCAAAATGTCAGGAGAGAATGCTTCTAGAACATGGCCATACAGCCCCAAAAAACCTATACCAACGCAGTGATTCCGGCCATGAAAGCCTTTGACAATACATTGAACTTTTGGGGTATTATACACCTCTAAACCCTGTTCGTTCTCCAGGTTACTGTCTGAACTAGTTATCCCAAAGAAGCATCATACAGAGCCCAAGTAACTATTGGCTCAGTCTTATCAGTTCCTGATCAACTCTGCGTTCTTCCATCACACTTTGGTTTGGGCAACTGCTTTTGAGAACTTCTGTTTCCTCAAGGGTTGTCTGAAACTGTGTCCTTATGGGTTTTTTTTCCCTTTTTCCTTTTAATATTAGATTAATAAGTCTTCTCTACTATCATCTAACAATATAAAAGGAAAAGGAAAAAACCTGGTCTTTGGAGTGCAAAGAATACCTTGGCAAGTAAGAAGAAATCTTTGTCTCATCTGTTATTGTAAGTTTATTTCCGAATTCTAACCTCTAATAATGACACAGGAAGCCACACAAATATGTGCTGGAAATCTAGATTCTTGACAGGCTTGGTTATCTTATTGGATTTCCTTATCAGCATAGAAAATAGGAGGCCAATATTGTTTTGGTCTTTCTGTGACCAAATTGGACATCCTGGATGAGAGAGATGTTTAATATATTCTGAAATAGAACAGTCACGCTGGTTACTTGCTATCGGAGGGCTCTGTTATTAACTTCAGAATCTCATAAAACCAGTGGCAGCTCGATACAGAATGGGGAACACCTGGCTCGACAGCAGTACGTGCGAAAAAGATCTTGGAGTCCTCGTGGACAGGAAGGTGAACAGGAGTCAACAATGTCATGCGACAGGTAAAAAAGCTAATGGGATTTTGGCCTGCATCAATAAGAGTCTAGTGACTAGCTCCAGGGAAGTCATACCACCCCTCTATTCTGCCTTGGTCAGACCACACCTGTGTCCAATTCCAGACACCACAATTTAAGAGAGATGTCGACTCTAAGCTGGAATGTGTCCAGAGGAGGGCGACTCAAATGATCAAGGGTCTGGAGAACAAGCCCTATGAGGAGCGGTGTAAAGAGCTGGGCATGTTAAGCTGCAGAAGAGAAGGCTGATAGGAGACATGATGAGGGGCATGTATAAATACAGTATGTGAGGGGAAGTCATAGGGAGGAAGGAGCAGGCTTGTTTTCTGCTGCCCTAGAGACTAGGACACGGAACAATGTTTTCAAATTCTAGGAAAGGAGATTCCACGTGAACATTAGGAAGAACTTCCGAACTGTGAGAACTGGTCAGCAGTGGAACTCTCTGGCCTGGAGTGTGGTGGAGGCTCCTTCTTTGGAGGCTTTTAAGCAGAGGCTGGATGGCCATCTGTGTCAAGAGTGCTTTGAATGCAATTTTCCTGCTTCTTGGCAGGGGGTTGAACTGGATGGCCCACAGGGTCTCTTCCAACTCTATAAGTCTATGATTCTATTATTCTAAGATTGCATATTATGGTTCTCTATTGTACCATTTTGTTAGAACGTGTCATAGAAGTGTAATCACGAATTGGCAAATTACACAGGATAAGGATTATTAATTGTTTATAATTGGAATTTGAGTAGGGTGTCATATTACTGAATGCCAACCTGGATATTACTGAATGCCGACCTGGATATTATTGAATGCCCACCTAGGCTCCCTATATGCACCAACTAACACTTCAGGAAAGGGTTACAGTAAGGATGAGTTCATGCATAATGATTTGTTGAAGTCTGGCTTGTTTCAGAATCCACCTCCAATCAATCTGTGATTTGGGTTGTATGTTTTTCTGGCTGTATGGCCATGTTCTAGAAGCATTCTCTCTTGACATTTCGCCTGCATCTATGGCAGGCATCCTCAGAGGTTATGAGGTCCTCACAACCTTTGAGGATGCCTGCCACAGATACAGGCGAAACGTCAGGAGAGAATGCTTCTAGAGCATGGCCATACAGCCCAAAAAACCTACAACAACCCAGTGATTCTGGCCATGAAAGCCTTCAACAATCTGCAATTGGTTAGCCAGCTGCAAATTGCATTTAAAAATCTCTAAGTTCATTGCTGGATTATGAATTCTAGTCACAGCTTGTCAACATATCTGAATCTAGAACTGCGGCATACCCCTGGCATTTTCTTAACTCATATCAAACAAACCCGTTCTTGCAGTTTTCTTCTCCACCAGGAGCAAGTGTTTGATAAAGGTCTTCATTGCCAATTTAAGCACTTCATCCTAGAGAGAAGTGACTAGTGGGGTGCCTCAGAGTTGTGTGCTCAGTGTTGTACCACAACTTTATTACAGTAATAACTTAGATGATGGGATAAAATGAATGTTTATTAAATTTTCAGATGACACCAAATTAGGGGGAGTGACTAATGCTCCAGAGTAGACTTGTGCATGGATACATTTTAGCTGTTTGTCTTCGGTCAATCCAGCTTCTTCGGCTGGGTAAGGTGACCATAACGGCAAAGGCCCAGCCAACATGGATATATAACATCTGTAACGGGACCACATGGCAGCCCATCACGGCTCCTCCTCCCCTATTTGGCATCACAGTTACGTCCTGCCTTCAGTATATTTCTGGCTTGGCCTCTTGCTTGAATCTTTTTTATTTTCCTTTACTTTCTTGATTCTTTTTGTTTAGTGGAACTGACTGGGAGTTGGGAACATGCAGGATGGGTGGGTAGGGTGTGCACGTGCATTAATTGGCTTGGAGAGTCACACTTTTAGCTTCTTTTTCTCCTCCCCTCCCCTCCTTCAGAAAATGCTTCTAAAAGATAATAATTATTCATAATAATAGGTTTGTTTTTGTTTTTGTTTTTTTGTTGTGTCAGGAGCAACCTGAGAAACTGCAAGTCGCTTCTGGTGTGAGAGAATTGGCCGTCTGCAAGGACGTTGCCCAGGGGACGCCCAGATGATTTGATGTTTTATCATCCTTGTGGGAGGCTACTCTCATGTCCCCGCATGAGGAGCTGGAGCTGATAGAGGGAGCTCATCCGTCTCTCCCCAGATTCAAACCTGCGACCTGTCGGTCTTCAGTCCTGCCAGCACAGGGGTTTAACCCACTGCACCACTGGCGCAGTAATCCCAGCAAACAAAAACAGAAGCTTCATTCTCAGAAAACTACTACCACCTAGTTACCTCTCCTCTAAAGTAGAAAGTAAAAACAGCTTTAAGGAAGCATTAAACACACAGAAAGGCATGAGGGGGGAAAAGGCACCACTCCAGGCATGACAAAGAGAGGGCTTTTTAAAGGAAGCCCTGGGAGATAGCTCCTGGTTGATCGCTCTTTCTTCCCTGGGAAGTGGAAAGCCTCCTTTAAATGCCTTGGAAAGCTGCATGCAGGGAAATAGAGTGCACGCCTGCAGCCTGTCTCCTCTAGAGTGGAATGAAACAGCTTTAAAGAAGCATTAAACTCAGTCTCCTCTACAGGCAGAAGGGAAAGGATAGCAGAAAGAGTGATATCTTAACTCTGATGCTTTTAATCCAGGTTGTAATAAATGATATAAGGACAAACAATGCCTAAAATGATGGGAAGGGGAGCTTAGGAAGCCCCCTCCCCCATAATGGGCCAGAGAGAGTGCTTTTTTAACCCTGTGGCTGAAACCCAGGCTTTCTTGAAGGGAAGAAAGAAAAGCGTCCCACAAACTGATCCCCATTGCCACCAATGGGTCGGATCTAGCCATATTTTTTGGGTGAGAACCAAAACAGGCTATTCGACTACCCGCCCATTTTCAGGAGCCACATGAAAACGGATACAGGGATCTACCAGAATCCGGCCAGCAGAAACGGATCGAGGTTTAGCCGAAATGCACAAGCCTACTCCAGAGGACAGGATCAGAATCATTACAGAGCTGGGTTATAACTAACAAAGTGAATCCCAACATAGAGAAATGTAAGCTGCCATTATCTAGTCAGGAAAAATAAAATACACAAATACAAATACAAGGTGGCATCTGACTTGAAATCAGCATATGTGGAAATGATCTAGACCACGGCTTCTTAAACTTTTTCCCACCCATGATCCCTTTCCACCTAAAAGATTTTTATGTAACCTTGGGTATTTATGTATATAAGTAGATATAAAAATCAAACATTTAAATTAATTTATTTACTATTTATTTATTTACAGTATTTATATACCGTTTTTCTCACCCCGAGGGGGACTCAAAACGGTTTATAATAAATCAGTATTTCCCAGGCTTGTTCAACAAGTACAGCTCAAGCATTTTTGGCAGAACCCACTGTAAACACTGCATGTTGTTGATAACAGATTGGTGTAAAGGTCTACAACAGCCACTAGGTGGCATTCAGGAACCTTTTACTGTCGCCAAATTTTTCACGACTCCCATTTTCTCTTACAGGACCTTATGCTAATCTACACTTTGAAATCATGGTAGTTGTTAGACCCGACACTAGATCACATGTGTGTACTGTATGTAGTTAGCCAATTATTTGGCAGGATAGAATAGATAGCAAACAGAAGGTGGTCTCCTGAGTGGTGCCTTTGATCGATCTTTTGAAGTATAGAGGCACCATTTTGCAAGGAGAAATCACAGGGTTGGCACATGTCATATATCTTGAAAATCTTGATGCTGAGTATCATAAAATATCTACCACTACGTTTTGATTTGTCCCTGTCTCTTACCTTCTGCAGGAGTTCAATTTCCTTCTGCTTTGCGTTGAGAACAGCCAAGGCTTGCTCATGCTCCAATTCCAGCTGTTGCCGCCGTTCAGCAGCCTCTCGCATATGCTGTGAAATGGGAAAGAAGCAACCCATGAAGCAAGCAAGAAACAGTTGTAGGCCTTCTTCCATGAGGACACTGCTAGTGCCTAAGCATGCGGTACTAACCTTTAATGCAAGGGAGCGTAAATGTGAAATGAACGCAGCAGGCATCTGAGGAGGGTTGGGTTTTTGACCATCCAATAATGCATTGTATGGGAAACTTGCCTACACTCATCTCTCCAGCAGGAAATCATGCAAACCCAGTAGATGTTCTATAGGGAAAATTCATCGCTCATTATTATATCTACATCTTCATTTATTGAACTTATCACCACTCCATATATTCTTGGCCTCTAAAAGGTAACACCTTATTACAATAACATAACTTGGGGCACAACTAAACCTATTCAGTTACGTTGGTTTAGAATGAGTTTGGGAAAATCAGCTTTATTGTGTGGATGATTAGATTGACATTTCTGGAACAGGTTTTAGGCCAGGAAAGTGATGGACCTTCCTGGCCTAATTAACCACAGAAGGTGGTCTAAAACCAGTTCCAGAATCCACAATGTCCACAGCTTGCCAGATGCTGGAGAATGAATTTCCCCCCATTTTCAGCCTGACATGCGCATCAGCACTCAGGAGGCATGAGAGGTGAAAAAAAGGGAACGTGACAGTTAGCAGTGAAGGTAATCCATGACCTTTTCCAGGACATTGGCCCCCTGCTGGCCCCCAGCCATGGCCTTGAGGTATTTTTTGGCACCTCCCTTGTTCAACTTTGAAGGTGTGCTGCAGCGTAGGCCAGTGTCTATAAAGCACTTCTCATTATGTAGGTACTGTGGGTTTCAGTGTATGATATGGGTTAGATTTAGAGCTCGCTGAAGTGCATTAAGGGGTTTAATTAGGACTTTTCCCCAACTTTGCTTGATGTGCTGCAGCGCACTTTGGCCGTGTGCATTTTCTTTTATCCTCTTGTATATTATTATTATTATTATCATTATTACTATTATTATTATTATATTTATACACTGCACCAACATCAGAGAGGCAGAAGTCCACAAGAACACTGACGTAGGGAGGAAGAGGCCATCTTTTGCTGTTACGGTCACAGAGCTCAGCTTCATCATCAGTGAACTCTGTTGCTCTCTGAAGGACAGAGGCCCTGACTCAGCAACCGCCTTGCATCCTGAAGACTGGAACATGAAAGGAGAAGTCCTGGCCAAGAAGGACAAACACTAAATAGAGTTTGTTCACTTTGGGGGTGGGTCTGTCCTTTTGCTTGTCTGGGGTGAGGTTCCTTGCCTGCTTTTACATCTGCCTGCTTGAGTTGTACAGTTTGTTGTACAAAAAGCCCACTATATGGTTCAGATATGTGGGTGACACTTTCACCATTTAAAGCCATGGAGAAGAAGAACTAAACAGGTTCCTGGACCATCTTAACAGCATGCACCCAAACATCCAATTCACTATGGAAAAAGAAAATGAAGGAAAACTACCTTTTCTAGATGTCCTAGTCATCCACAAACCAGATCAACAATTGGGTCGTACAGTTTACAGGAAACCTACACACAAAGATAGATACTTACATAAAAACTTCAACCATCACCCAAGCCAAAAAAAGAAGTACCATTAAAGCCCTGGCAGACCGTGCAAAAAGAATCTGCGAAGCCCACCTCCTCCAAGATGAACTGAACCATTTAAACTGGGCTTTACAGGCCAATGGAGACTCCACCTCAGACATCAGAAGAGCTGCAAGACTGAGAACAAGTCACGAGAACAAAGACAAAGATCCACCCAGAGGTAAAGTGTTCTTGCCATACAACAAGGGAACCACTGACTGCATAGGGAAGCGGATGAGGAAACACAACCTATAAAGTATTTGCAGACCCACTAAGAAAATTCAACAAATGCTACGTGAAAGGACAAGAGGGATCATCTCACCACTGTAGGAGTCTACCGTATACTGTGCAGCTGTGGACAAGTCTACAGAGGGACACCCAAATGCAGCATTGTCCAAACACGAATCAAGAAACATGAAAGGTACTGCAGACTAATTAAACCAGAGAAGTCATCCATAGCAGAGCACCTGATGAACCAACCTGGACACAGCATATTATTGGAGAACACAGAGATGCTGGACCACTCTGACAACCACCATGTCAGACTACACAGAGAAGCCACTGAAATCCACAAACATGTGGACAATTTCAACAGAAAGGAAGAAACCATGAAAATGAACAAAATCTGGCTACCAGTATTTTTTAAAAAATTCTAAAATTATAACAGTAAATAAAAAACAAAACTCAAACACAGGACAAGTCCAGACAAGAAACAATCAGGAACAGCTAATCACATCTCAACAAAAGATTCCCCCAGGCAGGAACAAGTCACACTTAAAAACTGTCAGGCCATCAAATGCTAATTAAGGTGACCAATTGAAACATTCACACCTACCTCCAACAGACAAGAGTTCTATCTCCCACCCTGTACTTTCCACAGAGATATAAACCCAATTCTCCTAGTTTCCAACAGACCTCACAACCTATGAGGATGCCTGCCACAGATGCAGGCGAAACGTCAGGAGAGAGTGCTTCTAGAACATGGCCATCCAGCCTGAAAAACCTACAACAACCCACTGTACACAGTTTGTTTTTATTAGCCACTTGTTAGCCTGCCAATATAGAAAGAGCACGTTTTCCAGAGGAGGAAGGGTCAGTAAATGGGAAAAAAACTGCTGGGAATGCTGAACTGGCCTGTTTTATAGATACCTGGTTGAATGAGATTAGAGAGGAGGGTGTAATCTCTCTCAAGGTATGCTTTTAACTAAAATTGCTGACCAGAAGGTGGGCAGTTCAAATCCACAGGATGGGGTGAGCTCCCATTGTTAGCCCCAGCTTCTGCCAACCTAGCAGTTCAAAAACTTGCAAATGTGAGTAGATTAATGGATACCATGGCGTGAAGGTAATGGCGCTCCATTCAGTCATGCTGGCCACATGACCTAGGAGGTGTCTACAGACAATGCTGGCTCTTTGGCTTAGAAATGGAGATGAGCACCATCCCCCAGAGTCAGACATGACTAGACTTAATATCAAGGAAAAACCTATACCTTTGCCTTTAATGTAAAATGGGGTTTGTCAGTGATAAGGATCACAGAAAAAATATCTAAGAGGAGTGCTCGCTTAGATTATTCCTTAGTGAATTAATCATTACAGGGTTGTTGTTTTTTTATTTTACTTGTTAAAATGTCAGTTCTGCAGTATGCAAAAATTCCTCTGAAGCAGGACAGCAGTAGTTCGGTTTAATGGGACCCAGTAGAAAAGTGATGGTTTCAAAACACTGTAAGACATAACACTGTACAAGCAAAGGCAGACAAATGCATTTTGGGAAGCCAGAAGAAGCTGGATGTAAAAGGTTGTGAAAACAATGTTTGTTCAAGAAGCAGGCTCTACACCCATAATATCATTTTCCCACTGATTTAAATGAAAGCAGGATCAATCTCGGGTCACACAAAGACATGACAAAGTTGCTTTATGTTTCTGAGTCCATGTTTAGAATCCTGGTTTGATAATACTTAATCATCATCATCATCATCATCTTTATTTATATCCCACACCTATCTCCCCGAGGGGGACTCAGGGCGGTTGCCAACAAAAGAATGGCAAACATTCACTACCATAATAAACCAACAAAAACAAATAAACAACCCAACCACATTCCAGAAATAAATCCACATATGGCACAAAATTATCACATAATCAAAAATTAAATAATAACATAACCAAATAACGTAACGGATCAATTACTTCACATCTAACATTAAAACACAACACACATCTAGCCAAATCTAAAAATACATTTAAAATTATTAAATGAGAATATACTGCAAGTTGCTTCTAGTGTGAGAGAATTGGCTGTCTACAGAGATATTGCCAAGAGAACGCCCAGATGTGTTACAATCCTGCTGGGAGGCTTTTCTCATGTCCTCACAAGCTAGAGCTGACAGACAGGAGTGTCAGGAACCGGTGTCTTGGCGCAAAAAACCAGAATCCTGACATAGAATGCTGATAAGAATGTGCAGCTGGTGGCCTTGGGGGAAAGCAGTTGGCATTTGGCGGGGAATATTGCGCGGGATTCTCGGCCGGCGGGAAAGAGGAATTCAATTGTGAGGGAGGGTATATAAGGGTTAAACTGCGGCTGCCGGCCAATCCTGGCTTTCTTCGTGTATGAATGTCCAGCAGTAAAAGTTCCTGATTGATTACGGATTGGCGTCCTGTGTCGTTATTGGGGGCAGCTGCTGTGAGCTTACACAGGAGCTTACTCGTGGATTTGAACCAGCAACCTTTGGGTCAAGAAACCAACCTTCAGGTCAGCAGTCCAGCCAGCACAAGGGTTTAACTAATTAAATGAGCAACCAAAAATGAGTTCTGTTCTTCCCTCTGCATTTTCTGAACTCACAAAGTCAAGCTAAATGTTGATATACATTTCACACATTTCTGACACTTGCTGAGTATGAGAAGGATAACTACAGTAGAGTCTCGCTTATCCAACGTTCCGTCTTATCCAACACTGTAATCCAACACCCCCTTTTCCTCCAGCATTTCCCCTTCAATTAAAGGAGCACTCCCCAACTCTCGCTCCATTCCCAATAAGTGAAAAAGGTAAGACAAGGAAGAAGAGGAGGGAGGAAAGGACGGAAAGAGGTAGGACTGGAAGCAGAAGCAGAAACCTCCTCCCTCCTTCCCTCTGTGATTTTCACGCTCCTGTTCCACATCCTGGCATTTCCTGCTGGGCTGCTCCAGCCCCAAGCCGTTACCTTGTCTTAACCCTTTGAGTCACTGTCGTTAGTATTCTAGGTATCTAGACAGGCAACAGTAGGAGACTCCATATTATCCGACATTTTCATTTATGCGACGTTCTTCCAGCCTGTTTATGTCGGATAAGCGAGACTCTACTGTATCACCATCGCCATTACCAACAGTAACAGCAATTATACAGGACATAGAACTCTTCAAAACACTTCACAAAACATACAATAGTTTAGTTCTCTATTCTCATACCTTCAGTACTTGCTCTAGGTTCTCCAGTTTGGCTTGGAGCTGGTGTTTCTCCTTGACAGCCAAATCTCGTTCTTCAGTCACTGCGGTGAGGGTTTCTCTAAGTGGATCATACTCTGTTTTCACTTAAACATCAAGAGAGGAAAATGGTGAGAGCCCAGGTGGGGTTTCAATAGATTCAATGAAAGTAAACTCATATAATTGTTAAATTATTATTATTATTATTATTATTATTATTATTATTATTATTATTATTACCCAAGATTATTTGGGAGAGTTCAGCTACTCACCTCCCTACAGATTTTATGGAAGTGATAAAAGTACAGTAGAGGACAAAACAAGGAGAAGGAAAAAAGCTTCCCCCCCCCCCCTTTCACCGCTGGCGTGTTACACAATGGGCGAGTTAACTAGGCAATTCCCTTGACAGCTGGCCCCAGTTAGGACCCAAAAATCTTGTCCTCAAGCACTTTACGATAGTTATATCCAAATCCTTAATGGTAAATCGTTCTTACTCTCATCGCTGCTATATGATATTTGCACTTTACTCATTAGCTCTATCCTTTAATGCTGTGGCACCAGATTGCCCACCCACGACGAGACACTGAACTTTGCTATTGGTTGTCGGTTTTGATGTTCGTTTTTATACACTGTTTAAGAAATGAAGTGGATGACTGAGCTACAAATGGGAAAGAGGCTATCCTGGGGGGTGAATAAATTCTCCATCTTCTTTAAAGACAGAAAACCATGGAACACCATGCAAAGAAGACAATTCCCACTTTCCACCAATTGTGGGATGAGGTTGTTAGTGTCAGTCCATTGTCAACCTGGGACAATCCCATCATTGTTGTGAAGGCCATAAAATCTTGAAGAAGCTGTAGCAGAAATGTAAAAGTCACTCAGAACCCTTCTTTGGGGAGGGGAGGAGCATCTCCAAAAAGGAAAACAAATAGACATGTATGTTTCAAGAAACAGGTACTACAAATGCAATAGTTCTGGCCCAGCTTACCTGTCCGAACATATCTCCCTCTATGTTAAGATAATCTGGGGAGACCCTGCTCTCGATCCCACCTCCTTCGCAGGCTCGATTGGTGGGGACGAGAGACAGGGCCTTCTCAGTGGTGGCCCCTCGGCTGTGGAACTCCCTCCCCAGTGACATTAGATCAACTCCCTCTTTCCTGACCTTTAGAAAGAAATTAAAAACGTAGCTGTGGGGCTGAGCCTTTGGACAGTAAATTCAGTGATATTGAATAAGTGCGATTACGACCAGAACGGCTCCCAGACTATGATTTTGGAGTGTTGGTTTTAATGTTGAGATGTTTATAAGTTTATGCTTTTTAATATATATGTTTATTTTATTATATGTTATGTATATGTGGCATTGAATTATTGCCTACTTGTAAGGCCACTCTGTGTCCCCTTCAGGGTGAGGTATAAATATCGTAAGTAAAGAAAGAAAGAAATAGCTACTCCGCCTTCTCAAGTCCACAATTTAGGTTTCTATCACAAATAATCAGGACTCTTAGTTCATTTATCTGGCACAGTGGTCACAGTTTCTGTGTTTGGACTAGTATTTCAACACACAATTCACAAAACAATATTCTTGCCTTCCCTCTGAATTTTGCTGCCAATGGGGTACGGGGTGCAATTAAATGTAGCTTGTCACATCCTCAATATGTTTTCTGTCAATTCCATTTATTCCTGTTTATACAAGTGGACCTAATGATCGCTTCAGCAAGCGGGTGTCTTGGGAACATATGGGTCCATAACATGGAATGAAAATTTCATCAGAACGCCAAAGGCCCCCCAGTGGCAAGGAGAAATAGCTGACCTAGTCTGAAATAGTAGATACCAAATGTTTAGTTCTCATAGAACATTATCCTCTGGAATGAACTGAAAAAAGGAGCAATTTTAAATGGTTACACCAACATATAGCATACACAAACAGTATGTAACTTTGAAATAATATTTGTTACAACCTACGACATAGTATATCTGTTATTCCTTAAATGTCATGGGATTCTTGGGGAGGGATGTTCCAGATCATTGGGAGTTTACAGGACCAGATGTACACAAACATAGTTCCACAGTCTTGCTTGATACCATACCCACGTTTTCAGCCAGAGGTGGGAAACTTTTGCGAGTTTCCCACTTCTGGGGCACTTTAATTCCCTGGATCTTTTTAGGGACACATAATAACTTCCTCCACTATTCAATATTGTTAAAATTCAATGGTGTAGCAGCAACCAATAGGCCTGATGTGGCAGAGTGGGTTAAACTGCTAAGCCGCAGAACTTGCTGACCAGAAGGTCGGTGGTTCGAATCCACGGGACGGGGTGAGCTTCTGCTGTTCGCCTCAGCTTCTGCCAATGTAGCAGTTCGAAAACATGCTTCGGTGGGAAGGTAACAGCACTCCATGCAGTCATGCTTGCCACATGACCTTGGAGGCATCTACAGACAATGCCAGCTCTTCAGCTTGAAAATGGAGATGAGCACCACCACCCAGAGTCAGACTCAACTAGACTTAATGTCAAGGGGAAACCTTTACCTTTAGCAGCAACCATCGAGTCCCAAGGATGCAGTATTAACCCTAGGTTGTTTATATATTGTCATCAGGACTTTATTTGAACATTATGTTATTTGTTTACTGGGACTTATCAGAAAGATGACATAGACTTCCATACATCATTTTTTAAATTCTCTTCTCCATACAATTTGTATTGCAAAGATATGGGGAAGGGGACAAGAATGGGTATAGAACAGGGGCATGTTTAACATCTTACAGCTTCATCTTCCTCCTTTGTTAACTAATACAGAAAAGGTTTCTATGAAAAAAGGAGATAATTTATTTTCTAATCTAAAAACAGAAGGATAGAAAAGTAGTATTTTGAAACAAAGGAGATCAAAAAGTTTTTAAAAGGCAAAGGTAAAGGTTGCCCCTGACATTAAGTCTAGTCATTTCCAACTCTGGGGGTGGTGCTCATCTCCATTTCTATGCCAAAGAGCCAGCGTTGCCCATAGACACTTCCAAGGTCATGTAGGCAGCATGACTGCATGGAGTGCTCTTACCTTCCCGTCAAAACAGTACCTACTGATCTACTCACATTTGCATGTTTTCGAACTGCTAGGTAGGCAGAAGATGGGCCTAACAGCAGGAGCTCACCCCTCTCCCCAGATTCGAACCACCGACCTTTCAGTCAGCAAATTCAGCGGCTCAACAGTTTAACCTGCTGCACTACCAGAGGGCCTGATCGAAAAATTGAGAAATGGAAAAAGAAAGCCCTAACTAACACATCCTACTCTGTCTCTGATGTCTTCCTCATAATTAAAAAAATATCCTTTTGTCACAAATCATCTTATCTCTGGTAGATTCACTTTCCAGGATTCCTTGGATATCATTTGGGATCCTATTATTCTTGTCACTAACTTCTCTATATTTTTTTTCTTTTCTTGATATTCCTACATCTCTGCACTACTAGTTTTCCTATAATGCTGTAAAATAAACCCCAATGTTTTTGTCTTGTTTTCTTCTTTTAAGTAGTCAATAAAAGGCTGCCATTTTTCTTCAGATTTGGAAGGATCTGGCGATCATATAAGCCTGGTCAGTTTGTCCATCTCTGGAATGCCCAACATTTTTGTAATCCATAAATCTTGGCTAGGAATGTTTTCTTATAGTTAGCATAAACAATCCTTGCTGCAATAACTATGTATAAAAAGTATCAGAATATTTTTTGAAAGTGTTGAATTTGTATGTCCCAAAAGAAGGCTTCTGGCTCTAGTGGAAAAGATGTTTTCAATGTTCTTATGAATTATAATTCAATTTTTGTTTTGTTTCAGGAAATGTCCACCACACATAGTAAAAAGTTCCTTTGTTATGATGACATTTCTGACAACACATTTCCAACCAATATTTTGAAATGTTGGTTCCATCTTTGCTAATCTTTCCAATGTCATATACCACCTATACATCATCTTGTAGAAATTTCCTCTTAGTCCATAACATCTTGTGAATTTAATCTTTGTTTTCCACATCTGTTCCCATTTGTCTGCTCTAAACACTAAACCAATCTAAACACCTTTGCAGAGGCATACGAGAAGCTCAGCCTCTCACTGACCATCAAGAAAATCTAAGTGCGCTTCTAGCAGTCACCAGCCAATCCCTCTGCAATGCCAAAAATACAGCTTAATGGTGTAAGATTAGAAAATGTCAACCATTTCCTCTACCTTAGCAGCCACCTCTCCACAGAAGGCAACATTGACACTGAAACACAACACTGCCTGAACTCTGCGAGTGCAGCATTTTTCTGAATGCTCCTACGCCATCAACTCCACTGCTGGCCACATTGTCTGAATGCCCAATCACAATCTCCCAAAGCAGTTACTCTACTCCCAACTCAAGAATGGAAAACAGACTGTGGGTGAACAGGAAAAGAAATTTAAAGATGGGCTTAAAGCTAACCTTAAAAACTGTGGCAGAGACACCAATAGAGAACTGGGAAGCCCTGGCCTTTGAGCACTCTAACTGGAGATCAGCTATGATCAGCAGTGCTGTGGAATTTGAAGAGGCCCGAATGGAGGGGGGAAACGTGCCAAGAGGAAGGCACATCAAGTCAACCCTGACGGGGACTGCCTTCCACCCAACAAAGGATCCCCCAGACATCAACAAGTCAGGCTTCGAAACTACAAGGCCATTCAATGCTAATGAAGATGGCCAATTGACTGTGTGGATCATAATAAATTGTGGCAAGTTCTTGGTGGTATGGGGATACCAAGTCACCTTGTCTGTCTCCTGAGGAATCTGTATAACGACCAAGCAGAAACAGTTAGAACAGACCACGAAACAACAGACTGGTTCAAGATTGGGAAAGGAGTACGGCAAGGTTGTATACTCTCACCCGACCTATTCAACTTGTATACAGAACACATCATGCAATGTGCGGGGCTTGCCAAATCCAAGGCTGGAGTTAAAATTGCTGGATGAAACATTAACAACCTTAGATATGCAGATGATACCACTTTGATGGCTGAAAGCAAGGAGGAGCTGAGGAGCCTTCTAACCAAGGTGAAAGAAGAAAGTGCAAAAGCTGGGTTGCAGTGAAACATAAAAAAAAATCAAGATGATGGCAAC